AGAGACGTGTTCGGATGTTAGGGACAAGCTGCATGCTTTTGCGAACTACACATGAAATTGGAAGATCCCAGGTCTTGCATTGTGCACTAATGTGGTCTCAATAATACTATACTGATATTTGCTAATATAACGATACACCTGCTTATATGCCAAATAATTGATCGGAATGATAGCAGGGAATGTTCACATAATCAGAACAGTCACCATGTAACCTTGTTTATAACTTGACCGATAATACTCATATAAGTCTGTCTGATCCAGGCTAGATATCAACTAATAGTGTTTACAGATACACAATTTCTGAATTGTCCTATGGCTTAAGGAGGGGATTAATGTTGTGATGAAGCTAGTCGTGACTGAATCACGTGACTCTGACTGATAGAGAAGTTGACTTAAGCAAATGACACACAACATAGAATACATGTGTGGGGTGATTCTGAGAATGCTATAAATATGTGAGGTTCGTTCACATCTTGAAGTGAACAACTTATCTAAACTGGTATAGTGGAGGAGTGAATTATCAACTGCAACATTATGAATACTGAGGAAGCGAACTATCTTAAGAATAGAATCTTACAATAAAGCATCAAAGTATTAAGTCAGGTAGACTCAAGGTTAATTAGGATCATCTGTAAGATTCTATTCTTAAGATGGTTCACTTCTTCAGTATTCATAATGTCGCAGTTAATTATTCACTCTTCTGCTATATCAGCTCAGATAAGCTCACTTTTATATCTGGACGAAACCCACATATTCATAGTATTCTTTAAGTCGAACTGCAACATTCCCATCCGATCCTTCATCACTTCTGACACACATCACATATACTCTATATAATGTTTTTTGCTTACGTCACCTCTCTTAGCAGTAAAAGTTACGTGATTCAGTCACGACTAACTTCATCACAACATCATCTCACTTACAAAAGCAAAAAACAATAAACAAGTTAACTTTGTAATAAAGATTCAAAATTTTAACGTAGACTCATAAACAAATGGCAGATTAGAAGCAATTATCTTGTGTAATGTTGAATTGAACCTCATGAGCTGTGACCAGCTCATAATTTGTGCTAAAAGCTATACTATTACTCATCACGATCGCAGGAGCGGATAATAGTGGATTCTCGAACCTTTCTAGCTGCCACAAGTGGCACTTTACTGGTGTTGAATTCTCTCCATTAGAAAGTCGAATTGTGTTGTAGTGCATCCAGTAGCGATGTCCGTGATGAATTAGCTGTGGACATTTTATAACTTAAAGTACTTGTAAGACACTCTTAATCATTTATTTCAGTTAGTTACATAAAATGGGCTAACGTTCCTTTTATATATTTTCTTATCTTAAGCGCCAGATCTTCTGTTTTCTCTTGCTGACATAGTATATCTGGTAAACTGTTCTCGCGCGCGTATATAAGCGAAAACATAATCATCTGATACCTTTGGGACTATCTTCTTCAACAAATTGTTTACTGTTGTCTGCCATTGTGACTCATTTAGTGTTATTTAGCTTGTAAATATTCATAACTTGAAAGTTCGATCCGTTATTTCAGTCTAAAAAGTTTCTCCTCGAGAAAAACATTCCCTTTTCATAAATATTAGTCTGTGAAACATGTCTTTGTCTAAGATATATTTCACACAAATATATTTCCGGTCCTTTTCAAAACTGCGCTGCGCAGACCCTGCATAAGCGAATAAACACTTTGCATGCGAATCTTATCGATTTGCAGATATTTGAATATTTAACAGTTTCTATATTAATGTGAGGTTCTGAAGTCGGAGAAATAGCCCAAATTGCTATCAAATGCCATTTTAAAGTGGGATATGAAGAAGCCTGGTAGGAAGAGAGTAATCTGAATTGCATTGTCACGTCACACAGTAGTCAAAGATGATGATAGCTCGAGTTAGGAGTCAGAATTCAGCATTCGACATGCTAAATAAAGCTGCTCATGTTCATGTTGGAGCTCGGTGAGAATGGCTGATAAGGAGAGAGAAAGATCTATAATAGGAGTTGATCAAATTGGTCAAAAAATTACCTCATGTGACCTTAGTATCAGATTGATAATAAGCGGCTGATAAATGATATGTTAAGCCAATGCAAGTTGATCTCAACCTGCTTACCCAGTTTCTTGCGCATCGTTGATTGCACCAGATAAGACATAGAACGTGAGACTAAGATCTAACGACCTATAATAGCATCAGTCCTAAACCAGAGACAATAGACTAAGCTACCTGGATTAGGACAGATACCGAGGTCTTTTTTTCGCGTTTCCTCATACTATTAGTTGATATTTACCATGAACCAAACATCGATATATTACGGATCAGAAAGTCTCAGTTGATGTCTGCAAATAAAATCCACCTCCTATGCATAGATTTACTATGCCAAACAGTTCAAACTACCAGGAATTTGGCTAGTCAGGCCTCTTTTAAACTGTATTCAAGTGTGGTACAGTATCGGTTTTGATTCTACATCATAGATGCCAAAATTTGACAATCGACGATGACAGCGAAGTCTCTGATAGTATCATTTGAGTTCCCGCAACAATATATTTATTCTCACGCCATTCAAAGCGTACCCCCAATGTCAATAAAGTATTGCATACATTTCAGTTCAATGAAGACGGAGAGAATCCAGTCTTTCGAATCATTCTGGTATTTCCCTACAGCTTATAATCCCTGCGAATGTTTCAGATTCTGACTAACAAACTAATTTAGAATGTCGTGCGGACAAAAGACAAGAATTGCTACCTTCAGGTGTATTCCGTGAAAGCTCCTCCATCCCTGAAGACCAATCGAGAAACAAAAAAATACAGATTTAGTCAACCTGAAAGCTGTTCAGCTCGAATGAGAAAGATGGCAGTGTGCTATAAATTTTTGGAAAAAACTAGGTGGTTCTTCGTCAAGGCCGAGCTAAAGGACTTGGACAGGATGCCGCTATTGTTGAGGTATTTGCAAACCGATAAGGCTCAAATGCACAGCGGTTATTATATGCAAGATATGCACAGCCCTATTTGAAAATAATTGGAAATTTAACTGTGAAACGTGTCTCTTGAGCAGAAATGATTTACAGGTTTACATTCAAGGAAAGCTAAAAACCCACTCAGGAGTTACTTGGAATAATTTATCAGAGTATTGAATTAAGCATACTTATTAAGGTACTTTCAATACCAGATAAGAATAAAAATTTGAAATTCTAATGGAAAGTATTCGACAAGCTTTAATCTTTTCAAGCTGTTCCGTATATAACGGAAAACAAAATCTCAAATTTAATGGCTAAAGGTAGGTGCTACGGAAACCCAAGCCGGAAGCTTCCCGAACATAGAGGTGTGACGAACTTAAAATCAACAGTATAGAAGTTTGACATTGATAGACAATTTCTGGTTCTCCCAGTAACGGTAGTCAACCTGGATGCTGGTTGCAATTACACGGAATTTGACAGAAAGGTAAAGGCCAAGGTTCTCATTTCTCTGGTTGCTAAACAATAAGACATTTTAGTCTTCAGCTGACAGATGCCAATCAGAACCAAAGGATATCAGTTTAGTTGCTATTTGGAGTACCATTACTCACTCACATGCAACTATTTGGTTAAAATTATTAGGATACTACAGAGTCAACTCCAATAAAGACGAGCATTGCTGATTGTTTATACTTGGTGAGTAGAAATCCTTCTGTTTGTTGGGGTTTTTTGTTGACTGAATTTTATTCCTCCCTGCTTTTATCTATTGCTCGCCCAGCAGATCTCAAGACTTTTTTGTATTGATAAATTTTTCTGAATTGAATTGATTAGTCATTCACAGCTCTCATCTTTAATATTACACAATTGATTAATAAGCATCAACACTAAAATCTAATAAAAAAATTACTGGGAGACACGAAGGGAAAGGGGGGTTCCTATCTTCAGGCACCATAGATGCTATTTGGATGCAATCTTTAGCTTGTCCTTCCGGACCCCCCAAAATAGGGCTATATCAATATTTTGCTGTGGTAGTTCATCAAAGTTCCAATTTACCTCCGGACCACACGTCATCTATTCAAAGGCAGAGTGCTCGTGCTTGATCCTTTTCGACACTGTAGAATAGATGGCTTTTTTATGGACGTTCTACTGTCTCTTACAGAGACAACTCAGCATCAAAATTGCCCTGAGGTATTGGATTCATTAAACGAGAACAGACTCATTAGCCAATTAAGGTCAAACACATATAACAATTTTCAGTCTTGCAAACCTATATAGTGCATAGCATATACATAGCAGTACTTTTATACGAATCTGAGACTGTACTGAGAAGCAAATTTTTGGTTTTCAACGAATATGACTCTCCTTCAGTTGAGAATTAAAAGCAGGTAAATGGGCCGTGTAATTGAGATGCTATGAAATGATCATCGATTTGAATTCTTTCTCCTGAGATAACTTTCAAAAGCAATCTTGATACCAAAAGTTGATCAATTGACTTCTTTGCTTCACTTTTTGGCTTATTGTGGTCATTCTTTGTTGATCACCCTATACTATGCATAACATTTGAGAATAATTGAATTTGGAATGTGTTATTAAAAAGACTGAAGCTACTTTGGACTTAAGCGATTGGCAGCTCTGTTTAAGGAAACGTGACTATCAGTAGTCAGAACGGATGATGTAACGTAGGTACAGCAACTCAGATTCGAGTTTGCCCAATCACGCAAGGAGCCACAGGATGCTTCCGGAAAACAGCAGTATTCAAACAAGGAAAGCGGCAACTATAGAGAGACGTGTTGCTGCTTTTAGGTATTCAGTTCACCGTGATAACCAGCCTGGCCGCTTTTATCTTTGTAAAGCTATTGTCAAAATCTTATTCCAATACTCTATGGGCAAATAAACCAAGCAATTAGCCTTATATGTCAATATTAGGTAATTGGCCAATTTTGGCAATCTTGAAAATAGCCTCCCCAGATTTCCGTTTCCGAGAAGTTGCGACCGAATTTTATATATTTTTCTTATACAGATTTACACCTTCCCCGTCGACTGAGAATATGGCGCCTACTGGTCCTACTCCAAGATGTATTTTTGTTCGACATGGGTAAGTTGTCCTAATGATCTCCAAAAGTTGCTAACTTTCAATTTAGTCAGACTGCATGGTCGAAATCAGGTCAACACACCTCTTTCACGGACATCGATCTAACTGACTTTGGTGTCAAGCAGATAGCGGCGACTGGTCGTGCACTTGTTGGGTCGGCTTCGACGAACTTGATTGATCCAAAAACATTGAAAATGGTGATTTCTTCTCCTAGAACTAGAGCTTTGCACACACAAAAACTTCTTTTCGAGTCAGTTCCGTCCGAAGAACTGGAGCATGTTAATTTTGTTGTGGATGAGAACATTAGAGAATGGGATTACGGTGAGTATGAAGGTTTGAGGACTGCCGAGATCAAGGACCTTAGAGAAGAACGAGGACTCAGTCGTGACTGGGAGATTTGGTCTGACGGTTGTGAAGGAGGAGAGGATTACAAGCAGGTTACAGAAAGAGTGGATGCCGTGATTAGTAGAATACGTGATGTTCATCGCGAAGCATTTGAGAAGGGCGAAGATTGTAACGTTGTGGTCATAGGTCATGGTCACATTTTAAGATGCTTTGCAGCTCGCTGGGTTGGAAGAGAAGTTAATTGCAACCCACAATTTTTGCTTGATGCAGGTGGTGTCGGGGTTCTGAGCTACCAGCATCACAATATTTCGGAACCAGCACTCTGCTTAGCAGGAGCGTTTGTGGTCCCCGCAGACGAGACAGGGGCTGACATTTAAGATGAACAGCTCGGTAGGAGTCTGTTAGACGTTTGTAAGCTCGTCATATAGTTCCTTTTGCTCGAATGAAAATATTCTGCTATTCACACGAAGATGAGAGTTCGAAGAAGGCGTCATAGGCTTAACACCTCCATTCACCGTGTTTGGAGAAAAATGGGTTCCAAAAAGTGCCTTTTTCTGGATTCTCGCTTCTGTAACATAGGTTGAATCGTTACTTTTGTCTACCTCTTCCAAATGTTTTGATAGGCTTCGAGGTGGAGTATGGCTGGGAGCTATGCGCTCACTATATCCATTTAATTGATTTTGAATTTCCTCAATAGTATGATTTAACGAAAAGTTGAAAGAATTATTCGGATTATAATCCTCGCCAATTTCATCGTATGATTTCTTGTGGATATCAGTAGTCCTTAAAGCGGGGTTATTTGAATGGAGGTCTGTTAATTCGCCGAATTCGCGTTCGAAATCAGATTTTCCTGTCTGCGAACGCATTTGCTTGTCGCCTGAAGAGAGTGAATTATAATCACTATGGTCATTATAGTCAGGCAGAATTCGATTTGAGACTCCGTACATGATACTCAAATCAGGATGATTGTTCAAAGCTGACGCGTTTTCTTTTCTACCCGAATCAGGGCTTATAGGCTTCAGCTGAGCCGACATTTTAGTAACATTCATCGATTGAGGTTCTTCCTTTGAAAGGTTAACTCTATCTTCTATGTTCGAATTAGAGGCCACGCCCAAATCGGTAATGGAAGATTCTTTCATAGATCCAAAGGAGACATAGCCAATATGAGATGATGATAAGTTGGAAGAGGTCGTCATTGCATCAAACCCTTTGATTGAATTTTGATTATCCGCATTGCCATTAAATTGTTTGGGGATCAAAGGTAGTGGCTGATTTATGCTATCAATAGATCTCTTTAAAAATCCAGAAACCTTTCGGCCAGCTGAATTGAGATTCTCTCCCGTTTTTCTAATCATAGGCTTGATCAAATCTTTCGGTGATGGGTTACTTGAAGAAGAAGAGCGATCTGGAGCATGTGGGAAGTGTTCATAGTAGGGACTTTCCGCATCTGATGGATCACTGAAGGAAATGAATGACGATACGACGCCATTTTTTAGTTGTTTCTTCCTATTTCGCTGACTTGGTGAGACCTGTAAAATACTTTGATAGTTTTCAACCTCTTGATTAGCTATGGGAGATTCGGGGGGTTTCAAACCTGAAGATTCAGTATTTTGGATGTGTTCACTGATAGGGCAATTGCTCAGAACAAAAACACCAATGACAACAAGAATTGTTCCTAATAAAATGAAAAATCCTACCCAACCCCAAAACTGAGACCATTGTTGATAAAATGTTAACCCATTGAGAATGCTGAAAATACTGTAAACGCAGAAAACCAGAGGGTATAGAATAGAGGTGCTGATCAGCTTGAGCCCCTGATTTAACATGAATAGTTGTGACAAACACAAAACCAAAAATGTTAGAACAATCAAATAAGCTGTCAGATTGTTCAGTTGTTTAATGTTGTGGTTGATAATTGTTGAGAGTGCGATCTCGATAGCGGATTTAGCAAGCAAAAGCGAATGTGCCGAGAGAATACCGGAGGTAACACCATAAAGTACACCTTGTATCGACTTAGTTGTAACGCTGGAGTTCGTGAATAGAAGGTGGTGGAAAAAAGAGCCGCATCTGACTAAAATGAGTGTAAATCCCGATGGAGGTCGACTAGGAGATGAAGCAGGTTCCCTCTCTTGAACATTATTAGTGGTCTCACATCCAAAGATACCTAAAACCTGATTGTAAACAGGTCTTACAGGAGAGACCATATTTGTTCTCTCATTGGCATCGATCGTGCTTGATGAGTTTGTAGCGTGTTTTCCAGAAACATGGATCCACCAAAGGAAAAAAATAACGATTCCATACTCCAGTATAAGCCACCCAATAAACTCTTTCTGTGCAAGCAGGATCAAAAACTGAGATAAATTGTATTCGGGCTCATCGATGAAACTCCCAAATAGGGCAATCAAAAATGCTCCGAAGCCAACCAAACCCGTACCATAGAAAGACCCAAGCGTAAACTTTTCGTTTAAAATCAACGAATTGAAAATAGTATTGAAAACCAAACCGATTGACTGAAGAGGACTTAGTATTATCACCGGCAAGGTAGACAGTTGTATGCTCGACCCAAATACATTCGATATGATGAAAAGTGAGAAGCCCAGATGCCAAAGTGACCTCTTATAAGGTGTCATTATTGTAGATCCCGAGCCAGAAGATTCACATATCAGATGTGATTTACGTTGCAGGATTAATCCTACCGACTGACAAGCTGAAGAGAGTATACCGGAAAGGCAGCCGATCAAAATTCGATTCTTAGCAAAAAATGAATCTGTGGCTTTGTCACCGATCAAGTTGATTTTGACGTTCTCCAGAGCAAGAGACAAATTCATGATGGACTATATTACCAGAGAAGCAATTGCAAGCTTTGTCGAACAAAACACTCGCACAAGGACAAAAAATGGCGTTCCCAACTTTTAGCAATAACTCCTCGGAAACTTGACGACTTGAGGTCTTGTCAGAGAATGGGGATTGCTATATGATCGATCCTTTTGAATCCAATTCTTGTAGATAGCAGTATCAGAGAGACTATTAATAATGACAAATGGTCTTTGCTAGCATCAAGCATAAACGGCTTTAGTAAAAAAAAGGTAAGACAGCACATAAAATGCCCAGGAAGTCAACATATTACGTAATAAAATGTAAGTGATAAATCGCTATCTTTTTGCCACATTTGAAGTGCTCTCGAACTTCTAATCGCTCGACCACCATGCTATAGATATTATACTTTGAAACAGAGACTGATCCCACGAGATTCGACGAGTGAATCATGTTTTTATGTATATTTGGGAAAGCGGTTGAACTATTGACGCGTCAAAAGAATTTTTTGGTTTCAATTAAATGTGTTCAGGCTTGAATTAATATGGAGGATGTCAAATCTTATCTCGCGACCGCACTAAGAAACTCCAATTCCATAAACATGGAGAATGTTTTGGAAGGAATACAACAGCTTGATCTGCTTTTGGGGAAACTTAGTGTTTTGAAGTATGAAACTTTGGAGAACTCGCAGCAAATGAATTCAACATATACTTCTGATAAATCTGCTGAAAGCCGATCTCAAGAAACGGGCCATTCAACTCTGAATTTGAAGACCAGAAACTTACAGCGGAGGTGGAAAGTTCCAAAAACCGACGACTTAATATTTGGTGAATTTTTAGCTCTTCAAAATGATATTCACCTAAACGTGGTGGCCAACTTGATACACAACATATCCAATATTGCACACCAAAAAGATTATGAGCTATTGAAAATTTGCCTAAAAGTGATTCAAGGTTGTCTTCTTCTCCACCCTCCATCACGTAATCTGTTCATTTTGGACTCGAACATGCTTGTTTTATTACGACTGTTGGATTTGCACAATCCACCGCAAGTCATTGAAAGCGTGATTCCAACTCTCGTAAGCATTTTGGTGCGGAATGTACCGAATATCAGAACATTCGAAAATCTGGATGGAACCAAAGCCATGTGCACATTGTTGACTCATAAAATCTCGACTACCTCTTCCTCGACCGGGTGGAAAGAGGTTCAGGTGAAAGCCCTTGAATTTTTGTTTTTTTACCTGATTCCAGAATCTCACAGCGGAAGAGCGGTCTCGGGGGTCTATGACACAAGTTCAACACATTCAAGAAGCGGACCGAACAAGTTTAACGACGATGGTTATCCCAGAAGAGGCACAGGAGAAAAAGCCCAGATACTCAATAGATACCTTAACAAAGAAATCACAGAAGGTTTAATTGCTGAGCTTCTTTCGAGCAAACCTTTTGGAAACATGCAGACCGACTGGTGATAAGGTGATCATGAAGAAGCTTTTGGCCCTCTGTACAGACAGTCCAACTATCCTCAATTTGATTTACGACGGTATCGCCTATTGATGATCTCGCTCTTAAACCGAGACAATTTGGAACGTGTCATGCAGCATTTCATTTACTTAAAGATTGTTTCGAGTCTTTACCAATATAGTGAATGGGGTTCTCGGTCATCTCTGTGAATTAAGGAAAAGATTAAAAGTACCCTTTTTCTTTAGCTATCCTTTTCTGAGGAGGTCAAAAGTCTTCTAGGAATAATTCAACTTTTGGAAGACACTAATCGCGAAAATAGTAGTCACCGGTTTAATACTGCATTCCAGATCTTGATTCCGGAGTTTTGTCAAAGTTTACAGGAGTTCAGTTAATTTCGTTGTAGAATCAATCTGTTCGAATCCCCCATGTCTTCTTCAACGCTACACTAATTATGCGAAGATCATGTCAGCGCAGTCACGTGCCCTGACTAAACTCCGAATTCGGTGAACCTCCAAAACTACTGTGCAACACCCAATTTAAAAGTCGGACTCGACTTCGGAAATATGAGTTTAACGGCCCCAGAAAAAAATACCACCCTGCGGGCATTTTAGGGTACACCGGGGAGTTTCCGTGGTGGGCGAAAAAAGATTGCTGGAAGTATCATTCGCAGTAAAACTATACATATCAATTTCGATATCTATTTTTTTTAAACATTCGTGATTTGGATATGCTTTCACAAATTGTCAAAAATAACTTGGTCAAAGGCTCAGGAAGAAGAACATTCGCCACTGCTGTGAATGAGAACTCACTTCCAAAGAAGTACGGTGGAAAGTACATAGTGACTTTGATTCCTGGTGACGGAATTGGTAAAGAGATTACAGACTCTGTTAAGACGATTTTTGCCGCAGAGAATGTCCCAATTGATTGGGAAACTGTCGAGCTTTCCGGTGTTTCCGGTTCGAATTCACAGATTGATGAGGCTGTTCTTTCTTTGAAGAGAAATAAGGTTGGATTGAAAGGAATCACCTACACACCTAGCTCTCCATTTGCAAAATCACTAAATGTCGCATTAAGAAAGGAGTTGGATATCTACGCTTCCTTGGTCCTGATCAAGAATATTCCTGGAGTGCCTGCTAAATTACAGGATATTGACTTCGTGTTGGTGAGAGAGAACACCGAGGGTGAGTATTCTGGTCTCGAGCATCAGTCTGTCCCGGGGGTTGTGGAATCTTTGAAGATTATGACCAAATACAAGACAGAAAGAATCGCTCGGTTTGCTTTTGATTTTGCCATTAAAAACGACAGAAAGCTTGTTACCGCTATTCATAAAGCCAACATTATGAAACTTGGTGACGGTTTGTTCAGAGCTACCGTGAAGGATGTCGGAACGTCGGAGTATCCCGACATTGAAGTCAAGGACATGATTGTGGACAATGCTTCGATGCAAGCTGTTTCGAACCCACAACAGTTTGATGTCATGGTGACACCAAATCTTTATGGTTCCATCCTGTCTAATATTGGTGCCGCTCTTATTGGGGGACCAGGTCTTGTTCCAGGTGCAAACTTCGGTAGAGAACATGCAGTTTTCGAGCCAGGTTGCAGACACGTTGGTTTGGACATCAAAGATAAAAACCTGGCCAATCCAACAGGAATGATCTTGTCTGCTACAATGATGTTGAGACATCTTGGATTGGACGACTATGCTGACAGAATCTCAAAAGCTACGTATGATGTTTTGGCAGAGGGAAAGACCGTCACTTCCGATATCGGAGGTAAAGCCACCACCACAGAGTTTACGGAGGCCATCTTATCAAAGCTCCATGCTTGAATAGATTATTCAATATCTAGAATACCTATACTTATCTGTGATGTATAGATAACTAAAACGTATTTATATTCAGAAAATATTTTTGCATGGTCATGATAAGTACGTATTTCTAATTACTGTATGTAATTGATTTACATCACAATTTAGTTTTATTTGAGAATTCAGTCGATAATAATAAGGGAAAAAATGAGTGAATCGCTTAATTCCGTCGATTTCCATCTCCAGCTTAAGTTATCACAGTTCTGTACTCCAATAGAAGTACTCAAAAAGAATTTCAAAGGAGTACAGATGTTAGTAGAGCGACAAAAAGGCAATATCTTATCTCAATTGAAGCTGATAGAAATGTCATCTTCCAAAGCGGAAAAAACCCAACTTATGAACACTCTGATTGAACAGCAGAAACGTTTCAATCAATTGCTGAGACTCAAGGTGGCGCAACATAATGAATTCATCTCCAGGCTACAATCTAGAATATTACGACTGAGTATAATAGATCAAAATGATATCAGGCCTCTCGGTAAAGCGACGACGGAAAATGTTGCTCAGGACAGACCTACATTCTACAAAGAAGAAATCAATCTTATGATTATCGACTTTTTACTGAAAACATCTTATTTGAATCGTTCTCAATCACAGGAACTTAACGCGGGAGTCATGCTTGCTAAAAAATTAGGTTTGGAAAAACAGGTCGATTATGATGTGATATTGCAAGGACTGGAGATCTATAACCAGATCAAAATCCATAAGAATTTGAAAGTGCTCATGAATTGGTGTACGGAAAACAAGAGGAGTTTGAAGTCGATTCAAACATTGAATAACTCTGATTCTAGTTTGGAGTTCGAAACATATTTTCAAAGCTTCATTGAGAATATTAAACTCGGAAAGCTTCCCGATGCGCTGGAAGTTGCAAATTCGTATCTTATCAATTTCCTGGACATAAATGCCCGCGGCAATCTGAACCAAATTGCTTCTGGGGCAGCATTACTGTGCTGGAATCACGACAGTTTCAGGAACGTATTTGCTCAATCATCGAAAACAGGGGGGCTGAAGTCTTCAAGCTTTTACGATCAGAATGTGCACATGATGAACCAAATCGAGAAGAACGTATCTCATTACAATGACCTATTGGAAGATTTGAAATGGACAAAGCTAGCTAATTTTTTTCTTTTCAACTTCAATTCCCTATACGGCATTGAACAAAGTCCTGAGTTGCTGCTTTTACTCAGCATTGGCTCTATTGCGTTGAAAACGAGATCATGTGCCCACGAAATCAACGAGATAGTCGATTCAGAACATATAAGCTTTGAAAGTTACTTGAAGGAGAATTTGAGTATGGGGGCTCGCTCAGGGATCAGCAATGAGTGTCCAATTTGCTCTACTGATCTTTTCGAATTGACGAGCCATCTCCCATTCTCACATCAGGTGAAATCAAACATTTACGACAATTCGGTCATGCTTCCGAATGGGAATGTTTACCAATACGAGAAACTTATGTTGAACAACTGGAAATTAAGCCAAGATTCAGTTTTGGAGTCCTCTGGCAGTGGTTCAATGAGATCAGCATCTGCATTCTTGACGAGTTTGCAAGCATCTGATGATGTCGATAGGCAAGAAGAACACGCAAGCTTGCTAGGAAGTCATAAAATTGTGGATCCTCTGACAGGACAGTCTTTTAGAAGGGAGCAGATTGTAAAAGTTTATCCTACGTAAATTAATGAACGTCGCTACTTGATTGTGTTTCGATCAGAGATGGTCATGTGTTGCCATGTGATGCCAACTTTGGCACTACACATCACGTCAACTAGCCACATACCAGCCACATTTTGCACGCCTTACACCATTAATGCTATTTCCTCTTCGGTCTTGATTTAAGATTTAATCAATACAAAGTTTGCTTTGGTTTCAGCAAGATGGTGCGAGGAGATACCGTGCTTTCTTCCCGTTGGAAAAAATGCATCGGTAATAAAATTCCCACTTCTCCTATTCAAACCAGATGAACAAGCTCTTCCTCTACGGTGACTACCATCCTGAACAAATCTAGTGAATCATGTTTTGTGCTTGGTAAGCTAGTGGACTTGGGCTTCTCTCACAATCATCTGGACTCTGACAAGATAGGACTTGTCGAACAATTTTTGATGAACATAGAATAACGCTGGACCTAAGTCAGATAAACATGGTTCTTTATCTCTTGGAACTCGATACGGTTCTCAAGAAGTCACAGGACTAAACTTGATAGTGTGCGAGTTCAGATTTGGATGGAGTCATCACAAGAGATTGAGGAAAATAATCAATTTAATGGGCTACTCAAGAACGTTTCTGACAGTACCCGAATTTTTTACAGCAGTATCAAACCCGCCTTCCAAAGAACAGGATTTGTTGGATCATCTTGATATTGCAGATCAACCCTATGTGCATTGCAATAATGACGATCTGACAGTTGCTTTATTCACCAAAAGACTGAAAGGCTTTAATCCAGGTTTTCTCAACGCAATGGGGCTTTCTTACTTAACATTTTGTGAGTACTTTATATTTGCTTCTGAAGTTGAGCTAATAATCGCGATGTCATTCTTTGAAATGAGTGATCCCAACCAGCTACTGTTTTCGACCATCAATTGGGGGCATCATGACACTCAAAATTTCCTTACAAATTCAGGCCTTTGGGACGCTCCAGAATAGAGATTCTTTTTGAATTGTTCAAGCGCACCGATTTATCAAGAAGATTTATGACCTCGATTTGGACGAATCTGTAGCGAAAGCTTTAGCATATGAGAGTTCAGAGAAGAGCAGCTTCAGCGTGGAAATCGATGGATAACATGACCATGGGCTCTACAACACTGACTATGGTGAGTGGTCTCGCCAAGTTAAGAACGAAGTGTGGTTCTCTTTCCGGCCTATGCCTTTTCCAAGGTTGAGAGCAACATATCAGCTCCTCAAAGAAATTCCTTGTTCAAATGCTGCTCTTGAGAGCACTTTCAGCCTCACCAACAACGTGGTGGAATTAAGGATTATCTACCTCGGCAATGAAAAGCTTTCAAACCTAATGTGTATTCCCTTGTTTGTCAGTTCTATCCCGGAGCTGCAAAAATTGGAACATCAATCTCACTTTGCAACTGAAGGTCAAGACGACGAGTGCTTTGATGTGAAGGTTGACGATATATTGGACGTTGAAACTATTTGCTGCTGACTATATAATATGCAATGTTGACTGAGACTCAAACATCGTAATTCAACACCAGGGCTGTGTAAAGGCTGCGCAACATGTGGTCAAATTGTAATCAAAGATCATTTCTGGTGTTGATGAATGTGCTTGAGACTGACGAAAAAAATTGCACCAATTGATCTGTGAATTTAATGGGAAAGCTTAAGGGAAAAGGCAGTAAAAACAGCAAACGCGGTAGGTCCAAACTGGAATCAGCTCTTACGCGGTATCAAGTCGTATCAGAAAACAAGAAACACACTGATTCGAGGGTACACGAGCAAGACATCTTGAGGTCTAAGAGGGCCGGAAAACAAAAAGGCCATAAGCTTATATCTTCTGACAATTTTCAGAAGCCATTTATACCGTTCAAATCTCACGAAAATGTACTTCTGGTTGGAGAAGGTGATTTTTCATTTGCCTTGAGTATAATCAATTCCAATTATGTTATGCCATCTCATCTATGGGCAACAAGCTTAGATTCTGAAGACGAAATAATTTCCAAATACCCTCATGCAGTACAGACACTTCAGCAGTTGAGAGGGAAAGGTGTCAAACTGGTATTTGAGGTTGATGGGACTCGTTTATGTGAGTCGTTGAAGTTGAGCTCAAATACAAAGAAATATTCAAGGAGAAACATAAGTATTTTGGAAACTGACCATATAGACCTTATAATGTTCAACTTCCCGCATACAGGTAAAGGGATCAAGGATGTTGAGAGGAATATTATAGTACACCAACGTCTACTGGAGGATTTTTTCAAAAGCTGTCTTTCATTTTTCGACCTTCTAGAATGCTCCCGTGACGCCGTCAAAGAGAGTTCGACCGTCGATGCTATTTCCGGTTATAAAGTCACGAGTTTTGATTTATCGGAATCAGCTAAGGAATCAACCGGAAAGGGTAGAATCGCCCTTTCGCTTTTTGAGGGTGAACCTTACGATTCTTGGATTCCCCGGAAGATAGCCAGGAAGTCAATCAATTACAAGGTAGAACGCTCAGGAAAGTTTCAGTGGGAAGCATTTGAAGGATATCATCATCGGAGAACGAATAGCATGAGGGACACAACCAAAATTGCAAATTCACGAGACGCTCGTCTGTATGTCTTTGAATCTAATAAAGAGCAAGGAGCCGATGCCAGCAATGAATTGAACAGGGAATGATATGAAAACTGACGTGATGTCAGTCTTTTGAGCAGCCGTTTCAACTTGAGCGCAACTTTTCACACAGAGCCTACATGGCGGCTCTCGACCAAGAGCATATGTACTTTATGCCTAATATATTACGTAATCACAAATAAACAGTGACCTACAACTGACGAACTCTAGCTAACATATTTTGTTACCAGCTAAATAAAATTGACAATTGAAGCGGTAATTGGTTCAGTCAACACTTTTAGATTGTGTGAACGCTATAATTTGTCTTTTCAAAGATCAAGAAGGGTTGGAGAATTTTTTATAGGAAAGAGAAAAGGAGTTGTCTCTGTGATTACCGATGGCCTAAAATCTTACACAAAGATCAATAATCTCTCTTGAAAACTGCAAAATTTCATTCCGGCATTTTTCGATAGCACCCTTATTTCACTTATCGTGACTATTACCATTTGGAGTCATCGTATATTTGCAAGACATCAAAACTGAACTGAGATATGGTTCTTAAAAATTCTTTTGAAAGTTTGAAGCTCCGTCAGTCATCTGCTAGGGTGACATCTTCAAATTCTATGACAATTGTTGAGGCTCCGGAAGAAGGAGGACTACAGTCACCGCCTGGCCAAAAGTTTTGGAAGTATCATGTTTTACAATTAAGCCAATCAGAATTCTATCTGACCACCAACCCCGACGATCGTCACAAATTTGTTCGAAGCGCGCCAGGATATTACGTTAATCTAGAGCTCTTGAAAGACAATACTCGGAATTTTGTATCAGCATCGAATAATGGTTTCCGTTTAGTTTTCACCAAACAAAGTTATCCCAAATCCAACGAAACAGGTGATATACTTTATGATCCAGTGAAATCTTTCGCGGTTGAAAAACAAGCTTACTCAAAAGGTGGAAATGTTGAACTGAATGGAACAGCCAGCCAGTTTGTTGATGAAGAGGGTAAAGTTATAGACCACATGCAGGACCGACAGTTGAACGTTAATTACACCAATAAAGCGAACTCTGTTTCCCATAATGGCATGGTAATGGAGACATGCTATAAATTAGGCTCAAGCTGCGTATGTTCTTTGAAAGAGAAGAAAAGTACCATCTTGTTCAAAAATAAGATTGATGGTGTCAAATTATCGAAGGAAGGTTCCATATACTTCATTGATGAACAACTTGGAGGAACTTACTGGCATGATTCAATACTAGGACTATTTAGACCTTGTGAACGGGACATGAAAGCTAAAATTACCAAAAAGGTTTTATCTAAAGGTGATTCATTTCATTCTTCACTTCGGGAGGACGCAGCAGACAATTTCGAAGCACTCAATTTGGATGATGATAATGAGTCTGGAACAGACCGTACATTCTATTATGCAAGAGATGGACTGTTACAACGACACCCTCAAGACGATTCCCCTAACGATTTCAAGGTTGGCTGGGTTACAATTTACGACAAAGCTGATTACTTTGCAAAAACGGATGGGAAGTGGGAACAAGTTCTTGGCTTCACGCTCGTTGCAGCTTTCGAGCAATTCATTGGTAGGATTTCTCGGGACTCGGTACTAATCTGACGGCTTTTGCTTTTTAATAGATCGAATTTTCCTCAAATCATCTTTATCTTATCGCTCCAGGTGTTTCCTAAAGTGTACTATCTCCGGCCAAAAGTTTTGGCCGGAATTTCTCTCAAGCTACTTTATCCCAACATGGAAGGACCGAAAAAAATCCGGCCGCCAAATAAATTCCCGTAGCATTTGAATCACTTCTTTTGCACACGGATTGGCGTCTCGCGCTGAGAAATACCCGGTGAAAGAAATTTGCCCTTTTCGGAATTGCAAATATTGATTTAGCATTATAAAAGAAGGGAATATCTCACCAATTCGAAACATAATATCTATAATATCAATCGTATATCATGACAGTTACTCCAGAGAAAACAATTTGCGTGTTTTGTGGATCATCTTTCGGGAAGAATGCATCCTTCACCAAGGCAGCTACAGAGCTAGGTAATTTACTTGCTTCAAAGAAATATGGTCTTGTTTACGGAGGTGGAACTACAGGACTGATGGGCATCATCGCAAAAACGGTGGCATCTCAGGATGGGTATGTTCATGGAATCATTCCTGACGCTCTTGTCACTAAAGAGAGATCCGACTCAGTTGACGAGATCAATAAGAAAATACAGACAGATGTGGAGAATCACAAGGGAGAAACGCCTCTGGATGATAGTTACGGGAAAACCACCATTGTCACGGATATGCACACTAGAAAGAAAATGATGGGAATGGAGGCTAATGGAGGATTCGTGGCAATGCCTGGTGGCTTTGGCACGTTGGAGGAAATTATGGAAGTGACGACTTGGTCTCAGTTAGGAATTCACAAGAAACCAGTCGTTCTGTTTAATGTTGATGGATTTTACGATGAGTTCATCAAGTTTCTGGACAGCGCTGTGGAAGCCGGATTCATTTCAAAGAATAATAGTAGTATTCTAGCAGTTGCAAACACAGCCGAGGAGGTGGTCGAAAAGTTAGACAATTATGTTGTTCCAGAAGGTCGATTCAACCTCACATGGAAGAATAATTAGATTAGATTCACACGTCTCGTGTACTACTTGCTCATACTACTTTTAGATAAAAGAAGTTAAATATTCAGTATAAATAAAACTAACTTAATCGAAAGTGTTGATGTAGTCAATGCTATCGACACACTGAGCAACTGTCATTTGCCCTGCACCAACAATCTTGCTAACTTCGATACCTGAGTTGACAGTGGAAAGATATGCGTCGTGTTCTAAAATTAGTCCATTGACTCCCGAATCTTTCCAGCGACGAACATCACTATAGATGTCATCGGCTGTCCTGGATGGAGGTGAAGTTTCCATTTTCCAATCAAAGGAGTCATGATCCCAAAGAACTGCCTGCATTCCGAAAGCTCTAGCAATCTGCCGAACTCTATCGTCAACGCCACCATACGGTGGTCTGTACCATTTGGGCAGATGGGAGCCGGTTGCATTCATAGCCCAAATTGACCACTGAAGTTGAGCAACAATATCTTCATTGTTTAGCTCCGGCAAAAACTTATGTGACCAAGTATGACATCCAAGAAGATGTCCCTGATTTTTGATCTGGTTGTAGATCTCAGGATATCTAACAACGTTCATCCCAATTGTAAAGAAAGTTGTCTTGTGATTTAACCCTGCAAGGAGTTTTGGGGTGTAGGGAGAAGGCCCATCATCGAAAGTTTGAGACAGAGTTGGGCAAGTATACGCATCGTCAAACGATATACATTTGAAGCAATCAAATGAACAAGTTGAGCGGTCGGGAGGACAGACACCAGGCGCTCTGGGAGGAATGTTAGGCAAAGATTTAAGATCAATAAAATCAAGTGGAATATATGGCGGATCAGCTCCAGGCCATTCAGTCAAACCTGTGAAGTCAGATAACCATTTTGGAACGGGAGTAGAAGCCATCATAGAAATGTTTACCGAGGGAAGTTCAGTGAAGCTAGATCGAATCAAAGTATCAGACTGCGATCCTGTTGGAACCGCCAAGGTAGAACCCAATCTTGAAAGACCTAGAGTGAGAATAAATGGAAATGTATCTGCTCTCATTGCATCAGTATCACTATCTGAAGAAAGATGCTATTTAGTCCGTATCGATGATGGAAAAGAGAATATCTTAATTAAGGAGAGAAAGATGTCTCAACAGGTTTTTAAATCCAGCTAAACGCCTAATGGATATGCGTTATTTAAATGTACCTTGCATTGGCAAACGTCCTTTCATCGCTACCTCTAGACTCATCCTTCATAGACTCGCTTGGAATACAGAGAGGAGATAAATCTTCACCTAATTTATCACTCGCAAAACTATCTCTCCTTGCAACCGGTGTTAGAGAGTAATTTGCAAAAGTAGGCGAGTTGCTCGTCTTTTTCCTAGTTTTGCTTGTTCGGAAATCGGGTATGTCGTACGATTGGTTATCGTAGAACGAGTTGAATGGCGGAACCGAATTGGAAACACTAGGTAACCTTTTTGAGCTAGCCACCGACCCAGCAATAGTTGACCGTCGCTGACTAGATGATCTGCTTAGTGATGACGAATTCGATGCAGAAGAAAAGGACCCAGTAGATGAAACCGGCATGAATTTGACTAATTGTTGTTTCAGCTGCTTGTTCTCTTCTTTCAGAGTTTGTATTTCTTTCATTAGTTTCAGCACAATGCCCTCTTGCTCTTTTTCCATAACATCAATCAAATTTTCTGAGCTTAACGGCGGAACGCTGACAGACGATCGTCTAGATCTAGAGGAAGAAGCGTTGGATGATATGGAAGAGTAGGGCAGCTGATCTGCCTTGTTTAAGGTTGGAGCTTGTGTTGATTTTGGGCTCAACGCTATTGGGTTTGTTGAGTGTGGCGTGATCTTGGGACTTGTGATTAGATGCGGCTCTGCGAATGAGGTCTCTGATGTTGAGGGTAATCGATTAGGCAGAGTATGGCGATTAGCAGTAATCGGTTTGTTGAGTTGTAAACCAGTTGTACGCGGAGACGTTTGTGCGCCAGAGGGTTGACCGCTGTTGTCTGTATGAGCCATGATCCAATGAATATGATAAAGGAGGTATAAGCTCTGCTCGAATGGAGATTAAGATAACCAACCTCTCAAATTGCCCGCTAGGTAAATATCTACTTTCAATTGTGACCTGATAGTGGCAAGAAAGTTCGAATCAAAATGGTCGTTCACCGCCGACCAAGTTGTGGGTTAGATCAACACACTAAAATTTTGCATAAGCACGAGGAGTAACGAGGCGGGGTAAATTTAGCAATCAAAAGGCAGGGTAATGTGTCAAAATAGGCTGTCATATGATTCCCTGTTACAGCCGCACTATTGTCCATCACACATTTTGAGCGTGTATAGGTTAGGTGGTTTTAAGTGACTGCGAGTGTAGAGCAACACTACTCATCTCTCCAATTTTGATCAGTTACTTTTAAAGAGATATGAAGAAGTCATCAGAAAATTCAGAAACAGACTACGGCATTTCTCAACATCAAATAAAGTCAAATTTCTACATTTGCGAACGCGCACGATTGGTAGGTCCTCAAGGTTCAGTTGTAACCTGGCCACTTAAAGTAGACTTTCGGGATACTCGTTCATAATCCAATTGCTGTCTCAGTTTCGCCAACCTGTTAGCGGAGGTAGTAGATCTATGGTCGAATACCACGGGGTAATTAATCAACTTGGGAGAAATGTATTTCGACTTCACCAATTTGTAAAGGACTTCATCTCGAGCGAATTCAGAGTCAAGATTCTCGAAATTGAGGACATCCTCCTCCTCCTCCTCTTCAACCAAACTCTCTGATGCATTGGCTATATATGTTGAACGCATAGTCGTCAGTAGTGGAGTGTATTGGTTCACAAAGTTTGAATGTCCTCTCAAGGATTTTGAAGATGAACCAGAAGATCCTGTGCGACGAACGCCTTTGCTGGTGCGATTGTCAGGCAACCAATATTTTTTCCCATCAGATGAGTATCGCAAACCATCATGTATTTTTTGGTTGAAAGAACCCGAATTAGTATAAATCCTGTTGTCATTGATAGAATCAAAATTGCGAAAATTGTAGCTATCTCCATATAGTGTCGTGATTTTCAGATCGTAGAACAAATCACCCAAAAACAGACAATCCTTTAAAGCTAGCGGAGTAGAGATTCTGGCACAGTTCTCATGCCTATCAGCAGTGAAGTCTGTATAAGGAAACGACCTCCAGTGCAAGATCGCAAAGAAAATCATTTCGAGACAAAGCAGAGCATTTTGGATCTGCATTCCGCTCAAGAAACTCGACGGGTTCTCATCAAAATCGGGTTTGAGAACTCCAAACCAACTGAGAACACCGAGCAAAAGCCCTTGCCAGTAGGAAGCAAATATGATCAATTTGACGCAAAGGAATTTGCCCCAAGGATTAAATTGTCGTAATTCCTCGTAGAGACATTTCCAGAACATAGCCAGAAAATAAAGCGAGATCGTGACACTCAAGTTATAAGCAACCCCAGTCCAAAAGTAAAGGCTTGTGAGTGAGATATCTGTTTCATCGTAAACACCGACGAGAGAACCGATGACGAAAACCAGATACAGAAGTGGTTTGACCCAAACATATTGCAGGATACATCTTTTGATGAATAGGAATTGTGACGGGTCAGAGAATTCAACGGGGCTAAGAAACATATTTATGAAACGTGGATGCTTTGTTTTTGGTTTGTCTATCGAATCTTGGATGATCTGGCGTTCTCCACCCAGCATCAAAACCAGGAGCTTGTAAAATGTGTAGATGACCAATGCTTCGTAAAACTCTCTAAATGGTTCAACATACTTCCCCAGAGAAGGACTTATAAGATTAACATAGCATGAGACTGCGAAAAGAGGAACGATGATCAGGATTCTTATAATCAATCTTTGCTCAAAAGGCTTTCGATAGTTGCTCGCTTGAAGATATATTGCCACGAATGAAATAGCTATCGAAATAAAACTAGTGATTCCAGAAACCACGAGAATTACCCCTAATGTTGTGAAAGACATAATTCAAGTTTAGATATAGTCAAAGAGTCAACATTGCCTGTAGTATTAAGATCAATTGAGCCTTTAATATTGTTGATTGATCAGCAATTTAGATGAGGCGCGGAAAATACACGGGTCGATAGTCGGGTCGCTGTATAAAAATATCAAAATGACCCAGATCGGCTTAATGACCCCCCTTTTAATATGGTGGTGGTTGATCCCACTGGGAGGATGCGCAGGAATTGCTGTGCATTTAAGTATTGCTTCAAGAGTAAGTGATTACTTTCCCGATGATGTCCGCGAATTGGATGGATCCATACTTGCGGGGTCCTTCTATCCAGATGCATTGTACAATTGTTTTGGACTTAACGATGCAGCCGAAGAAGCCCATTGGCCGCCATTCTTGCTCAGGATGGTCGAGAACTATAAGTCTTGTGGAAACAAAGATTTGAATATAAAAGCATTCATATATGGGATGTTCACCCATCAGATAGCAGATGTAAGTTGGCACTCCTTACACAAAGCTCAAGGTTTATTGGACTACTTAAGTGCCACTGAATTCGGTGATGCAAAAACAGAAGCCCACACCTTTTTGGATACCGGAGGCGACTTTTTGGTTCTCTCCAGAGAATTCGGAAATCTTGATAAACAGAAGAAGTCCGACTTGCTACACCATTTTTTGTCAGAGTGGAATATACCTGTTGACCCCCTTATTCTTGCATACCGCCAACTTGGGTACGATGTATCAGCTACAGAGATTATGACATGTATGGTGAGAGGTTACTCCGGTCTAAGAGGGGAGCTCGATTCTTTCAGAACATCAGCACCCCCGGTACAGCACCGATCCCCTTTGCTCAATGAAATATTGGTCGACTATTATTTTGGAGGCATAGACGATATTGTTGATACAATACGTGGCTGCTTGGATGCACTGAGCCAGTTTTTCGATAGCGACGAGGGTGCTGATCCGTGGAAAGTCTGCTCTATATTTCAGCCAAATTGGGTGAAAAGAAATGAACAAACAGCAGCTGCCAAAAAGAGCTCAAGAAATCAAACACTTGAAATACAAAGAGCTGAAAATGAGCCGTTAACATTGTGGAACAATCAACCTAATTCAAAGTTTGGATCAAGCTTATTATATCATGAATCCATCTCTGCGGAAGCAGAGTTGATTATTGGGGCAGAATATGATCTCGAAGGAGGTTCGGTCTTCGTTGTACCTCTTGCAGGTTTATTGGATGAGGATCAGATTGATACAGAATGCTTCACTGATTTGTCGACTGACCTATCGTATGGTCCTAGATTTGGACATCGGGTAACCTCATGGAAAATTACACAATATCCGTTTACCGTCATTTCGGAACCTGGGATGTCTAGAATCTTCGTTTACTTGGACTCTCAGTTAGTGGCAGTTTTGGTCGATTATAATGCAAGCACAAAACTCGGCAGTGGTGGGCCCAAAGAATTAGGTTCCTTTTTGGCAACTGACGACATCAATGGTGACGGAATCTGCGACTTGATTGTAACGTCTCCTCATTATGATCAGGAGGGGGTGAAACAGAAAGGAATTGTCAAAATTATCAGTGGATCGGTGTTTTTGAAGCAAATTGAATCGATTTTGCTTTCTCTCCAGTCGACTGAAAGCAATCCCCTCTTTTTTGATATCGATGAGCTGACATGTACCGAGTTTAATCTCCCTGAGTCTTTTGAATTGAAAGAAGGATATGACCAGTTTGGGACATCTCTCTCATTTACGAATGAATCAGTTTTCATTGGCTCACTCGGGATTGGATCTGTGCTAGTCTATGACAAGCTGGGGAATTACAAGGAGAGATTATCAAACGTGGTGTCAAAACCAGACGGAAGTCGTGTGATTTCTCAAGAGAGTGGTTTATTCGCATTTGGAGCCAGCATTTCCGGTGAATGGGAATCTCATGAATGGGTACTCGTGTTTGCGAGTGCTCAGTTATCCGAATTTTGCTTCCAATGTGGATGCGGATATTTATATATGAAGAGGGGCGATTTTGACTTGGTTGCAACAATCCAACCAAAATGGGGATTCAGTGTATTTTTTGGCGTTAATGCGATCAAAAATGGCGATTCTGTTTTCGTTGCGGGAGATGGATACATGGATGGAGCAGGTGCGATTTGGGAAATCAATATTGACACAATCTTACAACAATCAAAACATCAAAGCGGCATTATGGAGGTGAAATTGAGCGATTTTAAAGAACAGTATGGTGGTGTTGTTATAAAAGGAAAAGCAGGAACAGGGTATAGTGGATTTGGTCGTTCACTTGAGACCTTTTCATACAAAATGCATAAATATTTGGCGGTTGGGATGCCTTTCTATGGATACGGAACTCTCAACAGAGTTATTGGAGGAGTCGAAATACATATGATTGATTAACTCCAATTCCTTCAAATCGGGAGGTTAAGGACATTGTAAAATGATCATGGAAGCTTGAAATCAGCAAATCGAGCCTGCATGATAAGAATTATACTAGAAAACCAATCAATACTTCTTTTGGGGCATTGGAGACTGGATTAGTGACCAGCCAAATACGACTGGATGAAAGGGATCTTATAGCAACGAGTGCTGGTAGTCGTGTCGCGTCCTGGACCCGCAATTTAGAAATTGAAAAGCATTTTAAAGTTGCTTCCAGGATCAAGGATGCCTATTGGTGATTCTTTTGAGTTACACCTATATAAAGAGTCGAAAGCTTGCACGCTCAGAAAGCACGATTTCAAACTTTGAGAGGATATGCCCTGACCCTGAAAATTCACACTCATTCTTGCGGGTTTTTTGACAATTTTGTGGCTTGGTGACTTGGTTTGAGCATGGCCACTGTAACTGTTAGTCCAGGCGGGGTAACTACAAACGGACAAACGGTACTATTTCAAATTGGATCGCAAACTACCATCTAAATTGGGAATTTGTGAAGTAATTTTCCAAGAGATTTTATGAAAACCATGAAATTTTCTGGCGCCAGCGCCGCCAACAATGAAAACAAGAGTTGAGAGATTTTTTCAACGGCCAAGCTCACAAATTTGGGATCAAGACCTATGACGTAAATTCATAGTCTTTAGTGGTGACCAAGGGGAAATCACAACAGAGATCAATCAGTTTATCAGAACAAATCTTGATAAATCACTGCAAGAGGTTCGATAGGCTGATTGCAACTGCTTTGGGGATCTATATAAACCGATCCAAAAAGCTTATGGAATTATTTGACACAGCCTTCGCTTAAGTTTCTTCGAAATTACACGCTAGACCCCATGTTAATTTTTTTCCAAGATGCACAGCCGTGAGCGAATTTTCATGAGAGTAAATTTTGTCTCAGGTGGCAGGTGCCACTTGTAATTCTTGGAAGGCCCACCCACCCCAACTGGCGTCACTTCTAGATTAGGACTGGACAGTTTCTTTTAATCCATGCCATCGTGTAATTGGATATTGCTATCTCAGCACATATCTAAAATCCCTCACGAGGCATCGCTTTGTCGTAGTTTATAAGGAGCTCAGAGAACCCCTTTTCCTGTAAGATCAACTAAACACATATGACTTTGCAAAAGGTATGGACTACGAGCTTCATTCACACATACTAACATATAATAGAAGCAAAATAAAGGACTACACGTGCTTTACATGAGTTACTGCTCCGTGGGAGCCATCTATGGTGACATAGGTACGTCTCCTTTATATACGCTCTCTACCATATTTAGCGACAACCCAAGTCCTACAAAGAGTGAGGTGTATGGAGCTGCATCCTGTATCTTTTGGCTATTCACCATCATTGTCATCTTCAAATACGCGCTGATTGTCCTTAGCGTAGGACCAAATAACAATGAAGGTGGACAAATTGCCATATATTCCAAGATCGCAAGAACTTTGAAATTTGGACCTGAGGGGGTTAAAATTCCTGGAAGCAAAGAGTATGCTAGAGAGCTAGCTGATAGTGATGATTTGCTATCACTCACACGAACAAACACCAATGTTTCAAGCTTTTCCAAACTCGACAACAAAGCTCCAAACGAGACAGTTAAGAATATCCTATCGAAGTTCACTCTGGGAGTCTGCTTTTTGGGATGTTCTTTGGTGTTCTCTGATGGTCTCCTGACACCTACTACCTCTGTCTTGTCTGCTGTTGCAGGTATTGCAGTTCCAGTACCATCTTTCTCGGATAAAGTGATGCCAGTCTCATGTGCTATTCTCATTGTTTTATTCATCTCTCAACGGTTTGGTTCAGGGAAGCTATCAATCTTGTTCTCACCAATTGTCTCCGTTTGGCTCGTGTGTCTCTTCGTTAACGGTGTGATCTCTGTCCACAAATACCATCCGGCTATTATGAGAGCACTCAACCCATACTATGCTGTGCACTTCCTCAACAAGCATGGAGTTGATTCTTTCAGCTCCCTCATGCTTTGTTTGACCGGATGCGAGGCAATGTTTGCTGATGTTGCACATTTCGGACCCCTCTCCATTCAATTAACACTAACAACCTTTGTCTATCCATGCTTGATCATGTGCTACTTTGGACAAGCCGCTTATTTGATTAAAGATCCTCAAGCTGTTTCCAACGTTTTCTATCTCTCGATCCCAGGACAAACCGGTGGCGGTTATTACTGGTTCATGTTTGTTATGGCAACGTTGGCAACCGTCATCGCGTCACAAGCTTTGATTTTGGGAGTGTTCTGTATCTTAAAACAACTGATTACGCTGGATTGTTTCCCACGGATGAAGACTGTTTGCACATCAGACAAGCACCCCGGCCAAATTTTCATTCCGGTTGCAAATTGGGTGCTAATGATTTGTGTCGTTCTCACAACCGTTGGCTTCAAGAATAGCAACAATGTCACTGCTGCTTATGGACTGGGAATTTCCATTGACTTCATCTTGACTACCACCTTGATTGCGATCTGCATGATCTATGTTTACAAGGTCAATATCTTTGTGTCGGCTGCGTTTTTCTTAGGATTCGGAACGCTTGATGCCCTCCTTATCATCTCTGGTATGAGAAAAGTTCCGCATGGAGCATGGTTCCCACTAATGATGGCTGTCGTTTCGTTCACTTTCATTTCTTTCTGGAGATGGGGAAGAAGTTTGAAAGTGAATTATGATCTCACATTCAAGAAATCCGTTGATGAGCTTTTTGTCAGTACCACTTCTGTGAAAGCCGTCAAGGAGGCAGTGGTCTTCAATCTGAACAGCAGCACTGACAAGAAGCCAGATGCTGATTTGGCTCCTGACAATGAATCGATCACCTCTGTTCCGTCCATGGGATCCAGTGAGGAAGTCCCTGATCCAGGCTTCTTGGAAATGAAGCACGAAGGTAATATTATCAAAGTTCCAAGAGTCAATCACGTTGGTATCATGTATTGCACCTCATCAACGGCACTGACTAACAGAAACTGTCTCCCACAGTTGTTTGAGCATATTACTTATTCATTCAACTCTGTGCCAAAGATCTTCATTTTGATCGAACCAAGAGTTAGTACACTTCCTATAGTGGAAGAAGAAAACGCATTGGGAATCCAAAAGATTGAAGGAATTCCAGGATTTTACAGGTGTGTGATCAGATCCGGATTCATGCGTCAGAACTTGTTGACCAAGAGCACATTGAGACAATTGCTGCTATCCATCCCAGCCATCGACGAGCTGAGAAGTATTTACAATGTGAGTGACGTTCTTGATGAAAAAAACCAATTCACCATTCCAATTGTTCATCTTTTTGAAAGGGAGTATTTGACATCAAAAACTTTTGAAGCCGAAGAAGAGGAAGAATCAAGATTTAAACGGATTATTAAATCACCATGGAGAATCGTCAGAAAGAGCTTGATCAACTATATTTTCAGTCCAATTAACGGTATTTCCAACAATAGTACCATGGACTTCTTGCTGCCTCGGAAAAAAGTTGAACCGAACCAAGAATTGCTGTATGTGGGCAATATGATCACTATTTAAGGTGCTAATTTTCTATGCTTTCCCCGCAACTTTCCAAATATGGTGGTAAAATCTCATCTTCAGATACAGACTAGTTTCTCCGTTTGTGACCTGCCATGAAATGATGTAAGATTAGCATTGCGGCTGGTCCGCTCATGCCAAATCAGGACCTGAATAGTTGTAATATTTGATTGAATATATTCAAAATCGAGCCTGTCAACTAGATAAGATAAGCGGACTAGTCGCCAAATCTGAGCTACAAATAAAAAACGGTCATTTTTTTGACGCATTTTAGTTGCTCGTGCATTCTATTGCTAAGTTTGCATGTGATCAAAAGTTTTGTTTAAGCGCTTCGTTTGAATAGCAATAAAGAAATTCAACTTATACAACTGATGTATGGAACATCACCACACTTATAAATTGCTTAAAGGAATATAAACACATCCAGTATACTTTGAAATCACTGTATCTAAATGAACAAAAAAACGATATTATCAGTCATCATCAGCTTAACGTCGATCCAATCATCAGAAGCGGCACCGATATCATGGGAGAAGGTACCAATTGTCAATGGTCAACAGTTACCGTGTTTTGCTGTGGATGGCTCAGCCTGGTTTCCAGCAATCACAAAGCACTCACCAACTCAAATAACTACTTTCTTTAACAACGAGCCAAAATCCAAATCCGGTCGCTTAAATAACATCTTTGGGAACTTGATTTCTGCTGTCAAAACGGTTTCGGATGGTGTCTCTCCTTCTGAATCGCTTCCGAAAACCGAATTCGAAGTTTGGCTAGATGCCCAAAAAGAGATTTCTTTTAAAGGGATGTTGAACAACATTGGTGGATATAGCGAGATAGATGAACTGAAAGGTGCTATTCCAGGAGTTGTCATTGCGTCTCCATCGAAATTCAGACCCAATTATTTGTATCAGTGGGTTAGAGATGGTGCGATCACTATCAACTCACTCGTTGAATACTTAGACGACGCACAGTTTCAGGATTCGGAGTACAACTTACAGTTCCTTATTGAATCATACATTGTGAACTCGAAGGTTCTCCAGCGACTATCTAATCCTTCTGGCTCATTTGATGATTTGGAAGGGCTAGGTGAGCCGAAATTTGAAATTGATTCGACTCCTTTCAAAGATAATTGGGGTAGACCGCAAAGGGACGGGCCTGGATTGAGAGTTATCACGATATCGAATTACTTGAGTCTTCTCAAGAAATATAATAAAGGATTGCAATTACAGGACAAATTGGTGGATGAGAAAACGATATACTTTGATATCGTCAGGCCTGATCTGTTGTACATTATGAAAAGTTGGAATAAGAATGGATTTGATTTGTGGGAAGAAGTGAATGCACTACACTTATTCACAAGTTTGACACAATTGAAAGCTTTGAAGTTAGGTCTCCAATTAGCTTCATTGTATGATGATGATTCTTTCTACGACAAACTATCGGTTTCTTTCAATGCATTGAGATTTTATATCTCAGTTGACTCAGGTTACCGCTTCAGTTCTATCCCATATTTGATTGAAACGCCAGCATTACTTCTCCAGGGTAAAAGAACGGGTCTTGATATTTCTTCAATTCTGGCGGTCATCAGATCTCACGATTTAGAGACCGATTCCGGTGATGAGCTCGACATTCCTTTCCCTGTTGATGATGCTGCAGTTTTAAATACTTTAGCTGCTCTGGTGAACGATATGAAATATAGGTACCCTATCAATCACAAGAGATTAGGTATCAGCTCAGGTTTTGCTTTAGGAAGATATCCTGAGGATATTTACGATGGCTATGGAACAAGCGAAGGTAATCCTTGGTTTATTGCTACAGCTACTGCTTCGGAACTGGTTTACAAGTACATCTACAATTTGTACAAGTATCAAAAGGATCTGATAATTCCAATCGAGCAAAAGCGTTTGTTTGAGAGTATCACGAATATGAAGATCGAAGGTGAAACTGTGGTGCCTTACGGTTCCAAAGCATTTTCTGAGTCAGCTGCTTCTTTGTTGAATTATGCAGACGCATTCATGGATGTGATCAGAGAACATGTTGATAGCGAGGGCCATATGAGTGAGCAGTTCAACAAATATAGCGGGTACATGGAGGGGGCAGAAGATTTGACTTGGAGTTATAGCTCTTTCTGGAGTTCGATTAGATGGAGAGCAAAGTCTATAAAGATTATGAGAGACAAGGATCGTTCGTTTCATTGATTCTTCAATTATGGATCAGCGCTAGAAACAAACAGGAGACGTTTTTTTATGAGTTACGATCGTTATTTATGTGAAAGTTTTATACATGTTGGAATACAAGTGCGACTGTGCGTGATCTAGATGAATTAAAATTACTCCTTATGTTTGCTTCTTTCTAAAAGCAACTTCTTCTGGAAGAGTGAAAGAGATGCAGAACATAGGTTTTGTCGGTGCAACCAAACGCACGTAATGGAACGAAAGATCTTCGTAAGGTATATCATATTCCAGCTGAGAGACGACTTTCAAATGTGCTCGATGCTTTAATTCTTCATCTGAAGGAGCTGGCTGTTCCGTGCTTGAGAATTTTTCAAAATGGTGGACATGGATAGTCGGAAGTTTGTAACCGGCCAGCTGCTTCACCTCATCTTTGGAAAGTTCGGGCTCAAAGTTTGTATACAGACCAATGTATGAGTTGACGAATGTCATTGCGGAGTCAGGCAAATTCATAATGTAGTGCGAGAAAAAGTAAGGAATGTTGATTTTATCAATTCTATGCTTTTTGGCGCCCTTGTGGTTCACTGTCATAACTTCAATGTGATCCTCCCTCCTAGCATAGTCCAAGAGTAGTCTAGGTGATTCTTTGATTAACTGCCGGCCATCTTTGTTGAAACAAGTAACAAACTTCTCGACCTTGTTCTTTTTGACATTGGAAGTCAGATACTTGTAGCCTTCAGGGTTGAGATCGTTGGCGAATACAATCGAGTTCTTTTTAGCTTGTGGAATTGCAAAAGGACCAACGCCAGCCATGACATCACAAATGGCTTCGTCTGCTTTAAATAGGTTCACCAGCCGGCTATGCTCTGTCGATAATCTGGAGTTCCAATAAACCTTGCTAAAATCAAAGTTGAATACGCAACCGCCCTCTCTGTGCTCGACTTGTAAGTTGTTCTCTCCAGCAATGACTCTCATTTGGAATGTCCTGAACTGGGTATCAATTGATTGCATTTTATCCACCACCGTTTTTATACATGGATTCTTGTCAAGAATCACTTGACCGATGATATTGTCATAAGGCTTATATTCATCTCTCAAATTGAGATGAGCAATGTGCCCTGTCTTAGTAAATGAGCTTGGAGCCTCACTTAGAAGATTTTCTGGGAGAACGCTTTGGAGGATTTCCTCAGGCTTCCAGAAGTCATAGCCAAGTTCAAATCTATGTTTGTAGAATTGTCCACCGTTTTCTTTGATAAATTCTAGAGCAGGCGGCGACAGAATTCTATCAATATCTTCAAATGCCTGTATTTTGTAATTCAAAGCTATTGCTTTGAATTGAGGGTTCTGGGGCAGTTGTGTTAGATTGTGCTCCGATTCTGTAAGCTTGAACAGAAAAGGGAGTCGATTTATCTGAACAGTATCTTTCTTGAATTGCTTCACAAATTTTCCCATCTGGGCAACCTCCGGGAAAAGAACTGTCCAGACATCAAATGACGATGTGAAAGAATCTCTGTCCAGGGATTTGGGGTTTCGATTCACGGGTGCAACAACCTTTTCTGGTGATATAAAGCCCTTATACGTCATATTTCGAATATTCTTCAAAAGTTTGTGATTCGTGGAGTTATGAATGTTCGAGATTCTCCAGACCTTGAACATAAACTAAAAAGCACTAGTGGAAAAGCTATGATCAAAAAAAATTCAAGGATAGTGTTTTTTTTTTGGGGCGGTGAAGAAAAAGTTGTGGCAACGAGATCACAAAGCGTTAAATTTAATAATCAACAAATATCTTACTTGTTTCCTATCCGCAGTTCTTTATATATAGTTTGATCGATTGAAGAGATCGGTTTCAAATTGTCAAGTTTGGAAATTCTATCTGTGGCAGGATTACTGACAGTACCGTTCCCTCCCCTCCGAAATTGATTTGATAGGATCGCTTTGTTCCCTTTTTTATACTAACGCTATCAAGTGGCTTCCAATCGTGAATCTGAAGATCAACAATTTTATGATGCTATTTATGAACAGGAGCTCTTACGGCAAGAATATGAAGGTCAAAACCAACAGCAGGATCTGAGTGCCCATTATCCCCAAAATGTTTTGGGAGCTCAGCAACAGCTTCCTCCGGGAAGCCCTTACGCTGATATGAATTGGCAATACATGCAACAGCAGCAACAGCAACAGCAACAGTATCAGCCAAACTGGTCGTACTATCAGAATCAGTATGGCGCTCAAGAGCCTATTGTTGAAGAACAAAAAGCTTTGCCTCCAATAAGTGACGATCCTTATTATTCTTGGACCAGTGATGAAGAAGCCCCTATTAACAAAGGGGAGATTTTTCAAATCTTTGTTGAGCTAGAGCAGCTGTTTGGTTTCCAGCATGATTCAGTCCTCAACATGTTTGATCATTTAATGGTGCAGTTAGACTCCAAAGCTAGTCGTATGCCGGCACCCCACGCTTTGCTTTTGCTTCATGCCGATTACATCGGGGGAGAAAACGCCAATTACAGAAAATGGTATCTTAGTGCGATGCTTGATGATGATCCTCAATTGTGCGACGATGTTGATCTCAAAGTGTTGAAGAAGAATAAGAAGAACAAGAAGAAAGAGAAAGAAAAGGATACATTGAAAGACTATTCGGAGCCAACATTTCATCCTAGTAAGAAAACTGACATTATTGAATATAGATGGAAAAAACGGTTATATGACTGCTCTCCAACTGATATGGTTCGCCATATTGCTCTTTACTTGCTGGTCTGGGGAGAGGCAAATAACATGAGATTTTGTCCAGAGTGCATCTGCTTCATTTACAAATGTTGTTTTGACTACTATTTGCATTACAGTGAAAACCCCTCTGAGCACGAAGCCGTTACTGAAGGTGATTTTCTCTCAAGAGTCATAACTCCTCTTTACAACTACCTAAGAGATCAGCAATACAAACTGGTTGACGGGGTGTGGATAACCCGGGAGAAAGATCATCATCAGATCATTGGATATGATGACATGAACCAACTATTCTGGTACTATAAAAGTCTTCAGCGCATAGTTTTGGAAGACGGGCGCAAACTCATGAATGTTCCAAAACACGAGAGGTACAAGCTGTTGGGTAAAGTCAGATGGAAAAAAGCGTTCTATAAGACCTACAAAGAAAGGAGAACTTGGTGGCATTTGGCTACCAACTTCAGCAGAATTTGGATCATCCATGTTTCTGTCTTTTGGTATTATTCAAGCTTTAATTCCCCAACTCTCTACACACACAACTATGTTCAGCTGTTGAATAATCAGCCCACTCCACAAGCAAGATTTTCCATCATGGCTCTCGCGGGAACTATTTCGTGTTTGATCCAAATAATTGCTACCATTTCTGAGTGGGCTTTCGTTCCTCGGATTTGGCCAGGGGCCAAACATTTATTCAGAAGATTGGTATTGCTTATCCTTATCACCATCATCAATTTCGGTCCATCTGTTTTTATCTTGGGAATGATCCCTCTCAATACTGTTTCTAGACTGGGATACATCCTCTCAATTGTGCAGCTTGTTATTTCTATCCTCACGACCCTGTGGTTTTCCGTCCAGCCTCTTGGTACCTTATTTGAATTTGCTCCAGGAAAAAAGGCAAAAGGCTATGATGCCTCCAAAGTCTTCACATCGTCGTTCCCTAAACTGACTTCTAGAGGAAAAGTTTTGTCTATTATGCTTTGGATCTTGGTTTTCAGCGCCAAGTTTGTTGAGTCTTACTTCTTCTTGACTTTGTCTTTGAGAGATCCAATACGGAATTTGTCCATTTTGGATTTCAGTCGATGTCATGGAGAGGCTTACTTTGGTGCTGTACTTTGTCGTCATCAAGCAAAATTTGTATTGATACTGATGATCTTGACAGATCTAGTGCTCTTTTTCTTGGATACCTACCTATGGTATATCATTTGGAATTGTGCCTTCTCCCTCTCATTGTCCTTCTTCAGTGGAATCTCAATCTTGTCCCCTTGGAGAAATGTCTTCAGCAGGCTTCCGCAACGGATTTACTCGAAACTATTATCTACCGCAGATATGGAAGTCAAATTCAAACCAAGTATGTTGGCTTCCCAAGTCTGGAATGCAATTGTCATTTCTCTTTACCGTGAACATTTGTTATCCGTGGATCATGTTCATCGTCTCATTTATGATCAAATTCCAGATGAAGCTGATGGGAAGATAGCATTGAGAACTCCCTCTTTTTTCTTGTTCCAAGACGACAGTACGACAACTTTGCAGGATTTCTTTGTCCCTAACTCAGAGGCCGAAAGAAGAATTTCATTCTTTGCACAATCTTTGTCTACTCCAATTCCTGAGCCTATTCCTGTTGAAGCGATGCCTACATTCACAGTGTTGATTCCACATTATTCTGAGAAGATATTATTGGGCCTCAAAGAAATTATTAAAGAGGATCCAAGTTCCAAAATATCCCTTCTTGAATATTTGAAGCACATGTTACCACATGAATGGGATTATTTTGTTAGGGATACTAAAATCATCTCTTTCAGCGAAGAGGAACAAACCCCGGGAACTACTGTGAAATCGGAAAAGGATTTCATTGAGAACAAAATCAGCGATTTACCGCTCTATTGTATTGGATACAAATCTTCTGCCCCCGAATATGTTCTTAGAACCAGAATTTGGGCAAGTTTGAGATCGCAGACCTTATATCGTACAATCTCTGGTTTCATGAACTACAGAAAGGCGATCAAGTTACTTCACAAGGTCGAAAATCCAGAGATGATTGAGATGTTTGGTGGATCATCAAATGCGGAGGACTATTTAAACAGGATCGCTGATCGGAAATTCAGACTTCTAGTTTCCATGCAAAGATATCAGAAATTCAGTGAGCAAGAAAAGAAGGATGTGAGAGTACTGTTAAATGCGTATCCCGAAATCTATGTTGCAAGTCTTGAGCAAGAAATTCCAGAAGGTGGTATTGAGACTGACGTCAAATACTATTCAGTTCTTTATCAGACAGACAGCAATAGTGAAGATGGTGAACTCCAACAAAAATACAAGATTCAACTTTCGGGAAACCCTATTCTTGGTGACGGAAAGTCAGATAACCAGAATCACAGTCTCGTGTTTTATCGTGGAGAGTATATTCAAGTCATTGATGCAAACCAGGACAACTATTTGGAAGAATGTCTTAAAATCAGATCTGTTTTATCTGAATTTGAGGAATTGGATTATGATACTACCAATCCGTACATTCCGTCAGTTCCATACTCAGGAGAGACGCCTGTTGCTATCATTGGCGCAAGGGAATATATTTTCTCCGAAAATACAGGTGTTTTGGGTGATGTTGCTGCGGCCAAAGAGCAGACTTTTGGTACCTTGTTTGCTCGTACTCTGGCTGCTATCGGCGGAAAACTTCACTACGGTCATCCAGACTTCCTGAATGCGATCTTCATGACTACTCGTGGAGGTATCTCGAAAGCTCAAAAGAGACTTCATTTGAATGAGGATATCTATGCAGGAATGAATGCGGTGATTCGAGGAGGAAGGGTCAAACACTGTGACTATTATCAATGTGGAAAAGGAAGAGATCTTGGATTCGGTACCATTTTGAATTTCACGTCAAAGATTGGTGGAGGTATGGGTGAACAGATGCTTTCTAGAGAATACTACTACTTGGGTACACTACTTCCATTGGACAGATTCTTATCATTCTACTACGCTCATCCAGGATTCCACATTAACAATTTGTTCATCATGCTGTCACTTCAACTATTTCTGCTAGTGATGGTCAATCTTGGTTCCATGAACCACGAGTCTATTCCATGTATCTACGACAAGGATGTTCCGATCACAGATCTCCAGATCCCAGTGGGATGTCAAAATTTGCAACCAGTTCTTGATTGGGTCACAAGATATGTGCTCTCAATTTTCATTTGCTTCTTTATCTCCTTTGTCCCGTTGGTGTTCCATGAATTGTCTGAAAGAGGCGCATGGAAAGCGTTCAGTCGTTTGTTTTTCCATTTCCTTTCTCTGTCTCCATTATTTGAGGTGTTTGTTTGTCAAGTTTATTCCAACTCTTTGAAAAATGACATTGTTTTCGGTGGAGCAAGATACATTTCAACTGGAAGAGGATTTGCGATTGTGAGGATTCCTTTCACAAGACTTTATTCAACATATGCCATCAGCTCTATTTATTCCGGCTCAAGACTATTCCTAATTTTGCTTTTTGGAACTGTCACCATGTGGCAGCCAGCAATCCTTTGGTTCTGGATCACGTTGGTGTCCTTGTGTCTTTCTCCATTTATTTTCAATCCGCATCAGTTCGCGTGGACAGACTTCTTCTTGGACTACAGAGACTTCATCAGGTGGCTCAGTAGAGGAAACTCGAAGTGGCACAAAAACTCATGGATTGGGTTCACTAGATTCTCTAGATCCAAGTTCACTGGATTCAAGAGAAAGATTATGGGTACTAATCTGGAACAGGCCAAGTACGTTCCAGTCAATATTCATCGTGCTCCATTTGGAAACACATTCTTTGCTGAGGTGATCGTTCCACTATTCCAGACGGTGTGTATCTTCATGGCTTATACTTTCATCAATGCTCAGACTGGTGTCAAAGATCCTCGGCCAGTGAATTCAATTTTGAGGCTTGCGATCATTGTCTTCGCTCCCCTCGTGCTCAACGTTGTGATTCTGATTGCCATTTTCCCGCTGTCCTGCTTTGCTGGTCCTGTTTTAAGTCTATGTTGCAAAAAAGCACCGAACGTTTTAGCTGCCATGGCTCACGGATCAGCTGTTATTATGCATGTGATAGTGATGGAGGTCGTTTGGTTCCTCGAAGGGTGGAACTTTTGTCGGTTCCTTTGTGCATTTACTTGCTCCTTGTATGTTCAAAGAGTGATATTTCAAGCGGTGAAATTGATGCTCCTTACCCGTGAGATCAAGGAAGATTACACCAATCGGGCATGGTGGTCAGGTAAATGGATTGGAAGCGATCTAGGTTGGTATGCAGTCACGCAACCGATGAGAGAATTGATTGTTAAGACGGTGGAGATGTCATTATTTGCAGCCGATTTCGCCATTGGACATCTGATTTTAATCGTGTTCACGCCTATCCTGTTTGTTCCATACATTGACCACTGGCACTCGTGCATGCTGATGTGGTTGAGTCCATCCAGATATCTAAGAGGACCAATCTACACTACGTCTCAAAGGAAAATTCGCTCTAGAGAGGCTACCAAATACGCCTTTCTGTTTTTCCTGATTATCCTATTATTTGCTGCTATTGTCTTGATACCTGTGCTGGTTGACTTAACTCTGGCAGACTCTATTGCGGAGTATGTGCCAGAGGACTTTTACGGATTGATACAACCTAACCGCCAGGAGAACAACGACACTGGTGAGAGGGCACCTCCATATATTCTGAGAGACAAACCACCTATAGAAACGTTCAGCACCTATTGGATTTGAGAATCAGAGCCGAGCCCCCACGATGGTATAGTTAAATTTAGCGTATTAGTATCACATTAGCTTCTAAAAAAAATCTCGGTCCTTTCCCATTTTGGCCAAATATTTTCATTTTCATCGTGTTTCTGCCATTTTTCACCGAGTGTTTTTAAGCCTTGAACAGAGCTTTGCGGAACGGATGGACCAACCAAACCGTAAACAAAAATACCTTTCAAAAGACCTGCTTGAAAATTTTGTTTAAGGATGGTTTCTTGGAGTAATATTGGTATTTTGAGTGGCCTTGTGGCTGCTGTCGCGAAGGCCGATTCGAGTTTCCCAACTATCGAAGTTGTTGGAAACAAGTTCTTCTATTCGAACAACGGATCTCAGTTTTATATTAGAGGAGTCGCTTATCAAAGCGACACCTCTGGCTCGACGAACGCAACCTTCGTTGATCCGTTGGTTGACAAGACCACTTGCGAGAGAGATATCCCTTACTTGAAAGAGTTGAACACCAACGTGATCAGAGTTTATGCTTTGAACGCTGAGGAAGACCATTCCGACTGTATGTCTTTGTTGCAGGACGCTGGCATCTACGTGATTGCAGACCTTGCCGAGCCATCTTTGTCTATTTCCACCACTGATCCATCTTGGTCTGAGGAACTGTACGACAGATACGTCTCCGTTGTCGATATGATGCAACAATACGACAACGTTCTCGGATTCTTTGCTGGTAATGAGGTGGTCACCAACTCTTCCAACACCGATGCTGCCCCATTCGTTAAGGCAGCTATCAGAGATATGAAGAAGTACATGAAGAGCAGCGGATACAGAAGTATTCCTATCGGATACTCTGCTAACGATGACTCCAAAACCAGAGTCGCTTCTGCTGACTATTTCTCCTGTGGTGACGATGATGAGAGTGCTGACTTCTATGGAATCAACATGTACGAATGGTGTGGTGACTCCACTTTCCAGACTTCTGGTTACGAGGACAGAACCAAAGAGTTCTCCAACCTCACTATTCCTGTGTTCTTCTCCGAGTACGGTTGTAATGCCGAGCAACCAAGAAAGTTCACCGAGGTGCAAGCACTTTACTCCGACGAGATGACCGATGTCTGGTCTGGTGGTATCGTGTACATGTACTACCAAGAAACGAACGATTATGGTCTTGTTTCTGTGGTTGATGACAACACTGTTTCCACCATGGCTGATTTCAAGTACTACTCGTCAGAGATCAACAACATCTCTCCAACCAGTGCCACTGCTGACTCTGCTTCGAGCAGTGCTTCCGAGCTCACCTGCCCAACCGGCTTCAAGTACTGGGATGCTTCCCAGGACTTGCCGCCAACTCCTGAAGAGCAAGTGTGTGACTGTATGTCCGCTTCGTTGAACTGTGTTGTGTCCGATGACGTTTCCAGTGACGACTATGAGGACTTGTTCAGCACTGTTTGTGGACTGGTCAACTGTACTGGTATCAATACCGACGGTTCCTCCGGTACGTACGGTGCTTACTCGTTCTGCAGTAGTAAGGATATGCTATCCTTCGTCATCAACTTGTACTATGAGAAAGAAGGAAAGTCCTCGAGCGCATGTGACTTCAGCGGCTCTGCCAGCCTTGTCAGTGGCTCCACCGCCTCCAGCTGCTCCTCTATTTTGAGTGCAGCAGGCACCGACGGAACCGGTTCTGTTACCGGTAGCTTCTCTAATGCTTCCGGCTCTGGATCTGGCTCTACAGCCACATCTACCGGCTCTTCCGAAAGCGGTTCGTCCTCCAGCACAACATCCTCTTCCTCAAAGAGTGCTGGTGGCAGAACCTACAAGTCTGAGAACTTGTATGCCGTTGTTATTTCGAGTTTGTGTGCTGTTGGTGCACTAACTGTCCTTGTTTTGTAAGAAGAAAGACATTGAATTAAAATAAAAACAAATAGCAGACTTTGTAGCTTAAATTCGCGTTTGATTCAACAGACGGGAAGGGTTGCTAATGCGATTTCATCCTGTTTGCCAAGACAGGATTTACGTATTTGCTGGAGGACTGTTGCTTTTTTTCGCCTCAAACTATAGTGAAAGTTGGTCGTGGTACATCACCCTGCATCCTTGCAGAAAATATTTGAATAGCCGCAAGCTTCTAATTTAGGAAGTTTTTCTGGAAATCAAATTTGAACCTGCGTCAAACAATCTCGCTGATGAAATTTTAAAGCGGAGAGCCAATTAGAATTCCTCGAGAAGTTTGGCCACCTTATTTGAACCGTGTTTACCACCTTGGAAAGTTGTGCTATACACATCATTGCACTCTTGTTTACCCTTGAAAGATTTTGATCTACCAAGAAATTATATGCAACTCTACTCCTTTCCTGCTGTGCCTAGACTTTAAAAGAAACGACAGAATGTTTCTGCTACACGGTCTGTCTACAGGGCGACCCAAACTCGGTCGTTATTGTTTGTTTGTTTTGTTTTTGCACTTCCAGCCCGCCGAGCCTCTCTCTCCTCCAGTTTTATATATTGTAAGAGGTGAAAAAAGTTTACCTTAGCTCTTTTTATAAACAGATTCGCTCGTTATATCTTTGAAGAATGCAGTTCAAAACTCTTCTCTCGCTTGCGGGCCTTTTGTCTACCTCTGTGGCCTTGCCGACTATCGATGTGGTGTCCAACAAGTTCTTCTACTCCAACAACGCTTCCCAATTCTACGTGAAAGGTGTTGCTTACCAGAAAAACACGGAAAATGCAACTTCCGACGATTCCTATGTTGATCCTTTGGCCGATGAGGAGACTTGTAAAAGAGATATTCCTTACCTCGAGAACCTCGGAATCAACGTCATCAGAGTCTATGCTGTCAACGCCTCTGCTGACCACGATGCTTGTATGCAGCTGCTCGAGGATGCCGGAATTTACGTGATCTCTGATCTTTCCGCTCCGGAAGAGTCCATCCAGACCACCAGTCCTTCCTGGACCGTGGACCTGTACAAGAGATACACCTCTGTCATTGACATGTTCCACCAATACGACAATATCCTCGGTTTCTTTGCCGGTAATGAGGTGGTCACCAACTCTTCCAACACCGATGCTGCCCCATTCGTTAAAGCTGCCATCAGAGATATGAAACAATACATGAAGGACAGTGGATACAGAGACATTCCTGTTGGTTACTCCGCCAATGATGACTCCAAGACCAGAGTCCCATCCGCAGACTTCTTCGCTTGTGGTGACGATGACGTCAAGGCTGATTTCTACGGTATCAACATGTACGAGTGGTGTGGTGACTCTAGTTTCAGCAGCTCGGGTTACGAGGACAGAACTAAGGAGTTCTCCAACCTCACCATCCCAGCCTTCTTCTCCGAGTACGGTTGTAACGCTCACAGACCAAGACAGTTCACCGAGGTTCAGGCTTTGTACTCCGATGAAATGACAGATGTCTGGTCTGGTGGTATCGTGTACATGTACTTCGAGGAGGAGAACGACTACGGTTTGGTTTCCGTCAACGGTAACAGTGTTTCTACTCTGGACGACTACGACAACTTGAAGACCGAGCTTGCTAGTGCTTCTCCAACCACTGCTTCTGCTTCTGCTGCTTCTGCTTCTGCTACCGAGCTTAGCTGCCCAACCAGTCAAACCAACTGGAAGGCATCTACCGACCTGCCACCAACTCCTAACGATGACGTTTGTGAATGTTTGGAGTCTTCTTTGTCCTGTGTCATTGACAGCAGTGTTGACGAGGATGATTACGGTGACTTCTTCGGAACCATCTGCGATTTGACCAACTGTGATGAGATCTCTACTGACGGAAACAACGGTACCTACGGTGCTTACTCTTACTGTTCTGCTAAGGACAAGCTGTCCTTCTTGCTGAACAAGTACTACGAGGAGCAAGACAAGAACTCTTCTGCTTGTGACTTCAGTGGCTCTGCTTCCTTGAAGGACAACGTTTCTACTGCATCCAGCTGTGCTTCTTTGTTGAGCTCTGCCTCGGCTTCTCCATCTGCCACCGGCTCTTCTAACTCTTCTGGATCTTCCGGCTCTTCCGGTTCCAGCTCTGGTTCTAGCAGCTCCAGCTCTTCTAGCTCGTCCAGCTCTAGCTCTTCCAGCTCCAAGAATGCCGGTGCAGTCAACGCATCTCCTTTGTCTAGCGCACAGTTAGGTCTCCTTTCTTTGTTCTCGACTTTCTTCCTTGGTGGACTCTCTTACATCCTTATCTAAATGCTTATAGTCAATCTAAATTGAATGGTTGCTGGTTGTTTATATGTGCGCTCTTATTATTAAATGCGGATTCTATTTTACCATGAAGATTTCTTGCAGCGCCTTGCTGTCCTCCACAGCCATGCGCTTCTGTCTAATCCATTTCTGGCGTAGGGCCATTCTTCCCGAAGTCACTGGCGGGGTGCCGCTTCTGTCGCGAATTGGGGCCAGCGAGTCGTCTTTTTCAGTCAATTTCTTCGACTTGGACTTTTTGGTGCGCTTGCTTCCCCCGTCGAGGTCCTCGCCCTTACGTTTACGCGATTCCTTGTCTTTGTGCTTCTCCTTCTTTTCCTTTTTGTCCTTCTTCTCTTTCTTCTCTTTCTTCTCTTTCTTCTTCTCCTTCTTCACCTTTTTCTCTTTTTTCTCCTTCATTTCTTTCTTCACCTTTTTCTCTTTTTTCTCCTTCTTTTGGCCGTCTTCCTTTCCTTTCAGGCTCTTTGCCTCCTTGTCCCAGGTACTCCTGAGAACGTCTCCGGGAACAAAATTGATGCCCCAGCGACCATTAATGATACGGTTCTGCTGCAACTTGTCCATCTGTGCATTGGTCTCGGCTTCCTTACCGTTCAACCGACCAAGGAGCCGCTGGAAAACATCAAGACCAGTGCTGTCTCCAGTATCCAAATCGTCATCTTTGTTGGATCGCCGTGCCAGAGACGCTCCCAAACCGGCATTGTCCTTTTTGATAACCACCTTGATATGAGAAGTAGTAGCATTGTTGGTTAATCCAAGCCCTTGACCCGGTTTCCACCCAAATTTTTCCAGGTGCTTGTGACCAAATCTCGAAAAATCGTTCGACCAGTTGGTGTTTCTGGGATCCAACCCAAACCTCTGTTTGGCCCTAGGAGCTCCCAATCCCATTATATCTAATATTTTTTTTAAACACTGATTTAAAAATTTTTGGAACCCAGTTCGGTGGCACACGTCTTTCCGTCAACTTTTTTGCAATTTGAAAAAAAATCAAACAATTAGCAGACTGGTTAAGCCTTTCCATCTGAAGCGAAATCCTTTGTGATCACGTTCTCAAGAAGAAACCATCGAAATTTGCTATATTGAAAGTGGCGGAAGCTGTTATTTACTGACTAAAAGCCAAACTGTTAACCAGCTGAATCAAACTTTCTAAGCATTCTATTTGGCGTCGCATTTAACATGTCGTTAATTCCCCAAGAAATTTCTGGCATGTTGCAGCAATTGCTTGCTGGTTTGGCATCGACAGATAACCATGTTCGTCAGCAGGCCGAGCAGACCCTTAATAAGGAGTGGACGAAAAAAGACCGCGTCGATATCCTTTTAGTTTGGCTTGTTCAACAAGCAGTCTCTGGATCGGACGACAGCACCAAGGCTTTCGCGGCCGTCTTGTTCAGAAGATTTGCTGTCAAGTCTCCAAGTGAACAGGGCTACTCTGTTACCGCCAGACAAATCGATCATGTTAGTGAGCAGGCCAAAAGCGAAGTGCGCAACACTTTGTTACAAGGTTTCACCTCTCCACAGTCAAATAACGTTCGACACAAATTGGCCGATGCTATAGCCGAGGTTGCCAAAGATGAGAGTTTCAATTGGCCAGACCTCCTTCCCGCCATCATGCAGTCGACCACCAACTCGGACCCAAGTTTCAGAGAGTCCGCGTTCAGGATAATCACCACCACGCCAGCGATCATCACCACACATCATTTAGAGGACTCGCTAAAAATGTTCCACGCGGGCTTTGAAGATCCAAACGACGATGTTAGAATTGCAGCCTGTTCTGCATTCGTTGCGTTCTTTGAAAACTTGCCAAAGTCTCAATGGACCAGTTTGAGTTCTCTGTTGCCGAACTTGCTCAACTCTTTGCCAAGACTTTTAGAGAACGGTAAAGACACCGCTTTGGCTTCAGTTTTGGAGAGTTTGATCGACCTGGTGGATCTGGCTCCTAAGATGTTCAGACCAATGTTCCCAACCATCATTAGCTTCTGTTCGGAAGTTGCACAAAATAATAACCTTGATTCTGCTGCAAGATTGGCTGCGCTCGAACTGTTGACAACTTTCTGTGAAACTTCTCCAAACATGTGTAAGAGAGAGCCAACTTACGCCACGACAATGGTGCTGGTGACTCTCAGACTCATGACCGAGGTTTGTTTGGACGACGAAGATTCAGCCGAGTGGAACAATTCTGACGAGATCGACGACGTTGACGATGAGGAAGAGTACAATGCTGCAAGACAATCTTTGGACAGAGCCGCTCTCAAGCTTGGTGGACAATCTCTGGCCGGGCCTCTTTTCCAATACCTGCCTCAAATGATCCAATCTCAGGACTGGCATGAGAGACAAGCTTCGTTGATGGCACTTTCTTCTGCCGCTGAAGGTTGCAGAGAAGTGTTGATCAGCGAGATTCCAAAGATTCTGGACCTTATTCTCCCATCTTTGCAAGATCAACACCCAAGAGTACAGTATGCTTGCTGTAACGCTTTGGGACAAATCTCCACAGACTTTGCCGATGTTATCCAAAGAACTTCTGGAGACAGAGTTCTGCCTGCTTTGATTTCCATGTTGAGTACCAAAAACGTTCCTAGAGTCCAGGCCCATGCTGCTGCTGCACTAGTCAACTTCTGTGAGGACGCTACCAAAGAGGTGTTGGAGCCATATTTGGACAATCTGTTGACCAACCTTCTTACCTTGCTGCAGAGCGCTCCAAAAAGATACGTTCAAGAACAGGTCATCACAACCATTGCCATTGTTGCAGATGCTGCAAAGACCAAATTCATCAAATACTACGACACATTGATGCCTCTTCTTCTTGAGGTTTTGAGAACAGACATGGGAGAGGAAAACAGACTGCTGAAGGCCAAATCTATCGAGTGTTCTGCTTTGATTGCCCTGGCTGTTGGAAAGGAAAAATTCATGCCGAACGCTCAGGAGATTGTCGAGTTGTTTGCACACATTCAGAACAATCTAACCGGCGAGGAAGACCCAGCAAAGGCTTATTTGGAGCAAGGATGGAGCAGAATCTGTAAACTGATTGGTAAGGACTTCATCCCATACCTTCCTGGTGTTCTGCCTCCGCTCCTTGAAGCTGCAAAAGCCGCCCAAGACATCTCTGTTGTTGATGAGGACGAGGTTGATGAGCTCAACCAGAACGAGGAGTTCGACGTCATCCAGTTGGCCGGAAAACACATCGCTGTTCACACAGCCATCTTGGACGATAAGACTGCAGCCATTGAGCTTCTCAAGTCTTACGCCGAGGTTCTTGGCGGTGATTTTTTCCCATATGTCGAGGACATTGCCAGCCAGATCGTCATTCCAGGTTTGGACTTCTATCTTCACGACGGTGTGAGAGGTTCTTCTGCCTTGACCATGCCAGCTCTTTTGAACAGTACCATTGAGGCCACTGGATCTAATAAATCACCACAAGCCAGCCAATTGTGGAGCCAAATGTTCGACAAGCTGGTTCACCAGCTGGGATCGGATCCTGTTCCAGAACTGTTGGTGGCTTACTACTATGCTATCTCCAAAGGTCTGGAACTTGTTGGTGGTGATTCGTTGACCGAACAGCAGATTGCCGCTGCCGGAAACTCGATTCACACTAACTTGACCGAGATCTACGAAAGAATCAAGGGAAGAGAGAATGTTGACGATGAGTACAACGAAGAGATTCAAGAGGATGACGAAGAATATACCGACGAGGAATTGCTGGACGAAATCACCAAGGGTATCACCTCTTTGTTCAAGAGTACCAGAGAACGTTTCTTGCCTGCTTATCAGTCTTTGATTCCAACGCTGGCATCCTTCTTGAACGACGATAACACGTCTTTGAAATTGTTGGCCTTGTGCTCAGTTTCTGACTTGGTTGAATATGCTGGACCTTTGGCGTTCCAATTTAAGGAATTCTTCATGAACCCTGTTGGCGAGTCTCTCACGTCTCCACAAGCAAGCATAAGACAGGCAGCCTCTTATACCGTTGGTGCGTGCGCCCAGTTCGGAAGAGGCCAGTTCAAAGATTTCTGTATTGCTACCTTGCCATCGATGTTGGCAATGTGCAACGTCCCAGATTCTAAAGCTGAAGAAAACCTCTCCGCTACTGAAAACACCATTGCCGCCATTGCCAAGGTTCTGCACTCTTTCGGTTCTGATATCCCTAATGCCAACGAAGTGGTGGAGAACTGGCTCAAGCTCATGCCAGTCTTGCAAGACGATGAGGCAGCTCCGTTCGCTTTCATGTTTTTGGCAGAACTCATACAGCAACAGCATCCTCTGGTCAGCAGAATGATTCCAAAAATATTGGACGATGTGGTCCAAGCATTGCTCTTTGGCGCAATTTCGGGCAAGACTGCCGAAAAGGTTGTTGGCGTCGTTAAACAGCTGTTGGCAACTCTTCCCCAAGATCAAGCCATCGCCCTCCTCCAAAAGTATAATGCAGAGGGAAAACAAGTGATAAGCGAATGGTTCGCGTGATTTAGCTTAAATTTGTGTATATCGGTATATATCTCCAATCAATAATTTGATATTGTATTGATGAACTGACCGATCCAGGAGCAATGACTAATAGGTTCCGTTTCTGATATCATGCCGTTTGAACTTTTGTGTCCTTGGTTTCAAACGCGTTAGCAAATAGCTTCAAATCCAACTCAACCGTGCCTTTCGGGATTTTGGATGGCTTGATTGGTGATGGATGAAGCTTCATAAAGTTCAGAAGGTATTTAAAGGAGTTCGAATACCCGTCGTCAAACAACTCCACAAATTGTCTCACTAAATTTGACAAAATCTCACTTTGATGAATAATTCCAGTGATGAAACGCAGTTTAGGTTGACTGGATGTGTTTTCAAATCCAAATAGGTTCGAGAGGACCTTAGAAGCGATAGGTATTAACCCAAGGTCTTGTAGCAAAATGTTCTTCAACGATTTGAAGAGACTGAGTAATCCAAACTCTTTGTAAATGAGCAAGAAGCTGAGTAACGAGTCGAGCTGATAATGATAAAGTAAACGGTGGAATGGCTCATCAAAATCTGAACCATTTTCAGAGAACTTAATCACCTTGTCATAGTTATTGCATAGCTTCAAACAATCGATGGTAGCAGCTAAGTTTAGTTCAACTGCCTTGTTCATGACTTTGTAGTCCAATCCGTGTTGTGACTTGAAAAATGCGAGGCGGGTTCCTGTCTTTGCTCTCGTTTTCGTCGGAACTTCGTCTTTGGTGACCAGCTTTTGCTCAGCAGAGAATCTCATGATTCCAAGCTCGTCATTGTTTTCTCTCAAAAACACATAAATTTTGGACTTAATGATTGAGCACATCAGAACACAATCTTTCAAAAGCTTGAGCGAAGTAGATCGACGATAAGACTCCGTCTTGAAAACAGAAAACATTTGTTGCGTCTCTGATCGTAACCCTTTGACTGGTTCGTCTCCGTGGTTCAGATTGTTCTCATAAATGAAATTAGACTTTCCTAATGGAGGGATGAACTCAAACCCAAAAGGCGCCTTGAGAACTTTCAAAGTGTGTTCACACTCTCCAAAAGCTCCAAAAAGTTCGCGGTTCAAATTGTTTGAAAGCACGAACTGAATTGTCTCCAGTAGTGAATAGATCGATAGTCTGCTACCCATGTCAGTGAGCAATTTGAATAGTTCCAGATAAGAGTCAAAAGTTTCTAAACTCGAGTTTATGGTCCTCAGACTAGTTTTGAGGTACATCAACAAGTTCTCCTCGACGGAGTAATTGAGTTTGAAATTCTGGTCCACAACTTCAAAAAGAATTCTCATGGTGTAGGCATTGATTTTGTATTGTTGCGAATCTTCAGATATACCCAAACATTGTGTGAAATTAGCATTGTTGATCTTCATCAAGACTTTGGACAAAGATTCCTGATCTGAGGTCTGTCTTAGATTGATGACCATAAATTCTCCTAGTTTCGCAAGAAGGAAGTAGCCGATTTTCTTGGAATTGGTTATATCCGTTCCGGAGTTGACAAACTCAAACATTCTCTCGAATGCCTCCGGCTTGTTCCAGAAGTACAGTGCTATCATCTCTTTTCCATGTGTACCTGAAGTGTAAATAACCAACAGTTCATTCAAATGTTTGAATGAGAGTTCAAAATTGACACAGATGTCGTGTGTTCTAAGCAATGATTTCATACCTTCAACAAGAAGTTCAGACGGTTCATGTGCAAAAATAGAATCAAGCAAAACATCCGAGCTTCGGTCCTCATTCAAGGTGCTCTGATTCAGTGTTGCACAATTGTTGAAGTTTTCGAATAGAGAGTATAATCCGTTGGAGTCAGATGGCAGAGTTCTTGATTTCGACGAGAACACAAGGCAAAAACAATCCCAAGTCTCTTTCTCATGGAAAGAGAAAATTAGGTTATCAAACAAATGTTTATTCATGAGATGCATCGATGCCAAGACGGTAAAACATCTCTTCAATTTCTGTTGGTCAACGAAGCCGTATTTGGGAGCTAGACTGGTAGTAGTGAGGAACGGTTTGATGATATTGTACTTTCTGAACCCAAGAAGGACTCCAAAGTTGCGAAAACCGAAATTTGGGTGGGACTGGTCCAGTTCGAAATGGTATTTGAAGAGATCAAAAAGGGCTAAACACAAACGAGAAGCCTTTTGCAACGAGGCTTCATTTATGGTGGAGTCCAAGACATTATTGATCTGGGTCACGACTTTGGTGATGGTCAAAACGGTGATAAACTCCAAATGGTTTGAGTCTTTGTTCGGGTGACTTGGGTCAGTTATGGCTGCAGCCAAATTTTTGAAGTCCACGTTTGCTTCGTTTTGATCGATCAATGATTCTAAAGTCCCCACAACGTCCAAAGTTCCATCCTGGTCTTTCTTCAAGGAGGAGTTCCACAGATCATCCAGCGAAAACAGATCGACCACCTCAAGATTGGAATCGTTGTTTTCGATATCCAAATCTGCTCTTCCGGGGAAAGACTTGTGATTGGTAACACCCAGATCTGACGACGTGTCAGAGGACGATAAAGAGCTAACGTTCGACTTCAGATCCAAGTTTAGATTTGCTAATAGTGGGGAGTTGTCTAAATACATCTCCTTATACATCTCCTTATTGAAAACAGTCACTGTATTCATTCTGAATCAGATGATATATGAATGTCCCCCTTCAAATGTCTTGTGTTTTTCGAAGATCTTTTTAGCCTTGAAACTTGAAGCAATGAGCAAAAGGTTCAACTATAAGGTTGCTTGAGTTCGCTGAAGTTGGTGGAAAAGAAATGGAACCTTGCAAATAACAGATATCAATATGATTGAGTGACAAAACAAGAGTGGTTGAGATTTTAAATATATCTAAATTCCGTTTTTGGCAAATTGATCAAGATCCCACAATTTAAAATGATACCCCATAATTTTTTAGTAAATACAACATGTCACAATTTAAACCTGCTTTAATAATTGTCGACTTACAAGAGGACTTTTTGCCGCCAGATGGTGCTTTGGCGGTCTCTGAAGGCCGGGCAACTATAGAGCTTATTTTGGGATTGCTTGATCTGAAGAAATACGACTGGAAAACAATAATTGCAACTCTGGATTGGCATCCTCAAGATCATACTTCGTTTGCATCCAACCATGGAGCAAAGCCGTTCACAACAAAGCAATTCAAACATCCTCTGGAAGATTCGTACAAGGAACAAGTGTTGTGGCCCGATCATTGTGTGCAAAACAGTGCAGGCTCGGAGTTTGCTCGCGAATTTAAGCCCGTTTTCACCAACATCCTAGAAACACAACCGGTGCCTACCTACGTTGTCAAGAAAGGCTATCTACAAGACAGAGAGTACTACTCGTGTTTTCAAGATACATGGGGGGTTCATCATACAGAATGTGAAAAATTGCTCAAAGAGAATGGAATCACACATGTCTATACCGTCGGTCTAGCATATGACTACTGTGTTCTCAATTCATCGCTGGACGCTGCCAATTTGGGATACACAACGTTCGTTCTCAAAGATTGTTCGCGCTCGGTCGATCCATCTAAGAACGAGCAAACAGATTCCACATATTCCCAACATGGAGTGAAAATAATTACAACCTCTGATCCAGCATTAGCCAAGGTTGAAGTTTAGATTATCTAGGTTGGAAAATTATTTATTTAATATAATTGATGTTGGGACTTCCGAAATTCGGTTCGGCTGCTCCTGTTGAGCAAAAATCCGACGCAAAGTCGGAGGCTCTCGCCAAATACAACGAAAGACGATTCAACCAGGCAGCTTTGTTCTATGGCTGTACCGTTCTAACTTATATTGCGTCCAAGATTGCGTATCGCGGAGTTGTCGCCAGACGGTACAATCCAACGTTTTACCAACACAACCACGTTCCTCCAAAGTTCTCTTTCTACAGAGACGCAGCCAGTGCAGTTGCTCATGCATCGCTGCTTGCTGTCTCGTCCATGTCGATGTTCGTTACCGGAGGATTTTGGTACTACGATATTTCAGGACCTCGAGAATTTGGCCAAAGAATGAAGCTGCTGCTCGGAGGAGCAGAGGCTGAAAAAGAGCTCGCAAGCATGCCTGTCGATAAAGAAACAGAAGACGTTCAGAGCATGCTGACCAGCCTGATCAGCGGTCAGGACTCACAAGATTCCAAAAATTGACCATTGGGTGCATTTCCGAATTTCCAAGTTTGTATATAGCTAATATTATGTTGCATCACGACATGTTTTATGTTGCTGTCACCTACACTAATTTTTTTTTTAAAATACGAATATCAATTAAAGCCACTCACGTGACCTTTATTTTTATTAGCTAGAAATTATTCTTTAGGCAATATGGTCTCGGAAACCACTCCGTTGCAAGACGAATACGAATACGATGAGGAGGATATCCATCCATTCGAGCTAATGCTAAAGAAAACGGTCTCGAAAAAACCCGTTATATGGGGATTGAGTCTGCTTATCGGGGGTCCTTTGATATATTTTCTACTGGTGTTTTTACCTAATCTAGCGCCTCCCGCGGCTGACATCCCGGACCTGACTATGGTCTCGTCTCCGTCTGTTTATCTTCATCCATTGATCCCCCCAAAGGCTCATCGGAGCGAGATCGAACAGCAGTTGAAAGACCCAGAGTCACCTGTCAAGATTGTTCCTGACTTTGAGAAATGGGAGCTTCTTGACTCGAGCAGCAAGTTGTTCAAAAAGCATTTTGACAAGTCTGACATTGACGAATCACTGAAACCAGTCAAAAGAATAATCCTGATCGGCGATGTTCATGGGTCTCTGTTCGAGTTACAGAAGTTGCTCAAAAAGATTGGATACGACGGAGGTCACCGAGACCAAATATTCTTGGTTGGAGACTTCCTGGCCAAAGGAAAGAACTCAATCGGAGTGCTGGACTACGTCATACAAAACAGGATTGGCTGTGTCATCGGAAATCACGAATGGGAGGTACTTAAGCGGTATGCACAGTTTCATGGCCTGCCTGCCTTGACAGTCAACGGGACCACAACTCCCGATTACCACGCTTCAGAGCAATACGATTTGGACGACCTGATGAGAATCGCCAAACACCTAACCCCCGAACACATTGAATATTTGGCACAATGTCCTATTATCCAAGAATTGGGACCTGTCCCGAGATTGACAAACAAAAAACAGACCAAATATGCACCTGTCCCTGCCGATGGAGTTGCAGTCCACGGCGGCCTGGTGTGGAACATCGAGGACCTGGAGGACCAAGACCCCGAATCCGTTTTAACCATGCGGAACCTGCTTCCTCCAGATTGGGTAATCCCAACAGATAACCGGCATGACTCCGTCGACGGCGTGAAGTCAAAAGCATGGTCCAAATTTTGGACCAAATATCAACGGGAAGTCGTTGCCAACAACACAGATGAAGATCCATTTACCCTAGGAACCAAGGTATATTACGGACATGACGCCAAGCGTGGGCTGGTAGCCAAGGAATTTAGTACCGGTCTCGACTCGGGCTGTGTTTACGGAGCTCAACTGAGCGCAGAAATCATATGGAGTGAAGTTATTCAAGGCAAGTCTAAAGATGCAATTGTCTATAAACGAATGCTGAGTCAAGTGAATTGTTGAGGTTCACGTCCTGTCTATAGTTCGATATCGTATTTGTCCACCAATTGAATTAGTGCAGATAATGTGTCTTTTTCTCTTGCAGACCGGTAATATTTTAGGAACGGCCGCAGCATTTGGGCCGTTGGCCTGATTGACTGTTGCAACTGCGCGTGTTCGAGGTTGACAAAGTTCGATACTAGATAGTCCAGAACGGCCACCTGCGATTCGGAGAGACTGATGGCGGGAGGAAGCGTCTGCTCATCGTACGCAGAACAGATTTGGATCAAAAGATACATGGCCAGTTTTGGCTCATCGGAGTTTATGAGAGCATCAATAAAGGCCTCTATGAGTTGGGCATCGATGTTGATTCGTAAGTCGTAAAGCGTGAAGAATATTATGTTCAGGACACTGTTGAGGTCGTTTTGGTGACCATAGTGATGCAAAAGGTGAATGACGGAGGTTCTATCGGGAAGAAGCTTGGCCTTTTCCATTTGACATATCACAAGCCGTGTTTCAGTTGATGGGAGCAATAGGTTGAAATGTGAGACGTGCAATTTGTGTGGATAGACAGAAAGAAACTCCATCAGATTCTGGTCATTGTTTTCCATTTTGATTCGCAGCCAGTTGTACGTCTCAATCTCCGTAAGTTCAACATTGAAGGCGGTCATATCTGTGTACAGGTTGCGGATCCAGAAAATTAGTTGCGGATCCAATTTGGAAATATCTGCAACCAGCAGTCGGTTAATTGAGCCTGTGATAAAACCGAAGTCCTGCGGTGAGATGTGTTGGAGTTTGGGTTCTGGTAGCACATCATACCAATTCTGTAATGCAGACATCATATAGGCAAAGTTTTGACTGTGGTTCAAAATCCCCCCCGGAAGCTCGTAGGGATCAACTTTGTTGAGCTTTTCTGATCTTTTAAGCACGATTTGGGAATGCGATGTTATTTCGTTCAACATGATGTATTTCTCGCAGAATTCAAACAGGCGCGATCCGGTGAAACTAACATTTGATGCGGATTTAAGCGCTTGGCCGTATTTGAACAGCTCGTCATGATAGAAATCAGAATTCGTTGCCGAGACGGTTCGCGGACTATCGATCAAATGCGTGAAGTATCGATACAGCTGTTCTATTCGGTTCTGGTTCTCAAGATGTGTATGCGGGGAAAACAGCTTCTCAAGCCATGATGGTGACTTATCATCGGAAGGAACAGGCGAGGACCTCCAAGAAACTTCGTCCAATCTGCGAAGATTATTGTTCCAGTACTGTTTGGCTTCGTCTGAGGGAACACGCCAGTTTTTGTCAAACATTTCCATATCGTTCAATGTGAGTCCATTTTTTGCCAAAATGGACTCATTGTAGTGTCCTTTGTAGATCGACCGCATTTTTCGCAAAAGTGCCTGACGATCTGTCCAGGCTGGGTTGACGGGGAACTCTGACGAATCAATATCATTTCGACGAACAACAGCACAGCTCAGATCTCGGCGCACGTCCAGCAAACCTACGGGTCGTACAAAGAACCCAAATGTCTGTCTTCGTAGCCCAAACATGGAAATTAATTGAACAAATATATTTGATAGAAAAATTAAGCTTGACCCGCGCTGGCCATCTTAAAAAACGTTAGTGAAAAAAACACAAAAAAACTACAAACAAAGATTTATTATCTTTGGGCTCAAATGAGAATAAATCTTTGTGAGATCCGGCGGCATTCGCTGTCGATGCTGCATTATAGATTTAAGATCCACAGACGAGTACTTGTTCAAAGATGGATACCGATTTTTTTAATTCTTTTAGGGCTCTGTTTCACCATTCGTTATCTTAATACAGGGTCTTACGACATAGAAAGGCTGAAAGGGTACGAATTTGAAGATAGGTTTTCGAAAAAAGCGTTGAAACTGGCCCCGATGTCAGAAAGAGAAATAAACTCAGACACAGACGCGGTGTTTGTTAGTGGGTGTAGAGACCCCAAGGTGGAAGCGAAGAACGCCCGCATGAATGCCGCATTTGTTGTCTTGGCAAGAAATTCAGAAGTGGACGGAGTGGTCTCGTCGATGAAGTCGCTGGAACGGCATTTTAATCAATGGTTCAACTACCCTTGGATTTTCCTTAATAATGAACGATTCTCTCATGAGTTTAAAAAGAGAGTTTCGGAAGTGAGCAGTGGTCCAGTCAGATTTGGCGTGGTGACTCCACCCAAGTGGAACTTCAAAGAGCAGAAGAGCGACCCTGTTTACTTCAAAGAGGCTGTGGAGTCCCAGGGCGATAGATGTATCATGTATGGAAACACAGCAAGCTATCACAACATGTGTCGGTTTTATTCCGGCTTTTTTTTCAATCATCCACTGGTCAAAAAACTCGACTACTACTGGCGTGTGGAGCCAGATGTGGACTTCTATTGCGATCTGACATACGATCCATTTTTGGAAATGAGCAAAAACAACAAACAATACGGTTTCACGATCGCCATCAAGGAGCTGGTGAATACCGTGCCCAACTTGTTCCGGTATACCAAAGCGTTCATTCGGGAGTATGATATCCAGCTTCCGGATGCTTGGTCGTTTGTTGCTGAGCGTCACAATGTGTTTCATGGCCAAAATAGCAAACATTATGCTAGTGTCACCAATCGGAAAGAGTTTTGGAAGAAGCTGGAAGAACGTGTGCCGATGTACGAGGCGCTGAAGCTATCACACAAGAACCTGGACTTAATTGATCAGCACTCGCTGGACAAATTGGTCGATCATAGTAATAAACGAGGGTTGCTGGCAGCCGCTAAGAACCAATTTGACGGGTCGCGCTATAATTTATGTCATTTTTGGTCCAACTTTGAGATTGCGCGTACGGATCTGTTCACCAGCGAGCAGTATCGACAATATTTTGACTTCCTGGAGTCGTCGCAAGGGTTTTTCGTTGAGAGGTGGGGAGATGCACCGATCCATTCGTTGGCTGCCGGAATGTTTTTGAATCTTTCAAACATACATTATTTCCGCGATATCGGCTACAAGCACTCCACTTTGGGCCATTGTCCAAAAAATTCGCCGAATCAGTTGCCGTACGAGGAAGGTGAGCGGTACAAAAAGGTGTATCACAGTCTTGACGAGGAGTATTGGGCGAAAGCGGATGCTCCAGCCATCAACGGGGCTGGCCACGGGTGTCGATGCCGATGCCCCTCCGACCACGAGGAGATTGAAAACTCTGGCGGGTCTTGCATTGCACAATGGGCCAAGCTTACAGACGACGAGCGGATGAAAAAGGGCTCTGTTCTGGAAAATGACATAATTCTAGATCTGGATGCAATCGAGAAGCGGGCTGTGCAGTTTTATGAGGAGCATTTGGCTGCGCACAAAGGAGATGGTAGCAAATGGAAGCTAACAGCAGCAAACATCAAGGAGCTCGAAAAGCTACAGATAAAGGGTGGTGTTCGTGATTCCTAAGTAATATCTGTTTGATAGAGGTGGTAATTACTAGGCCACAAAAGGTGATTGGATTCTGTAGCACGATTTGTTGCTCGCTCCAAGCGGATTTTTTCCAAGATATGCCCGAATTATCAGCGAATTTTTGGGAACTTTCCCCAAACTAGGAAGTGTGTACACCGCCTTGGAAGCAGCTTCTCCAAATAGAAATTCTAAAAAGCGGTGCACTCACGATGACATGCAGGTCCCTGTACAGATTATGCTTTATGCATCTGGAAACATTTGTGTGAGGCATTGAAACAATTACCCAAACAATCGGTTTAAAAATACGAGGAACTACCAAGCAAGCCGCGGTCCATACTTGACTTCTATGCCTGGAAATGCGTTATTATTTTTGGAATGCTCGTGATACCTGCCTGAGCTTTAATGCAAAGCTAGCCGATGAAATGATTTAGGGTGCCCTAACCCTTATGCAACATGGCTCAATTAGGTCCTTACGATGCAGGGCACAACTTTGGTCGTATGTGAGATGAAACCTTATATATGAGCCTGAGCCGTCACCTTGTAAAGAATTTACAGAGCCTGTTATTTCATCCTGACGATGAATTCTATTTTTTACCACCCGTCCATGCTCCAACACACTGTCCAGTCCACGATGACCACCCCGTTTAAGGAGCAGGAACCTGACTTGGTTCGAACTTACGAGTTTGTGGGCCAGATACCGCTCTTCCACCAGCTATCTGATGCATACACGCTAGACTCCGGCCCTCCTGCACCGGACCGATATGAGGACTCTGCCTCTTCGTCGATTCCCGGCTCTCCATACTCAACAGTTTCGTTCGCGTACAGTCACCAAATGACACCGATGCCAAGCAGCACATCAAGCCAGCCCGCAGAGTTCCCCCCACCAGCCCACGCCGCGGAAACAGCGTCTCCCTCGCTGAACCCACCCAAACGGTTTGTGTGCACACAGTGCAACAGCGCTTTCACACGCAATAGCAGACTCAAAGAACACTACCGCAAGGTCCACGAGGGCCACAAGCAGGTGTACCAATGCGACCTATGCACGAAGGTGCTCAGTTCGCGTGAAAACCTCAATAGACATCTTATTGGCCACACAGACAAGTATCTGTGCCAGTATTGTGGCCGACGCCATGATAGAAGCGACAGGTATCAACGGCATCTTGTCAAGTGCTACCAGAAGTTCCACAACAACAGCTAGATGACGAATAATGTACTATAGAATGGGTCGCTACGACGGGGAAAGGTTATGTTTTTTTGGTTATATTTGACGATAAAACAACATTTAAACTTTGTTTAATATGGTAGCCCAGTGGAGATTAGTAAAATTAACCCTTTTGCACCAAAAGGTCAAAAAAAAAAATATCACACATAACAATTTACGCATCACACAAGAGCCATAACTCTGCCAGAGCGTCCAAGTTGATGGTGTGATACAATGAACCAATCGCATTATACTCAGCCCGAGTATTACGAACAATGGCCCACTCCAAACGCGCCTCCGGCGAGTTCCGTTGATATTTACGACGACCACTCCTCGTCTATCCAACGCGCAGGGCTCCGGCAGACACATTTGTCTGCGCAGATCCAACAACAGCAGAAGAAGAAGCACCGGCCCAAGACTATGCTCTTTGCGCCGGACCCGAACGCGTCGCTGATGCCTCCGGTGGGGCCGTACTACGACGCTTCAAGGGGCCACTCTGCTGGAAGCTTTGGCAGCGTGGGAAGCGCGTCGAACGGGCCCGGGCCGTACGCATACCACGAGTACTACCAGCCACACACCCCGTATGCTGGTTCGCAGCACTCGTTGCCGTATTCCGGCTCCCAGGGCTCGCTGACCGGCGCGCCTGGCCAAAGACCCGTTCCGCAGTACGCCCGCAGCCAGATGCTGGGCCCCGGTCTGCGCAAGGCGTCGCCGGCCACTCCTGGCGGCGGGACCGCCAACCACGCCGCAAGGCTCTCGATCAACTCGGCTCTCTCGTTTGTCGGGTACTCTCCCAAAAGACCCACCGACTCCGGTACCCCGGACTCCACAGATACACGGGACTTTGACAGCGAGTACAGAGACACCATCGACGACGACTACCAAACCACCATGGAGATGTCCAAGCTGAGCGAAGAGGTGCGTTCGTTGCAGGTGCACAAGTCCAAAAGCGAGCAGCTGGAGCAGACGGTTGGTGTTTTGGAGTCCGAGAACGAGGCATTGAGAAAACGCGTCCAGGAGCTGGAGGCCGAGAATGCACAGACAGAAAAACTCCACCATTCGCATCAGGACTCGTACAAGTCTACGATAGTGTCGATGATCAGTCTTCTTCCTGATTACATCAAAAATAAGCACCATTTCTTAGAGTTCACGAAATCCGTCCAGTTGGACCAGCAGTTCGAACAACAGGTGTCTGATGCTGCCGAAAGCTACACCGAGCGGCCCCCAAGCGAGGCCACCGATGAAAAAGTGCTGGAAATGTTTCGCCAGGAAGTGCGGTCGTTAAACGAGACGGTGATCCAGATGGAAAAACGCAAGCTCGAGACAGAAACCGTGTTGAAACAACAGATCCAGGCCGGAAACAAGGCCATCAAACGACTGGCGACCCGGTCGCTACTTCATGGCGGCACAGGCCCGGCCGGACTGCGCAGAGAATTGCGGTTCATCGATATCGTAGAGCCTCAATTGAACGTGGAAGAGCTCAAACAGAACTCTCTACAAGTGTCAAAAATGGAGAAAGTGCATTAACTAGTAACTAGACGATCACACACCATCATCCGGACGCTGCTGCTCACGCTCAACGTTGGATCCCTTGTCCTGGAGAGAGTCGTATCCCTTGATATTTTCCTTCACCTCGCGATTAGCTGCGTCCTTGGCGTCCTTTGTCAGGTTTGATAGATCGTCTTTTGCCTTGGACGCCTTTTCGGAAACTTGCTCGCTCACCTTTCCGGTGGCCTCAGAGGCGGTTTGGGCAGCCTCTTCTGCCTTACCCAGACCCGAGGCCAAAGTTTGGCCCACCTTCAAGTTGATGTTATTGAGCACTTCCTTGGTGTTCTCTGCAACACTTCCTTTGGCCCTTTGTTGGATAGGACCCAAAGCAACTGGTTTGACTGTTCTGAAGGATCTTAAAGCTGCTCTGTTAATCATTTTTATCGTGTCATTAATTGGTTGCGATTCCCCGGTATTTATATGCCATGAATAATTGCTAAGAGCAATCAAATGCCACAGAAATACGGCGGTGTTCAATTACGAGCAATCGAGATCCTGCGTCAGGTGCAAACCGATTGTGGCTATGAAAAGATTCCATCCATTTCGATCGCCGCGTCAATTGGCGAGAGAAGGGCCCCATCATGAAGAAAAATAGACCATCTTGAACAGGGCACCATTTGCCAACACAATTGTACTACATAACCCTTTTTCCCCTTGTCATAACAATAGAATCCTATAACTACAACATAACCTTGGCTGGTCGACACGATTGACTGTCGTCGTCTGGAAACCACGCCTTCCTCCCAATTTTCAACCGGCTCGGTATTTTATAGTGGGCTACACTTTTTTTTTAGTAACCGTTTCAAATCTCACTCCTTTATAGATAAACTTTCCAGTTTATTGCGATGAGGTTTCCACCAAAACTGTTTCGCAGACGATTGCTGGTTATCTATGCTCTTGTGGCCACGGTCACAATAACCGCGGTGGGACTGTTGCAATATTCCGCGTTGAAGACCCAACAGCAAAAAATCAACGCCCAGTTGGTTTCACGAGTAACTTCGGTGTTCAACGGCAAATTGCGACCCCAATGCGACAGGTTCACGTCCTACAATAACAACCCGCAAGATTTCTGGCAATACTACGGCTATGACGAGTATAATAACAACTTGGCCCAGAACGAGCTCACCAAACTGCTCGTGATAACCTCTGATCAGCAAACAGAGTTGCATAGATTGCACTCTCTTTTGCGCGAATCGTATCTCACCGAGAAGTCGTCGCTGTTTCGCAATTTCCAGGACTTGTACTCGCGTCATTTCGACGAATCCAGCCAGGGCATAGTCTTTGTGTCGGGCAAAGAATATTATTGGCTAACCATACTGTCCATAAAGTACATTCGTCACGAATTGAAGGACCCAACCCCAATTGAAGTGTTTATGCCCTTTTACGATAAAAAAGACCACTTCTGCAACAAAATGGCGCTGGTTTTCCCAGACGTTTCCTGCTCATACTTCAACAACTATCTACCTTCCAGAACCGTTGCTAACATGAAAGGTTATCAGTTCAAGGCGTTGGCCCTGTTGCTTACCAAATTTTCCAATGTGCTGTATTTGGACTCGGACAACATCCCAATCGAAGCCCCGGCCACCTTGTTCAAGAGCGAAAAGTACCTCAAACACGGCATGATTTGTTGGCCAGATTTCTGGAAACGGTCGACCCATCCGTCTTTCTACGAAGTCAGTGGACTGGGTCCACAGAGCCGGGTCATTGCTTCCACGCCGTCTGTCGAGTCTGGCCAAATGATGGTCAACAAGAAAACGCATCTGGAAACCTTGTTGCTGGCGTATTATTACAATCTCCACGGTCCAGATTACTTTTATCCACTATTCTCCCAAGGATTTCCCGGAGAAGGAGACAAAGAAACGTTCTATCTTGCCAGCAGAGTTACAGGAGAAGGATCTTTCCTCATGACGGGAATTAAGACCAAAATCGTCGGCTACATCGACTCCCAGAACATGTTCCATGGCCAATCGATTTTGCAGGTGGACCCTGACGATGTGAACAAATACGCGTTTTTCCATTGCAATTATCCAAAACTCCAGGTGGACCAGCTCACGCGGTCTTATTTCTACGATACAGACACAAATACCAGACGCCGGTCTTGGCAGATCATGAGAGACGCCAAGAAAGATAGCAATGCGGGCGGATTGGTGATGTTGAAGAAGGGAATCAAGTTCGATTTGGAATTACGGGTCTGGGTGTTGATCTATGAACTGCTCACAAAGGACTTCAAAGGGTTTCGGTTGTTCGAGACCATCGGAAACGACGAGATGGGCGACGTTGTCAAGGAACACATCTTCTTCCTCAAGAACCAGGGCACATTGATTACGTAACGGATTAGCTAACAAAAGACGACTAATGATAGGAAAAAGTAAAGGAAAAAAAGTGTTACTGCGAAAACAAAGGGTGTCTGATGATTCGGCGGTTTTATTCGACGATTTTGGGGAGTTCTGTTGGGAAGTTCCCCAAGAACACGAGTGATATACCCACGACCGATTTGTTGATCAAGTTGGGGTTTGTTAGCCAGCCAAATTCGGGACTTACTCATTGGCTTCCGCTAGGGCTTTGGACTGTTCGGAACATTATAGGCATAATTCGCAAGCATCATGACAAGATCGGGTGTCAGGAGGTTTCGTTATCTGTGATGTCGCATCATTCGCTGTGGGACAAGACAAAAAGATGGCAAAATGACGAGTTGTTCAAAGTCGGCGAGTTCTGTTTAGCTGCCACTGCCGAAGAAGAGATCACCCAATTAGTTCAAAGATATGCTGACAGTTACAAGAAGCTTCCGATCATTACTTATCAAATTGGACGCAAATATAGAAACGAAAAGAGACCCAGAGGCGGTCTTTTACGAGGAAGAGAATTTATCATGAAGGACGCTTATTCTTTTGATGTTAATCAGACCAACGCTTTGAAGTCGTTTGAGAAGATGAATCAGGTGTATTATGACATTTTCAAAGAAATCAAGGTCCCGTTCGTGAAGGCGAACGCCGACTCCGGAGACATTGGCGGCGATTTGAGCTACGAGTGGCACTTTGTGAGCGAGCACGGAGAAGACACTCTGCTGGAATGCGATGCTTGTGGGGTTATTGGCAACATCGAAAGAGTGAGACCGCATTTTGAAGATGGCAAGTATGCCAACGAAGCACAGGTGAATTATCATCTGACTAAAGACGGCGATTTGTGCGTGGTGTACTCTCCAAAAGGACGGAGAGTGAATTACAAGTTTTTGAAAGAGGAGGATCTTGTTGATTTTCGGCCGGGCTTGAGCAGTCAAGAGGCGATCGAGATCTTCAAGGACCCGCAACAGAGCGAGTTCAAAAACATCATTCGGGTCATGGACGTTGGTGTTGGACCAGGCACTTTGCTTCCGGATTTGGAGGTTCCGTATGTTCGGTCTCGTATGACCACTTTTGAAGACGTTTCTTTCACGGACGCTCAGGACGGAGACACGTGTTCTCTGTGCAAGGCTGGCCAGCTCAAGAGTTTCAAAGGAATTGAGGTTGGCCACACTTTTTATTTGGGCAAGAAGTATAGCGAGGCTTTGAACGCCGGGTTTGCCGACTCCGAGGGCCAGAAACAGCTGTATGAAATGGGATGTTATGGAATTGGGGTGAGCAGACTTGTTGCTGCAATTGCAGAAGCCACCCGAGACTCGTATGGGCTTAGATGGCCGGCCAGTGTTGCGCCTGTTCAGTTGGACGTTGTTGTTGCTGGGTCTTTCACTGGCGACAAAACAGCTGTGGACGAGCTTGTTTCGAACATGCAAGGGGTGCGTGTGCGGGTGGACGACGAGGACGGGGGATTGGGAGAGAAACTTGCTCGGTCGAAGCGAATTGGCATTCCGTTACAACTGATCGTTGGCAAACAGTACCCGCAGGTGGAAATAGAGATTAGAGGAGCACATGGAGATCTGGGCAAGCTGGAAACAGAAATCCAGGACCAGAACGGATTGAAGAAGCTGGTTGTTGATATACAAAAAGCGCCCGAAACGGTGCGCAAACTACTAAGTGTCATGTAAATAGTGGACATGTTATTTTTATTATATTAATTGGTCGTTAACTCAAGTCTTAAAAGAACTTGCCGGTGACTTTGGCCAACACATGCAATAACACAACAGAAAAGATGAACGAAACAGCCAAAACAAGCACAACCAATGGATCGATCTTGAAACCTTGACTTTCGTCGGTGTAAATTTTCAGCATGGTAGAAGACGAACCACCAGCTCCTGCGGCACGCGTAGAAGTTGGTTGACTTTGGAGTTGTTGTTTGAGCTTGTTTTCTTGGGTGGCCTTTCTTTTGGCCAAGGTTTTAGCACCTCCTGGAACTGCGCTGCTGCTCATGATGGTGGAAGATACAAATAGGTTATTGGAAAAAAAAGTTCGCGAAATTGGTAGCGGGAAGCTGGCCGCCAGCGAAGGGCGGTTAATATGTGGTTTACTGTGGTACTAGCAACGTTTTGAGAACATGACTAGTTATATACGGGTTATTTGATTTATAACGCACTTATTCCAACTCCAACTTTGGACCCCAACCACTCCATTTCGCAACATTCTCGCACCTCGTCGTGTCCTAATTACCCTACCGACAGGTGGCACAGCGAATTAAAAAAAAGATATAGTCAGAAATTCGTCTTCGTTCTGTTTTGTTCCTCGTTCCAAATGTCGCTCCAGTCAGAGTCTCCGTCCTACGAACAGGTGCCACTGGACGTGCCAGGACCTGGGTTCAGTAACCGCCACACGTCGATCTCGTCGATGTCGTCGGCCTCGGGTTATACCTCGTCCACGTATGGGGGGAATGTTTCCATCCAAGCCATGAATGCCAACACCACTGGAAATTCTGTTCTTTCGGGCCGCGTTTCGCAAAGCAGACACTTTGCGCAACACAACACGTTCAATCCGAACCTCTTGCCCCAACAGACAAACACCATGATGAATGTCACGCCGTGGATAGAACAACAAGCCCAGGTGGCTCCAAATATCAACATTTCGAGTCTCAACATGACGTCGCTGTCCAACGAGCAGCCTCATGCCACAAACCTGAGTGCCTTGACCACCAAGAACGGTAGCAGTCCCACCGCCAACGAGAAACTCGACGACAACCAGCAATCGACCGCTCCTGCCTCTCCTCATCAGTCTCATCAAACCTCGGAAACTGAGAAAGATGAAGACGACGTGATTCCAACGGCTATTGTGATCAAGAACATTCCTTTTGCTATCAAAAAAGAACAGTTGCTCGACGTGATGTCCAAGTTGAGCTTACCGTTACCTTATGCCTTTAATTACCACTTTGACAACGGTGTCTTCCGCGGATTGGCGTTTGCAAACTTCAACTCGACTGACGAGACCTCCACCGTCGTGAACGTTCTGAACGGCAGGGAGATTGGCGGCAGAAAGTTGAGAGTCGAATACAAGAAAATGTTGCCGATGGTGGAGAGAGAGCGCATCGAGCGAGAAAAAAGAGAAAAGCGCGGCCAGCTGGAAGAACAACACCGTTCTGCAAGTGCCACATCTCTTGCATCTCTGTACAGCATCAGCTCGATTCCGAACTCCACCACCACTCCGGTGCAAGCCAACATTTCTCTTTTGAACAATACTACAAACTCACACAAACTCATGCCCGACAGACTTTACGTGACCCTGAGTACCCAGCCACTGGCCCTTCCAGGCAACGTGGACTTTAATGACCCAGAAACTTTAGAAATTTATTCCAAGCTTATCGTTTTCAAGGACGAGATCAAAAACCCAAACCTGACCACCCCGACCTCCGAGCTGGCTTTCCCGTTGACTTCTATGAACGGTAACCAACGCAAGACGTTATCGAGTCTGTGTCAGTTCTTGAACTTGGCCGAGTATTTCGAAACCGGGTTCATCACGGTGAAAAGACAGGAGGTTGGAGCCCAAGGAACCGGAGGAACGTCCATCGCAGGCATGGCAGGTACCCCTGTTTCAGGGAACAACCAGTCTGCGGTCTCGTCGACCCAGCCTGCGTTCCCTCCATCGTTGATCCGGTCTCACTCGCACAATTTGGTGAGCTCGTCTTCCCCGCTGTCGGTGAACGCTGGCAGATACAGACAACAGTCGCCTCGTATCATGACCCAGTCGACCCAGTCAAACAGCTTTGGACAGCCTCAGCCACTTCAGAGCGCAAACTCATCTCCAAACATTTTCCAGCTACAGCAGCAGTCTTCATCGAATATACACCACTCATCTTCTGCCGCCTCTCTGAACTTGCTCCGCGCGAACGGTCAGACTCCACTTGGCCAACAGCTCAGTGGTGGCACTTCCGGCGCCCGTGCGAGCGGGCTCCCCTCTCTTGGAGGAAACGCTGCCTTCTTTGGCCAATCTCAGTTCCAGACTTCCAGACCTACTGGTAAGGTAGACGATATATTCATTGGCATGGAGAACTTGAACTTTGAGAGATGATTTACGAGAATTTCATAGCACCCCTAGTTATGTGTAATGAGTGTTTATTATGAGAAATAAATGAAATAAATCTTTATAAAATAACTTTTACTAATGGAGACACGAAATCTCGAGAACGAGTCTCTCGAGAAGGACCACCGGGCCAAGTCCCAATGGACGTTCAGAAACGTCGAGGCGGTGCTGGGTCCCTTGGTTATCACCGCCATTGGAACGTACCTTCGACTCGAAGGCTTAGAAAAGAATCCCAACGTTGTCTGGGACGAGGCCCATTTCGGCAAGTTTGGCGCCCAATACCTGAAACATGAGTTCTATCATGACGTTCACCCTCCACTAGGAAAGATGTTGTGTGGATTGAGCGAGTATCTGGCTGGTTATAACGGATCTGCCGAGAACTTCAATTTCGATAGCGGAAGCAAATACCCTGCACAATTCGACTATGCCCACGTTAGATGGTACATTTCGTGGTTCGGTAGTCTTGTTGTACCTGTTTGTTATTTCACGTGCAAAGAAATGGGGTATTCGCTTTGGACAACCTACTTGATCTCGTTGATGTGCTGTTTGGAGTTATCGTACATTTCGCTTAGCAAGTTCATTTTGCTGGACTCGTCGCTGATATTCTTCACGGCGACGACGATGCTGTGTCTTGCGAAGCTGCACACGCTCAGAAATAGAGAATTTAGCGTCAAATGGATCAGCTGGTTATGTCTGACGGGTGTTTCGATTGGATGTGTCTGTTCTGTTAAATGGGTTGGATTATTCGCCACTGCCCTGGTCGGGTTATACACGGTATTGGAGTTATGGATCAAGTTCTGGGACCCAAAGCTCAATTGGCACAGGTATGCGAAAAGCTGGGTTTACCGGGTCGTGGGATTGATCGCGTTGCCAGCCTTGATCTACATGATTTTCTTCAAGATCCATTTCGGTCTCCTGTACAAACCAGGAACCGGCGCCGGTTCGTTATCGTCGTTATACCAGGCCAACATGGTGGACACTGATGTTGGCAACTATCCAAGAAACATCGCGATTGGGTCGAAAGTGACCATCCGGTCGCAGGGGAAATCGCCCAACCTGCTCCACTCGCACCCCTCGTTGTACCCTGCGGGCTCTGAACAGCACCAGGTGACCACTTACGGGTTCAAGGATCTGAACAATAACTTTGTGGTGAAAAAAGCAAGAACCCAAGACAGCTACGGCAAGTATATTCAGGACGGCGATCTTATCAGACTGCAACACGAGCTCACCAAAAGCAACCTCCACTCGCATGCCATCCATGCCCACGTTTCCGAGTCGTACTGGGAAGTGAGTGGCTACGGAGACGAGGAGATCGGCGACTCTAAAGATGACTGGGTCATGGAGATCGTCAGCCAGCTACACTCTGGCGACTCTAAATACGCAGCCACAGAAAAGGGCCCCGAGTTCTACAACACGGTCCATCCCGTCACCACAACCTTCAAGCTCCGGCATAGCGTGCTGGGCTGCTACCTTGCAACCACCGGCGAGTCGTACCCGACATGGGGCTTCAAGCAGGGAGAGGTGGTGTGCAGACCAGACACGCTGCTACCATTTGACAAATCAACGTTGTGGAACGTTGAAATGCACGAAAACGATAACCTCCACACAGACCTGGACTACGTGTACCCCAAGCCGCGGTTTCTGGAGGACTTCTTCATGGTGCAGCACGGAATGCTGGCGTCCAATAACGCGCTCGTGCCGGACCCGCATAAGTTCGACGAAATCGCGTCCAAATGGTGGCAATGGCCGCTGCTCCTGACCGGTTTGCGCATGTGCTCCTGGGGGCCACACGTGACCAAGTACTATCTGTTGAGCCATCCGTTCACCACCTGGTTCTCTACACTGTGTCTGGGTGTGTTTGTTCTGCTTATTTTGCGGTTAATGGTGCTGTGGCAGCGGCAGCAACTGGTTGTCACTGCTGACCAGAGCTGGAAACTGGCCATCACAGGACTCGTGCCGTTTGCCGGCTGGGTGCTCCATTTCTTCCCGTTCGTGGTTATGGGACGAGTCACCTACGTTCATCACTACATGCCGGCATTATACTTTGCCATGTACGTTGCCGGCTTTGTGGTTGAGTACCTTACTCCACGCGGGAAATGGCAGTACGCGGTGTACGGTGCTCTTTATGGCGGGGTTATTGGCATTTTCTGGTTATTCAGTCCAGTTTGTCTTGGAATGAAAGGATACCCTACAAATTATGCCTATTTGAACTGGCTCCCTGGATGGCACATTGCGTACTAAGAAAAAAAAAAGTGAGTTATCATTTTTTTTATTTACATTCGCGTGCACCTTTGAAACGCGTTGCCAAAAGTTATTGGCAAAAAAAAAAACATAACCAACTTTCATTGAATGTTTTACTCTGAACAGTTGCTCTCGCGTGAAGGACCACTGGCCTATGTCTGGCTGGCGGCTAACCTCGAGAAGAAACTGACAAAGCACCAGTTGTTGCACACAGACATTGCCGAAAGCACACGGGCCATTGTTTCCTCCTCGAATGCCACCGCTTCAACAGAACCGCTTGCTTTGCGGTTGACGGGCCAGTTGCTGTACGGAGTGGTCCGGATCTACTCGCGGAAGGCGAAGTACCTTCTTGACGACGTTACGGACGCGATTTTGAAGCTCAAGTCGTCGTTCAAGGCGTCGCAGTCGGTGATCTTGCCGGCAGAGTCGACGGTTATACCGTCCATTCGCGCAGTCACATTGCAGGACACCGTCACCGAGACCGACCTGCTTTACCAAGAGCCATTGAACTTTGACGATATCTTCAGCACGCAGAAAGCCTCGCAGCTGACACAGCTGCCCGAGGAGTCCACCACTTTTGACCGCTCGGTCGAGGTTCCACGTCGGGCAGAGGTGGACGAGCTGGACGGAGTTCAGGACGACCTCGACTTGAACCTGGACTTCGACCTGGGCGACGCAATGGACGTCGACAAAGACGCCTCGATCGAGCTTGGAAGGGCCGCCGACGACGACGCAAACATGTCGCGGATCATGGACGATGTTCCGGACTTTGAGTTGCCCGAGTTCGAGGAGCCGGTGCTGGAGATCGACGCAGAAAACGAGCCGGCCACGCCAGAGAACGGCCAGCAGCTCGGACCAGAGGTGCAGGTCGAGGTGATCGGCGACAAGCGCAAGAGACGCGAGCTTGTGTTTGAAAACACGGACGTTGTGCGCACGTCGCGCAAACGGGTGGTTTTCGACGACCAGATCGAGATCCCGGGAGATATTATCCGGGAGCAGCAGGCAAACTATCCACCGGCACCAGAAGGGTCTACGGAGCAGCAGTTGACCATCGAGACACTCATCAAGCAGGCCAAACCAGCCAGCTCGCCGTTCGCAGACTTCGAACAGCATCTGTTCAAGAAAAGAAAGACTGAACAGTCGCCAGACGACCAGCAAGCACAGCCAGACCAGCCAGACGACAACAACAACGAGCTGAGTCTCCAGCTGCCGTCATTCGACGCCGACGTCCAGAATTACGCCCAGTTCGACGACCAGGATCAGCAGGAGTTCCAGGAACCCGTGAAGGACCTGCTTCCGGAGTTGGACGAGGAACTGGAGTCTTTCCAGACGAACAACCTGACCGAGTCGCAGACGGTGTCGAAGTCCACGGTGAAGGTTGCAGACGGAGTGCGTTCGCTGCTGGAATCGTCAGAATCCACCACTTTCTCGGACCTCATGGCCCAGGACATGGACTCGGACGAGCCGCTCTCGAGAAACCCAAAGAGAGAGGCCACTAGAACCTTTTTTGAGCTGCTCGTGCTGGCTACAAGCGACTCGATCGAGTTGAACCAAGATAGACTTTTTGGAGAAATCGGTATCTCTGCGCGCCCAGCCTTGTCTGTTTAATATAGAACGTTCCAAAATGTATATTTCATAAGGTTTCCAGATATAGGTTTCCGTTAGTAGATCCACATGCAAAACATTTGCCGTTATTATTCCATTGCACGCGGTTGAGAACGACTCCCAGATTCATGGTTCCCAGGGAGGAGTGTTTGTTTGCGGCCAGGTCCCAGTACGCAAGGGTGCCGTTGGGACTTGCTGTGATGAACGTATGCGACTCGCGGTCGATACTCAGGTCGGATATGACGATCGGCGTGCTGATTTGTGTCGTTTCGTCGTTTTCTCTGATTTTCACCTGGTAATCTAGAGCGGACGCAGCTGTGAGTTTGGAGTTGAAGTCGATGCAGACCACGGGCAACGGGGCTCCTGTCTCAAACAGCAGCTGGATGTTTGACGCGTCGTTCAACGAGCCCAGCTCAAACTTGTACACTTTTCCAGACGAGAGTCCAACCAGCAGATGGTTCTGTTTGATGGCGCTTGCTGTGATGAGAAACTTGCCCGGCAGGGCAAGCATCGACTGCGAAACAAGGTTCACGAGCGATTTGGAGTGCACGAGCACCACGCCGTCCGCAGAAACGCTCACGATCGAGTTGGACGTCTCCAAAATCGAGACAATTGGGTATTTTGCCGAGGTCGTCGTCGACGTGACGGGATACTTGGTTGCTGAGTCAAACGTGTACAGATAGAGTCTGCCGTCGTTTCCGCCTGCGGCAAGCTGGTTGGACTGCGACTTGATAAACTTGACAATGTTGATGTCTGTGTATGTTTGTAAGGAGAATTCAGGAACCGAGGTGAGAGTGTTCCAGACCAGAATCACACACGCCTTGTTGGGACACACGTACGAGACAGCAACCAGTTCTGGATAGTGTGGAGACCAGTCGATCGACGTGACGGCCATTTCCTTTGTTTCGGGATGCGATAAGATTGTTTGTGAGGAAACAAAGCTGTTTGCTATTTCCGGCTCCTGTTTGGCCACCGCGTACACGCTGTTGATGTTCTCGTTCTGGGGCGGGATGTCGGACCCGAGAATGTGGGTGAGGTCTGGTTTGGAGATCTGGAGCGATGCCTGGAGCGACGCCTTGAGCTCGTACTCTTTTCTGAGCTTCTGGGTGATCTCGAGCTCGAGTCTGTGTGAGATTTCTCTTTCCAGCTTGTTTCGGAGTGCAAGCTCGTCCAGCTCGTCGGTGGCGGTGGATTTGTCTAGCAGAACGGGGGGAACGGGGGGAACAGGAACAACAGTGGGAACAGGAACCACAGGAACCACAGGGACAACAGACTGTTCCGGAACAACGGGTTTCTTTTGCTCCACCTGCTCCACTTGCTCCACATGTCCCAACCCCACCGGCTCGCGCTCTAGCCGCTGTCGTCGCAATTCCTCCAACTTGGCGCGCTTGGCCTCCAACGCTGCTCTGCGATCCATAAATAAATAAATAAATACAAATAAATTTCTTGTTTCAATTCCTCCGCATGGATTTCGACGATATCCTCAAAGAATTCGAGGCGTCCAAACGACCGGGCCACAACGAAGACGAGCTACGCGCCGAGGACCTCCAGCGGCTGTCGACCGCGTGGATCAATGAGCGAATGGTCCCGGAACTGTTGCCGTATGAAAACGAACTGATAGATCGCGTGCTGATACGGATCCGCAAACAGGTCGAACAGATCGAGCTGAACTCCATTGAACTCCAGACCCACGAAAAAGAAATCAAGCTACGGCTCGTGGTGGTGGAATCGGAGCTCGACAGAGTCCAGTTTCTCATCAGATCGTACACCCGAACACGTCTTCAAAAGATCGACAAATACTCGCTTTACATCCGCTCAAACGACACAGAATCCGCCAAACTCAGCAACAACGAGCTCACGTACATGGAAAGACACCTCGAGCTTCTTCTGGAGCTGTACAACTCGCAGTTTCTGAAAAACCTTCCCGAGTCGCTACAGGCTATAGACGAGACCGGGGGTGGAGTGTCAATGATCGAGGAGCCGGACCTGGACCGTCCGGTGTTTGTGAAAGCGCTTGCAGATAACGTCGTGGATGTGGACGATGAGGAGGTCGAGCTCACCACAAACGGGATCTACGTGCTACGGTACCGCGCAGTGATGGACCTGGTCAAAGTTGGCGATGTACGGGTGTTGTGAAATTAAGAAAATAATGTCCTAATAGAATATTTGAATAATATATATACATGTCTCAGGAAACTGGGCACGAACGCGACCGGGACCGGTCTTTGAGCAGCTCGCCGAACGCGATGTTTGTGATGGACCATCATCGGCGTTCGAGCGGCCAATTTTCGCGAATGGCGTTCAATATCTACGGACTTTCCACCAGCAACAGTGCTAGCACCTCTTCTTCGTCGGTGAACTTCCCTGTTCCGGCCTCCTCGCTCTCTATTCTACCATCTGTTGGGTCTGTGTCGAAGTATTACGTCGAGTCCAACAAAACACGGCTCCAAACGGCCAACGAGATCCTCGCCTGTGCCAAATCCAACGAGACCCCGAATTTGTTTGTGATAGGCGGCCCCAAGTACCTGCAGTTGCTCAAGGCATCCAACAACGAGATCAGCGTGGAGTACGACCTTGTTTCGCAAAACTCGGGCACAAGAAACAACCAGCACGGACTCATAGCCGACGCAAAGTTCGGCTACCAACAGTACGGAAGAAACATAGCAGTGTCCACTCTTTCCGGCTCCATCCACATCTACAATCTCGACCGCGGCAACAGAATACGAACAACATTCAGCGACCATCAAAGGGCGGTCAATTCCATAGATTTCAGCGCATTGAGCCCGCACACGCTGCTATCTGGCTCCCAGGACGGGAAGATGAAAGTCTGGGACCTGCGGCTGAAAAACACAAAGGCCCAGATCACCATCATCGGAAACGCCGACGCAATCAGATGCGTGCAGTTCAGCCCGCGCTCGGGCCGCCAGTTCTGCAACATCTCCGACTCGGGAGTGATCCAGAAATGGGACATCCGCAAGCCCACCACCTTTGAGCGCAAGCTCAACGCACACACGGGACCGGGACTCACACTGGACTGGCATCCGGAACTCGACTACGTTGTTAGCGGCGGCAGAGACAAACAGGTCCAGGTCTGGAACATGGCTTCTGGCACCGACCACTTGCGTGACCCGGATCACGTGATCAACACCTCGGGAGCGGTGTCGAAAGTGAGCTGGTGTCGCGGACGGGGCAACGGTTCGATCCTGACGACGGACATTGCTGCGTGCTACCTTAGCGATGACCCAACGATCCAGATCCTGAGTCTGGGTCGCAAATATGTTCCGAAAAACGTGATAGAGTTCCATAGCAACCAGGTCACGGGACTGTTTTGGAAGAGCCCCAAGTATCTTGTTAGCTGTTCCAAGGACAAGTCTGTTGTCCAGCACGACGTGACTCTGGAGCCGCGCGTTATCGACACGCTGCCCACGGTGGCTGCCGATTGGGACCATCGCGCCGGAAGCAGGCTTTTATTTGTGAAGCAGGAGCGACACCAATTTGAAGACACGCGCGAAGCAGAGGTGGTTTTGCCGCCAGAAACGTACTCGCCGAACCCGTCGTCGCCGAACCTGATGGCCAAGCCCCGGCCCAGTCTGCCACGGCAGCTGTCGCAGCCCAACACGCGCGTGTCGCCGTACGCTCTGCTGGCAGACGTTCCGGTAGCAGAGAACGAAACAGAGGTGTTTGAGTTTCTGAGCGCCAACTACATCATGGAGGTTCCAGATGGGATGGATCTGCTACATGTGTGCGAGTACAACGCGTCTGTTGCGGCCGGCGCAGGCAGATACCGAACTTGTCAGGTTTGGCGCACGTTACAGGCGAGTGTAGCGTGGGACGAGTCCAACAAGGTTCTGAACGGGTTCCAGGCGTTCCATCTGGACAACCACAGGGACCCTGTGCCCACGGACCCAAGCCGGTCGAGCATGAACACGAGCGACCGGCTCAGCACGTCGGTGGACTCGTACGACGCCCGGTCCAAAACGTACTTGGAAGAGAACGAGAACGCCATTGACGACGAGGAGGAAGACGTTGCGGACGCGCGCCCGTTGCAGCCGATCGAGATCAACAAGAACCCGGTCGTGCAACACCACTCGACGTTCTCGTTCACCGGGTCGAGCGCAGACTTCGACAACGAGAAACTCAACATGTCTGGGTCGCCGCACACAAAGTTCCGGTCTAAGTCACTGGCCATGTCGCAGATTCCTGTCTCTTTGAGCTCGTCACCAGCCAAGAGCCGTCGACAGTCGATGAAGGAGACCACGGAGCCGAAAAGTATCGAGGCTCCGTGGAATCCAGTGGAACTGCTACGTCGTTCTGCTAATTATAGCTGTATCCAAGGAGACGTGGTTATGTGTGCCACGTTGGCTCTGCTATTTGCTCCCAAATACCCAGACGCCTTCACAGAGACAGAGTGTCAGGATTGGATACTCACATACCACGAAATGCTACAGAGACGGTGTTTATTTGAGTCGAGTGCTCATGTATTGCGGATAGCTTCCAAATCGTACGAGCTCTTCACCAAGATCGGCCAGACACAAACGTCGCTGCGGCTATTCTGCCAGCATTGCAACCAGCCGATCCTCAACGAGGTGAGCAAGAATATGTGGTTGCAGGACCCGGAGATCGAGTTTGGGTTCTGGTACTGCGACCGGTGCGGCAAGGCACAGGGCGGATGTGTGTACTGCAACGAGCCGGTCAAGGGCACGTGTGTTGTTCTGGAACGGTGTGGCCACAAGGGCCATTTCGGGTGTCTCAAGTCGTGGTTCGTCGAGAGCATGGAGGAGTGTTGTCCCGGGTGCGGTAAGCAGTGTGTATAACTTATTTTTCAACCGGAGTTATCTTGCGCATAAACTCGTAGAAGAAGTCCCAGTACTTGGGCTGGACAATGGTGTCGTTGTGGTGTGCGCCGGGGAATTCGACCCACGTCTTCGTCTGGCTGCGGCTCAGCTCGTACAGCGTGCGCATGTGTGCTGGCGGGACAATCTCGTCGTCCAGTCCGCTCAGAAATAGCATCGACACAGATTCGGGGATCCGCAAGATCTCCTGCTCGGACGGCCAGATTTGGTGGCACAGCTGTTTGAACGGGCCCAACACAGGGAAAATGTGCGGGATCACCTTGCGAACGCTTAAAAACGTGTTTTCCAGAATCAGCCCGGCAATTAGGTCCGGGTACCGCGAAGCAATGTAGATAGAAACGGCTCCGCCCAGCGACCGGCCATAGCAAACGATCGACGAGCTGGCCAATTGGCTGTGGTTCGCCACAAACTCCATCACCGTGTCGGCGTCGATCTTGAGCCCTTCCTCGTTCGGTTCACCCGTCGACTTGCCGTAGCCTCGGTACGAGTAGATCAGCACGTTATACCGCAGCTGTTGATAGATATATTTCACAACGGGCAGGAAATGGCCTATATTTCCTGCGTTGGGCGATAGTATGAGAACCGTCTTATTGGTGTACAAGGCGGAATTCTTGTCGTGCAAAAGAAGATACCCTTTCAACGTCTCTGAGTCCTTAGTTTTTAGAGTTATATCTTCGTATGCTAGGTTATACTGGGCAGGCGTGTCAACAACGTCACGAGCCCCATTCAGCCCAGATGGATAAATCAGAAGGTTCTGGTACCGGTACACTCCCAAAAGAGCGGCCGTAACAAAGGTGGATCCAATTATCAGACTTATTTTGAAATAGTAATAAGAAAGCTCAAACATAGAGTAGAGAAATTATTTATTACTGTATTTATAATTTATCTCCAGCTCCCAATTCATCATTTCATAACCCATCATAACCCAATTTTTATCCGTAAACCACATCCATGATCCAGCAGAAATAGCCTCCCAACGTGAACGTCTTGACAACACGTTGCAAGAGTTTCGGCCGGATCTTGTTGTACAGGTTGCCGCAGCTGTTATTTCCCTCAGAATCAAATAACCCGTCCCCGTACTTGATGTACCGTCTGATATTGCAACCGTTCCAGAAATTCCACCATTTCGCCCGCTGACACGGCGAGATCCGCAGCAGGTTCTTGCACATCGGTCCGCACGGCCCGCCAATGTATTTCCATTCGAAAGGAGACCACCGTTGTCTTGGATCGTCCGGTGGAAGCTTTTTGTCGCCCCAGTAGCCAACAAACTTGAGCCAGTTGCCAAACTTCTGCTCGCGACCAGCATGCGACCCGTTGGCAAACGTGACCGACGTCCCGTCATACGTGTACCCGAGGAAGTTCAAGGATGGGTTCCACAATGGACCTCTGTCTGTGAAGTCAGACAGAATCGAATATGGAAGATCGTGCGAATGTTGGCCAGTGGAAGCATAGTTGGCGTGGGTTCCCCGAGCAGCAAAAATCACCGGATGGGTGTCCAGCTTCTCGAGATTGGTATAAAAGTATGCTCCGCCTCCTCCATGGGCACTCATCCACACAATCACGGGCTCTCCGTTGTAGAAGCGGACCAGAGAATGCTCCCAATCGCCGACATGGTCGCCGAACGGCCCGGTCCCCATCACATACGGACCCTCGTTGAACGAGTAGAAGTAGAACCAGTAAGCATCAACCCATCCGTTTCCTTTATCCACCACGATAAGCGTCGCGGGGACGTTTTTAAGCTCTCCTGTATAGAAATTTGGTCTATTTTTGCGTCCGGTGATCCACTCCGGGTCTGTGTCGAAATCCTCGTTCGACATGAAATAAACCGGATTCTCGTGCGACTGGAACTGTTGAAGGGCCTCCAGGTCGGTGATTTTGAGCGAATCTCCAAATTGGTCAAGCCGGGTTCCGTTCTCGAGTTCGGCATGGAAATGGGTCACAAACTCCTCTATGTTGTACGGCATGTATCGCTCTTCCGAGTAGAGATAAACCATTGGCGCGTAATCTATCACAAAAGCCGGGATTTCGCCCGGCTTGAGGGTCCGTTCGTGGGGTTTGGGCCAGGAACTGAGCGGAGGCAAGCTTTTCAGCCCCCGTTTGGAAACAGAGTCCGTCATAACTTTGGTCAACGACTCCACATCAGTTTCCGGCAAGAATAACCCAAAACAAACGGCCACAAACGTGGAAATGACCGCTATTTGTTTCATCATGGCAATGTTCGGATAAGAAATTAATTATTCTGTCAAAACGACGCATAATTAATCCGTCGCGTCGGTGGCTTTTTTCCATGTCTATCAATGATCTTCTCCAATGTGGTCCAGGTTGTATTGACCTTATTCGTCCGTTCAGTGGTCCCGATAACCGGCTGGGCGTTTGAAGAAATGTCGTCCAGCCCGGTCCGCGAAAACGCAACAATGTACACGTTGTGCCGAAACAGCGATCTGTACGACATGCTTGAAACGATCCATAGTTATGAAACTCGGTTCAATCACCGTTTTCACTATGATTGGGTATTCCTCAACGACAAACCGTTCGACACAGAGTTCATGGACCTCGTGACCGACGCTGTGTCGGGCGAGGTTCATTTCGGCTTGATCCCCGAGGAACACTGGAGCTTTCCTCAAGATTTGTCTGTTCATAAGATGAACGAAAATATCGAGAAACTGTTGTCGGACGAGGACGGCGTGCTGCCATACGCTGGATCCATCTCGTACAGACACATGTGTCGGTTTGAAACCGGGTTTTTCTATCAGCACCCGCTTCTGCAACGGTACCAGTATTTCTGGCGAGTCGAGCCCGGTGTGCGACTGTTTTGCGACGTTCTCGACGACCCGTTCATGACTATGGAGTCAAACGGATACATGTACGGGTTCACCATCAGCACGGTGGAGTACCCGAAATCGATCCCCACGCTGTTTGACCACGTGAAACAGTACCTTGAAAAAAACGAGCTTTCCGGGCTCTTGTATAACAAGTCCAACTATTCTCCGTTCATTTACGATCCAGACACAGACTCGTACAACTCGTGTCATTTCTGGACCAATTTTGAGATCGGAAACCTGGACGTGTTCCGTTCCGAAGAGTATAACCGGATGTTTGAGTATCTGGACCGTCAAAACGGGTTTTTCTACGAACGGTGGGGGGACGCCCCGATCCGCTCGATCATCCTGTCGCTAATTCTCCAAAAGGGCCAGATCCATAGATTCCACGACCTGGGCTATCTTCACGAGCCGTACTTGCAATGCCCCACAGACACGGCTGTGCGCCGCAGCCGCAAGTGCTCGTGCGACCCGGACCAGGACTTCACCAACCACTGGTTTAGTTGCTCGTGGTTATTTGACCTTATCCAACAAGCATAACTTTATAGAATCAAATACCGTGTCTCATATTCCTTGGTTATCCAGTCCAATGCATACTGGATATTTTCCCCCGTGTACGCGCTACCAAGCACAATCTGCCACGAATGGTTCTCCAGCTGATCCAACCCAAGCAACTTGACGATCTCCGCGCGCAGCTCGTCCACATTGCCTTGGTAAAGGTCCATCTTGTTCACCATAACTATAACTCCACAACCGGCCAGCCGATCCTCGCTCAACACTTTAGAAAACTCTGTGAAACTCTCGTGTAACCGGTGCAAACTCGAGCTGTCGATAACCCACATGAGGAAATCCGTTTTCTCAAAGTAGTTGAACCAAAACGCGCGAAGCGACGTCTGCCCGCCAATGTCCCAAACGTTGATGTTGAACCCTGCGTACTGTACCGTGGAGATATCGAACCCCATTGTCGGGCTGGTTTCCTTGACATTTTGGTGCAATAACCGCTTGACAATGGTGGACTTGCCCGAGTTATCAAGTCCCAAGAGAAGAAGCCGCACCTCCTTCTCTTTTAGCTTTTGTTTGCGTATAATAGACAAAAGCCCCATCCAACAAGAACAACCAAAATATTTTTCCTATTTAGATAAATTATTAAAGTTATGGCCAAACGAAAACCGGTAGACCAACAGGTATCGATCTTGAAGTTTTGTCGAACCGGATCGGATATCGTGAAAAAAGAGGTGACGGTTATCGATCTGGTGAGCGACAAGGAGGAAGACTCGTTGTTTGTGAAGGACGAGGACGAAGAGCTCCCCAACCAGATCGAGCCAGACCAGATCGAACAGCTCCCGTGTCCGATCTGCAGCGTGGACATGTCGTACTTGTCGCTGGACGACCGCACAATGCATGTGGACGCATGTTTGGTCGAGCCAAATACCAAACCGGTTTTGTACAAACCAATGAAGATTGGGGGGCAAGAGAGCAAAAGAAAAGTGTCTGCGAAACGGCCCAAACCGCCGATCCCAGACCACAAGATCATGGAGTTTGGCAACTATATGGTTGCTGTGGACGCGTTTTGCTACGCTATACATCCTGGAATCTCCACATATTTATTGACCCATTTCCATTCCGATCATTATGGCGGATTGACAAAAAACTGGGATAACGGGAAAACCATCATTGTGACCCCAATAACGTATAACTTGCTGGTCTTCAAGTTCAAAATAGACCCCTCGTTGCTGCTACCGGTGGACTATAACCAGACGATCACCGTTCCGCACACACAGATCAAAGTCACCTGTCTGGACGCGAACCATTGTCCAGGAAGCGGGATTTTTGTGCTGGAATCGCCTGGTTGCAAGTACCTCCACTGTGGAGATTGCCGTATAAACCGGCAAATGCTCGAGTCGTTGCTGGAAATCGGCCATTTCAATAAAATATACCTCGACACTACTTACCTGGACCCGCTGTACAACTTCCCGAAACAGGAGTACGTTATTGACCAGTTATGCCAGCTACTCAAGTCCAAGATGGAAACGTTCAAGTTCTCACAGCAACGGGTTATCGATTATTTCACCAAAGGGAAACCGCAACGGTTTTTGGTGGTTATAGGAACTTATCTTATTGGCAAGGAAAGACTTGCGATCGGACTCGCAAAGGCTTTGGGATCCAAGATCTACTGCCAAAAGGAGAAGAAGGACGTACTGAACCAGTTTGGGTGGCCAGACTTGGACGAACTGTTGGAAACCGAACACCCTGAAAATTGCCAGGTGCATTTGGTAGCACTTCCGAAACTCAACAAGGACTTCTTAATGGAGTACCTCAAGACGTACTCGAAACACTTCAAGGCGGCCATTGGAGTGCGGCCAACTGGGTGGTCGTTGCGGTACGGCAAACCGGTGCCGTCGCTGGACGATATAGTGGAGTCGGAAACCCCAGAAGCGGTTTTGGAAGCCATTTCCAAACATTTTGACAGGTTTAGAGACGATAACCCTTGTCGCATTCTACGGATTCCGTACTCGGAACACAGCTCATATCGCGAACTCTTCTACTTCACAAACCTGCTAAGCTACGACGAGCTGATCCCGACAGTGGACGTGCACAACGAGGAGGAACAGCATGCGGTGTTGACACAGTTCAGAAACTACAAAAAGTTATGTATAACAAACTTTTAAATTCACACAGGCCGGGTAAACACGCCCGGATGCTTCCCCCTGGAGTTGTTTTTTTCTACCTGTGGTATGTGTCCCCCACCCAAAACAAATTCAAAGTTTGCAAACAAAATAATTTTTAAACAAGCAATGGACGTTAGCAGTCTGCTGGAGAGTGCAATATTAAGCGCCGACGCCAGCAAGCGGGCCGCCTCCGAGGCCGAGCTCGCCCAGCTGGCCGAACAGAACTGGGGAACGTACCTTCTGAGCATGGTTGAAGTTCTAGGCGACGAAACGAAAAGAACAGAGGTGAGGATCCTTGCTGGGCTTTCGCTGAAAAACCAGCTGGTTTCCAAAGATTCCAACAAAAGACAGCAGCTTGCGGAGCGGTGGGTGCAACAGGACGGCGATCTCAAGCAGAAGATCAAAGACACGGCTCTCCAGACGCTTTTGACGCGTGAGGAACGTGTGGCGAACGCTGCGGCCCAGCTGGTGGCTGCTGTGGCCGACATCGAGCTACCGCTGGGTTCGTGGAACGAGCTGATGCACATCATAGTGGACAACACGAAGGCAGACAAGCCGGTGAATGTGAAACGGGCCTCGCTGCTTGCGATCGGATATGTTTGTGAGAGTGCAGATGCCACTAACCCTGCGGTGGTGGCCCAGGCCAACGGCATTTTGATCGCCATTGTTCAAGGTGCCCAGTCGTCTGAGCCAAGCACAGTGGTTCGGAAAACAGCCATCAACGCCCTGGTCAACTCGCTGGAGTTTATTGCCGGCAACTTTGAACGTGAGGGAGAGAGAAACTACATTATGCAGGTGGTTTGCGAGGCCACCACCGCTTCTGATCCAGAACTACAAGCTCTGGCGTTCGGTGCGTTGGCCAAAATCATGAGTCTTTACTACCAGTACATGGGAATCTACATGGAGAAGGCACTCTATGGACTAACGGTATCTGGGATGCAGAGCTCGGACGACCGCGTTGCATGCATGGCTGTGGAGTTTTGGAGTACGGTTTGCGAAGAAGAGTTGGAAATCGCCATTCAGCTCGAGGAATATAAAGACCAGCCGCCTCCAGACTTGGTGTCGTACAACTTTGCGCTCGTGGCAATCACAGACGTTTTGCCAACATTGTTGAGTCTTTTGGTGCGTCAGAACGAGGACCCGGAGGATGACGACTGGTCAGTTGCGATGGCTGCAGGCGCATGTTTGCAACTGTTTGCCCAAAACACAACGAATTACGTGGTGCAGCCTGTTTTGCAGTTTGTGGAGTCCAACTTGAACCAGCCAAACTGGAGAAACAAAGAAGCCGCAGTGATGGCCTTTGGATCGATTCTCGACGGCCCAGACCGCTCGGAACTGACTGTGCTGATTGGCCAGGCGTTGCGTCCAATTCTGGCCCTAATGAAAGACGAGTCGCTGCAAGTGAAAGAGACAGTTGCCTGGTGCGTGGGAAGAATAGCAGATATGGTGGTGGAAGCTATTGACGTGAACACCATGTTGCCCGAAGTCATCCAGGCTCTGGTTGCCGGATTACAGGATCACGCCAAAGTCAGCACCAACTGCTGTTGGACTTTAATCAACCTGGTGGAACAGCTCAGCGTGGATGCCAGAGAATCTAACTCCAGCATAATGTCTCAATACTACCCTGTCGTTGTTCCTGTTCTTCTTCAAAACACATCGAAACCAGATAACGAGCACTCTGCCAGAACCTCTGCGTACGAGGCGCTGTCGACGCTCGTGTTATACAGCAGTGCCAGCGACATGCCGATGGTGAACCAGATTGCGTCGGACTCACTGGAGAAGCTTGACCAAACGATCCAGCTTCAACTGCAGGGCGCGCAGGCTTACGGCGAGGAAAAGGCCGTTTTGCAAGAGCTCCAATCTAATATTCTTTCTCTGTTGACCAACGTGGTGCGGAGAATCGGCGGCGAGATTGCTGCTGTGTCTGACCAGCTGATGGAGAAGTTCTTGCGGCTGTTGCAGATCCAGGAACCAAACTCCATCATCGAAGAAGACATTTTCATTGCCATCTCATCCATTGCTTCTGCCATTGGCATCCAGTTCGAGAAGTACATGCCATCTTTCCTTGCCTTTTTGACCAAAGCATTGGAGAACATTGACTCTCCAGTCTGTGACGCTGCCATTGGTCTTGTGGTGGACATTTCTCATTCTCTGGGAAATGCGTTTATTCCGTACTGTCAAGGGTTCATGGCCATTCTGGGTAACACTTTGTCGAGCCAGAACGTTCGCCGGGAGCTGCGTCCGCTGATTCTGTCCTGTTTTGGAGACATTGCTTCTTCGATCGGACCGGAGTTCATTCAATATTTGCAAGTGGTGATGAACATTTGCAGTACCGCACAGCAACTGGAGCCCGAGGACCTTTCATTGGAGACCGAGGATTACATCCTGAGTGTCAAAGAAGCCGTCTTGGACACCTACGTTGGAATAGTGGCTGGGCTGCACGAGTATCCCGATGCTTTGCAACCATACACGTTGCAGATCGCCTCTTTTCTGATGCAAGTGTACCACAACCAGGCCATGTGTTCCAGCGAGAGCGTGTGCCGGTCTGTGGTGGGAATGATTGGAGATCTGGCGCAGATCTTCAGCGACGGCAGACTGAGAGAGTTATACCAACAGGAATGGGTTGCGGATTTCATCAAAAAGACAAGAACAAACCAACGGTTTTCGCAGAGCACCAGAGACACGGCGCGGTGGGCCAGAGAACAGCAGAAGCTACAGTTACAGTAAATAGCCGTTCACATCTCATAATAAATAGCATATCTTGACTATATTTACTAGAAAAATTTACCCCTCAATTTGAGAGTTATATAAGTTATGTCTGCCTTTTCCCATAAAAAGTTCGATGCTGGCCAGTACAACCAGTTTCGGCCGCAGTATCCACGGAGTTTGTTCGATGAGATTCTGAAATACCATTTGGCCACTGAAGGCAACCAATTGGGCACGTTGTTGGACGTTGGATGCGGCACGGGCCAGGTTTTCGTGCCACTGGCCCCCGAATTCAAAAAAGTTATAGCTACGGACGTGTCCTCGGTTATGGTTGACAAGTCCAAGAAGGCAGCAGAGCATATCACCACCCCCACCGAGGTGTATGTTGCCTCTGCCGAGGATCTCCCGCTGGATAACTCGTCTGTGGATCTTGTTCTGGGGGGAGAGTGCGCCCATTGGATGGACACGGCCAGATGGTTTGCGGAGGTGGACCGCATCCTGCAACCGAACGGCACGTTTGCGTACTTTGGTTATGTGGACCCGATATTTGTTGGCGAACCTGTTGCCAACGAGGTCTACGACGAGATAACTTACGAAAACGGCGAGTTTCTGGGCCCCCACTGGCAGCAGCCGGGACGGACGAGAATGCGCACGCTGTTCCGGGAAATTAACGACCAGCTAATCAAGGACCCGCGGTTCGACAACGTTGTCGTCGTGTACAACGACCCGTCGCGGCCAGAAACCCAGCCCGCTGCGCCAAAGTTCGAGCTCACCAAAAAACTCACCTTGGAAGAATACCTCAACTACGGCAAGACATGGAGCACCTACACTAACTGGAAGTCCAAGCACACAGGCCAAGACACCAGAGACCCACTAGACGTGATGTACGAGCGTCTGAACAGGAGACTCGGGTGGGAAAAACAAACCACCATCGAGATCTCGTGGAAAACGGTGTACGTTATGGCACGGAAAATTGGCCGTAAATAACAATCATCGGTTTATATTAAAATATGACACTCTTATTCAGCCTTACCACCCTTTCTCTCGATCAAGGCCTTTCTGTCCTTGTCCAAGTGCAAGTTGGTGATGACCACCTTGGATGGGTGGATGTTGATAGGCACACTGGCACCGTTGGATTTCTCTTTGGTCACTTTCTCGAGCTGGATGGAGTATTTCAATCTGTAGACGGAAGAGATGGTTCCCTCCTGGCCCTTCTTAGAACCTCTAACAACAAGCACCTTGTCCTCTTTTCTCACTGGGAGAGCTTTGATTTTGTATTGTTCTCTGAGCTCCTTGGAGAGAGGAGCGGAAAGCAAAACTCTTCTGGCAGAAGATGGGGCGTTGAAGTAGGCCTTTCTTGCCTTGGATCTGGAGGATGAGACGTCTTGGGAAATCTTAGCCATGGTTGATGAGGATGAAGTTTTTTTTCGAAATTTTTCAGTATGCTTCGTGGGTGGTGTGCTTAGGTAAGACGGGGAAAAAAACTCGAGGGCACGCGCCCTGGCAGTGTGTCACGTGACACGTAGTGGGATTTGTCAGAACGACCGGTATTTCCCCAAACTTGCACCTCTCATTCCAGGATCCGGGTTTCTCTGCGCGTGTTTGCGACGCGTCTCGTGCACGCGTATATAAGATCCCAGTTCCACCCAAAACAAATACACCAACAATGTACGTTTTGAAAAGAGACGGGCGCAAAGAGCCAGTCCGCTTCGACAAAATCACCGCCAGAGTGTCCCGTTTGTGTTACGGCCTCGACCCTAAGCACGTTGAACCCGTTGCCATCACCCAGAGAGTCATTTCTGGTGTTTACCATGGCGTCACCACCATCGAGCTCGACAACCTCGCTGCAGAGACTGCCGCTTACATGACCACCATCCACCCGGATTATGCGACCCTGGCTGCCAGAATCGCCATCTCCAACTTGCACAAGCAAACCACCAAGCAATTCTCCCAAGTCGTGGAGCAGTTGTACAGATACGTGAACCCAAAGAACGGTAAGCACTCGCCAATGATTTCCGAGGAGACTTACGAGATTGTTCAGAAGAACGCAGAAGAGCTCAACTCGGCAATCGTGTACGACAGAGACTTCTCGTACAACTATTTTGGTTTCAAGACTCTGGAACGGTCGTACTTGCTCAAGGTTGACGGAAAAGTTGCTGAAAGACCTCAGCACATGGTTATGCGTGTTTCCATTGGTATTCACGGCAACGACATTCCAAAGGTCATCGAGACCTACAACTTGATGTCCCAGAAGTTCTTCACTCACGCGTCTCCAACCCTTTTCAACGCGGGTACCCCCCACCCTCAAATGTCCTCGTGTTTCTTGGTCGCAATGAAGGAGGACTCGATCGACGGAATTTATGACACGCTTAAGACTTGTGCTTTGATCTCCAAGGCAGCTGGTGGTATTGGTTTGCACATCCATAATATCAGATCCACTGGTTCTTACATCGCCGGTACCAACGGTACTTCTAACGGTGTGATTCCGATGGTGAGAGTGTTTAACAACACCGCCAGATACGTTGACCAAGGTGGTAACAAGCGTCCTGGTGCCTTTGCCTTGTATATCGAGCCATGGCATTCCGACATCTTTGATTTCATCGACATCCGTAAGAACCACGGTAAGGAGGAAATCAGAGCTAGAGACTTGTTCCCTGCTTTGTGGATCCCAGACTTGTTCATGGAGAGAGTCGAGCAAAACGCCGACTGGACTTTGTTCTCTCCTTCTGAAGCCCCAGGTCTTGCTGACGTCTACGGTGACGAGTTCAAGGAACTCTACACCAAGTATGAAAGAGAGGGACGTGGAAGACAAACTGTCAAGGCCCAGAAGCTGTGGTATGCCGTCTTAGAGGCCCAGACCGAGACCGGTACTCCTTTCATGTTGTACAAGGACTCCTGTAACGCCAAGACCAACCAGAAGAACTTGGGTATGATCAAGTCGTCCAACTTGTGCTGTGAGATTGTCGAGTACTCTTCGCCAGAGGAGGTTGCTGTTTGTAACTTGGCCTCGATTTCTCTGCCTTCGTTCTGCGAAAACGACGAGACCACCAGCTGGTACAACTTTGAGAAGCTGCACCAGATCACCAAGGTTGTCACCAAGAACCTCAACAAGATCATTGACAGAAACTATTACCCTGTTCCAGAGGCCAGAAGATCCAACATGCGTAACAGACCAATTGCTGTTGGTGTCCAAGGTCTCGCTGATGCTTTCATGCAATTGAGACTGCCTTTCGACAGTGACGAAGCCAGAGAGTTGAACATCCAGATCTTCGAGACCATCTACCACGGTGCTTTGGAAGCCTCCATGGAGCTGGCTATTAAGGATGGCAAGTACGAGTCCTACGAAGGATCTCCAGCTTCGCAAGGTATCTTGCAATTCGACCTGTGGGGCAAGAAACCTACCGATCTTTGGGACTGGGACGCCTTGAAGGCCAAGATCCAGAAGAACGGATTGAGAAACTCGCTTTTGGTTGCACCAATGCCTACCGCTTCGACTTCGCAAATTCTTGGAAACAACGAGTGTTTCGAGCCTTACACTTCCAACATTTACTCCAGAAGAGTTCTTGCTGGTGAGTTCCAGATCGTTAACCCATACTTGTTGAGAGACCTTGTCAACCTTGGTTTATGGAACGATTCGATGAAGAACTTCATTATCAAGGACAACGGATCGATCCAGAACCTTCCTAACGTTCCTCAGGACTTGAAGGACCTGTACCGTACTGTTTGGGAGATTCCTCAAAAGAGCATCATCGACATGGCTGCCGACAGAGGTGCGTACATTGACCAATCGCAATCGATGAACATCCACCTTAAGAACCCAACCATGGGTAAATTGACCTCGATGCACTTTTATGGATGGAAGAAGGGACTCAAGACCGGAATGTACTACTTGAGAACCCAGGCTGCTGCTGCTGCCATCCAGTTCACTGTTGATCAGAGCTCTGCTGCCACTGCTTCTTCCACTGTTGCATCTTTGGACAAGTTGAAGTTGAAGAAGTATGTTACCAGAAAGACCTCTTCTGTGGAGGATGTTTCGTTTTCTTCGGCCGAGTCCATGATCGAGACTCCTTCTCCAGAAACTGCTCCATCGAGCATTGAGGGATCTATGGCCGAGTTGAACATCAAGGAGTCCAAGCCGGCTGAAGAGCCACAGGAGCCAAAGGAGACAGCTGAAGAGCCAAAACAGGCCGATTCGGCAGCCGATCCTGCCAAGGAAACCACCAGCGACGAGTTTGATATCTTCAACTCGAAGGTGATTGCCTGTGCCATCAACAACCCGGAAGCCTGCGAAATGTGCTCCGGCTGAATAATTGCTAAATCGTATAATAAACTAGTTGGATGATAAGGATATTTGGCGGCTAAAAGACATTACCCCCTGAATTTGGGGATTGTGTCCCTTTTTTCTAAAAAATCTTATAAAAAGTTAAAAATATCACCAAAAGGCTCCGCCCTTTTTTTCTGCCAAAACGCGGCCGGCAAAAAAATAAATATCTTGTAATTGCCTTAATAACAACACAAAGTTCAAATACGTGTCTATTAGTTTTAAAATGGTGAGTTTGACTTGCAACACGCGCAAAACACTAACAATTAGAGCGAGAAATTGACACCCGAACAGATCGACGAGTTTAAAGAGGCATTTAGCATCTTCGATAAGGATGGCGATGGAAAGATTTCAGCATCAGAACTCGGAACAGTGATGAGAGCGCTGGGCCAGAACCCAACACAACAGGAGCTGAACGATTTGGTGAACGAGATCGACACAAACGGCAACTCTTTGATCGAGTTTTCCGAATTTCTCACCATGATGGCCAGACAGATCAAGGAACAGGACGTGGAGGCGGAGATTCTCGAGGCCTTCAAGGTGTTTGACAGTGACGGAGATGGAAAGATCTCTCAGACCGAGCTGGTCCGTGTTCTTACAACCATTGGTGAAAGACTTACAGACGAAGAAGCTAAACAGATGCTCCAGGCCGCAGATACCGATTCTGACGGACAAATTGATATCGAGGAGTTTGCCAAGATCTTGCGTGGAAAATAATCGTCTCTTATATACAATTACCTAGTAATAGTTGCAATCCCTTTGGAGCCGACCTCAAACTCTGTTTGTTCCCAGAACTTGTCCTGCATGGGACGGAAGCACGTACCGTTCCTGGCTCACCTCGTGTTCTTTGATGTAGTGCAGTTGGGCTGGCAGTCTATCGATCACGCTATCCAACGCCGCCTCGATCCGCTCGATCAGCCGGAATGGCGGGTTGGTGAAATGTTTCAAGTACCCGTATCCAAGCGCATAACCCGCGAAAATCGCAATCAAATGGCCCATGAAACTCGAACTAGGCACCAAAACACCCACAACAAGCAGGAACACGAACGGCACCATGGTTGTTGGAACGTCCACCCTGTACAGTTTCACGGTTTCCTCGGTTTGCGACCGCAGATAGTAGTAGTAGCTGAGCATCGAGAAACACCATCCGGATGCTCCCAGAACGCTGGTCTCTGGGTAGAACAACAGGCCGCACAGACAGTATGGAACACCAACAAATGTGGCCAGGAAGTTCAACACAACAGCGGTGTGGACGGTCCCGTTCTGCACCTCGAACTGACTCAATGGGCCATACAGAGACGCAACGTTGAACAGCAGATGGAAGAAGTTCTCGTGGATCAATGTGTAGGTGGTCAATCTGCTGAGTTCAAAGTTGGGAAGGGCCTGGGGTGATAAACACCACGCGTCCAGTATCCATGGATTGGCGACGGAAAAAAGATAAACAAGCACCAAAAAAACCGACAGCCCGACAGAAAGCGCAGGAACTCTGTCTGCGGCGGGGAACAGGCGTTTGAGCTGGTTTCCAACCTGTTGGGACACCTCTTGGAAAGAACTCATTAAAAATATTTTCACAGCCAAATTTTTGTAAATAAGCCTTGGTGAGCGTAGCACCAAATCGACCGAGCCGGGATTTTTTGCACTATGCGTTTTGCGGAGCGCGGTCGGACGGTTGCGAGCGGCCCACAAACGTGATCACGCTGTCGAGGTTGTCCACGCCGCGTCTCATTTCTGGGATGTCGTGTTTGAGGTCGGCCAGGTCAGCCAAGATGGCCTGGAAATCGCGTTTCAACGTGTCCACGGACTCGTCTGGCTCGTAAGATGGCACTGTTTCGCTTGTCTTTTGCGCCCGAGCGCGATTGGCCATAGACTCGGAGATTATCGTGTCTATCAATGTAGTGTTATTGTCGATTTCTGTTTGGTATTCTTCGTAGACCTGGATCGGCTGTGTGCGTCGCAGCTGGGCCACCAGCCCGATCTTCTCCTCCACACGCGTGTACAGGTCGCGCAACCTGTCGTTCAAGGCGAAGTCGTACGGCTCGATCTTCTCGTTTAGAAGATCTGGGTTTGTCAGCAACTCGGACACCTTGTACTTGTCCAATTGGGCTGGAGAAACATCGTCCAGGTCCAACGAGAACTGGATCGAGTCGAAAACCTGGTCCACAAACTGTCGAACCACCAAACTGACCGACTCCGACAGAGCAGGGTCCTGTTTTTTCGAGCCAACTTGTTTCAGATGGGTCTCAACTTTGGCCGCGGCAGATTCCTGTAATGTGTCGTACAGATATCGCAGCTCGCGCAGCTGCAAATGGATCTTGGAAGGCGCGCTCGTCATTTGTAGCTGGAGATCCCCTTTGTTTATATAGAAACAATTCTTTAAATGTAACGGTCCGGGTAACATTTGTGCCAGGTATTTTTTACAGCACATTTTAATTCATTAAAACCAAAGCATCAAGATGTAAGTAAAACCACTGTTGGATACTAACGCCAGGTCGACACAAGCCGAGTCCGAGTACTCGCCGGCCTTTGCGCCATTTTTCGGGTTCGCAGGCTGCTGTGCAGCCATGGTGTTGAGCTGTGCGGGAGCAGCTATAGGAACCGCAAAGTCAGGAATTGGTATTTCAGGTATCGGTACGTTCAAGCCGGAATTGATCATGAGATCGCTGATTCCGGTCGTCATGAGCGGTATTTTATCGGTTTACGGTCTCGTGGTGGCCGTTCTGATCGCCGGAGGTCTTAGTCCAAGCACAGATTACACTTTATTTAACGGGTTCATGCATCTCAGTTGCGGATTGTCGGTGGGATTTGCTTGTCTGGCCTCGGGCTACGCAATTGGAATCGTCGGAGACGAAGGTGTTAGACAATTCATGCATCAGCCTCGTTTGTTTGTCGGAATAGTGCTGATTCTGATTTTCGCCGAGGTTTTGGGACTATACGGAATGATTATAGGTCTGATTCTCAACACCAAGGGAAGCGGCTAGTTACAAATGTACAAATATATTGACTGATACGATACTCTAATGAGCCTCATGCTCCAACGTCCATCACGTCCACATTGCCCTCGTCGTCAACATATTGGTGGCTGTTTTCCTCAACAAACTGCACACTACGTGCACTGTCAATGAATAACATGTAGCTCTTTTTGACATCGTCCAATCCAACGGTGTCGGCACGTCTCTTTTTCGCGATCTGGTAACTCACAGAGATCAGGTTTGCGGCGTATCTCAACGAGGTTTCCGTGCCGATCTTGGTGAGCAAACTCAACGCGTCCGCACTCAGCTCCACCTCCTCTTCTTGCGCTCTGATAGACAAAATACTCTTGATCTCGTCCTCTTGGTAGCTCTCGGTCCGGATAATGATCGACCGGTCAAGCAGATCCAATGGTAGTCCGTGCGGAGACTTGTAATTGGTTCCTCTGGTTTTCGAAATACCTCTATTGGTGGCCATAATCACAATCGGCGAAAAATCGTCCTCCAACGCTCTGTTGATGTACGAAAAACATTCGATGTCCAGCATGTGCACCTCGTCGATGAACAGAACTCCAGGAACAATGTCGGCCTTTCCTTCCTCTTTCCATTCGGCAACCTTCAGGTTGATCTGGTCACGGACCTCAGACCGGATCTCTCCAGTGTCTCCACTGAAAAGAGCCAAAAAGCCCTGTTGTCTCGAGTTTATCACGTCAATCTCATGCAACGACACCGTGTGAACAACCTCTTTTCTGGTTTGCAATTCTCCTTCAGGACAAGAAACAAACTTGGTGTCTGGTCCCATGGCATCGTAGTCTCTAGCACGGGTGTACGAACGTCCCAGCTTGGCAATCTTACCGTTAGATTTGTCGATGGAAATCACATCTCCCGCAATCACTTTTTCCTTTGTCAGTTCATCGATCATCTTGTTTCCCAATTCGTAGATGGTTTCCATGTCGGTGGTTCTAATAGTCAATTTTCCTTGCTTGTGACCTCCAGTCAGAGATCTATCGATCTGGATCTCCACAACCTCTCCCTCGATCACTTCGGTCTCCTCCTTGATCTGAATTCCTATACTTTTTCTGAACGCCTGATTCAAAGCCTCTGTCTTGGAAATCTCTCTGGAAAACACCTCCGATCCTGCAATCGCGGTGAACGGAACGTTACTGCCCAAACTTTGCGAAATTCCCATAGCAATAGCCGTTTTTCCTGTTGAAGGCGGTCCAGCAATCAACATTGCACGACCGGCAATCTTTCCCTGCTGAATCATCTTCAAAATCACACCAGCAGCCTTTCTTGCCTTCAACTGGCCAACCATGCCCTGGCTGTTCTCGCGCGGCTGAAGCTGGTCATCCAGTCCGAGTCCCGTGATATGCGAATGTGCCGCCACCAACGAGAAGTTTCCTGTGGCCTCTCCGTCGCTTTTCGTTGCAATTGACATTTCCTTGTTGACCGTCTAAAACAAACAAGTTTTCTAAATTTCCTCCAGCAAATTTTACTCCTTCAATTTTTTGGCTGGATGTGGCCGGTGCACGGGTGTCGCGAGAAAAATTCCCATCCAGCACTAAGGCAATCTATTTTGTCTGGATTAATTAAACATGGCTCTTCTAGATTGCGTGGCATTGTGTTTCCCGTGTGTGTTTAATAGCACGCCGGTGCTGAAAATCAACCAAACCGCGTTCAAGATCCTCAACTTGCTGGGCGAGGGAGGCTTTTCATACGTTTATCTGGTGCAATCCAATAACAACCGAAATTTGTACGCTTTGAAGAAAATCAGGTGTCCCTTTGGAAACTCCAACTTTAAAGCCGCCATGAAAGAGGTGGATAACTACAAAGAGTTTCGCTCGCCGTTCATCATCAAGTCGATCGATTCGTCTGTGGTTCAGGAACCTGATGGATCCAAAACTCTATACATTCTTCTTCCTTATTTCGATACGGGATCTTTACAGGACATCATTAACCAGAACAGTGTGAATAATTCCCGCATGGACGAGTCCGAGGCGCTAAGACTGTTCATTGGCGTTTGTCGCGGAGTGCAATCGATGCATCGACATCAGGTTTCCAAGAATTATAGCATGGTTTCTGTGATGGAGCCAAATTCAACGGTGGATGATGACGAAAACAATCCGTTCCTCAGTAATATGGACGAATCGTCCAGAGACGACACAGAATTACAGGAAACCACCAGTTTTGCTCACAGAGACATCAAGCCAGCCAACATCATGCTGGCCAAAGATGGAACTCCTGTTCTGTGTGATTTAGGATCCTGCGAAAAGGCCCGTGTCAGTATCAAATCCCGTGCACAGGCAATTACGGTACAAGAGTTGAGCAACGAACATTGCACGCTGCCTTACAGAGCTCCCGAGTTGCTGGACATCAAGGTGGGCGACGAGATCGACGAGAAAATCGATATCTGGTCGTTGGGCTGTACGTTGTACGCCCTGCTATACGGCTATTCTCCATTTGAAAGAGAAGAGCTGGTGAACGGAGCCAACATCACTCTGGCCATCAGTTCGGGAAATTACAGCTTCCCATCATCTCCAGACTACTCTGAAGCCTTGAAGGACCTGATCAAGTACTGTTTGGTGCTGGACCCGCACGAAAGACCATCTATCGAGGACGTTCTTACAAAAGCGTTGCAGACACAGAGAGATATATAGACCAGTTTTCTTTGGTGCGAGGTGTAGGTGTAATGAAAAGCGGGCTGAAATGAAATAATTTTGTTAGCACATAGTTGGCAATTAGAGTTGGGACATGACGTCGTATCAGGACGGATCTGTGCGGGTCTCCGGGTGGAACGATTGTCCGGACGCTGTTCTTGGGCGGCGTGGATTTTCTGGCACTGTAAGCGCCGACGATCTGGCGACTGTGCGGACGCGACTTGAAACGATCTTGACAGCAGATTCCCGGCTATCTGAGCGCGAGCTGGCGTTCCACCGGGGGAAAATCGACAAGGCGGCTGCAGACGACACGAACTTGGCGTTTATCGGAGAGATGGTGGCACTTTTCGATCGCGGGGAGCGCAAACAGCTGGAACAGAGCATTCTACAGCATATGATGGCTACTTCGAACAGCAGCTGGTGCGGGTCGTTCAAGAAGGTGTTATTAAATGTTAATGATATCAATTAGAGTGGTAATACAAATGCAAATTCATCAGAGTCGGGGCTTTCCCCGTCTGAGTAATGTCTCTTATAGCGAAATGACTTAGAGAGCAAGTCCTGCCAAGACGACAAGACCGCCAAGAAGACCGAAGTTGGCCGAGGCAGCGTGCCATGCGCCGTCCTCGAAGGTGGTGACGGAGCTGGAAGTGGTACCGTTGTTGGCAGAAGAGGTGCTGGTGCAAACTGGGCAGGTGGTGAGGGATTGGGTGGAGAAAGTGGTGGTTGCGCTGGAAACAGTCACTGCAGAACTGGACGAGCCGCCGGAAGAGCCTTTGCCCTTGGTGATAGTCACGGACTCACAGCCGGAAGCTGCGGCGCCGTCGGAGTAGAACATCAGCTCCCAAGAGCTCTGGGACCAGTTGTAAGGGTCGTTGGTGTTCTTACAAGCGTAGAAGCCGTTGGAGGAGCCGTTGGCCTGCAGAGTACCGTCGTTGGTAAACGTAAAGGTGACCGGGTCGCTGATCACACCAACACTAACGTACGAGGAGACCACACCGAAGGTAGCAGGGTATTGGCCAAACTGATCGCTGCTCAATGTTTTGTTGGTAGCATCGTAGCTGAAGTTGAGGGTGGAGTCGCTGTCTGCGAGGAAGACGTAGCTGAATCCGGCACCCTCGTGGAGAGCAGAGAGGGCTTTTCCGTCAACATCTGCGTTGGAAGACTTGGTCCACAGAGAAACCTGGTCGGCCATGGCAATGGCAGCAGTGGCAGCGAGAGCGAGAGAAGAGGAGAATTTCATGGTTTAGTAAATTGAACTGATGAACTGTTGGTTGATGAGTGTTAACCAGGTGGTTCGGTCGGTATTTATGCTCTCGAGGGGTAAACAGAGCGGCTTCGAGGAAGCTTTATTTTTAGAAATGAGATCATCAATGACGTGAAAAAATTTACTAACGACAATAAGGGTTTCCTATTGGGGTTGCAATTTTCACAAATGGGGGCATAATTACGGGTCCTCATCCAATTACGAGCAAAATCCGTCAGTTCCTTGCAGCTAAATGGCATGGACATGTTTATGTTTACCACGCTATAAATACTTGTTTCCAAAAAAAGCACTATTCAAAGCCAAAATATTCTTCTTCACTGCAGGGGCGCACAATAGCACAGGCCGGATCTGGGAACTTTCGGAACAAGCTCGTTGAGATTGCTAGATTGCGCCAATGAGTAGCACCAGCCCTCCAAGAATGCCAATGTTGGCAGCGGAAACATGCGTGGCAGCATCTGCATAGGAGCTAACACTACTGGCAGTGCCGTTGCTACCTCCCGATGCGGACGAAGTAGCACTACATGTTGGACATGTGGTAATGGCTTGAGTGGAGCTATGGAACACTGTTTTGGAAACAACTGCCGACGAAGACGTCTCTGCTGCCTTTTGCAGATAGAACGCGGAACAGGTATCTGGAGCGTTCAATCTTGGGTAGTATTTCAGATACCGCAGGTTGCCTGGCTGGGAAACGTCACCCTGACAGGCATACAGACCGTCTCTGTTGCCGTTGATGGTCAATTGGCCCAGCGTGTTGAACGCAAACTTGTCGGAGCCCTTGTCGAAACTGACCTGTACGCTGGAGTCGTTGGCAATAGTCACTTCCTGTGGGTCCTTGTCCGACGAAAGATACTCAAGAGACTGGTCAGAGCTGTCGTAATCAAAGTACATCTCGCGAGAGTCGCCAATCCGCAGAGTCAGGTCGTACGGTGGAGGCTGACCGTTGGAGTAGATTCCAAACGTGGCCCCGGCAATCAAAGAGTCCGACGACTTGATTGCCAAGATAAATTGGCCAGACACAGCTGTTGCAGTAGCAAGCAGAGAAATAAACTTCATTCTTAACTGACTCGACTAATGGCTCCCTAGACCCCTATTTATAACGAGAACAGGCTTTATTTTTAGCATGTCGCTGCTCCCCTTAAAGACTAATCCCAGGTACACTCGTGCCGTTCATGATGTGTACTCCGCGACGTCAACGGAGTTGGCCAAGGAATTCGGTCTCTAAGCTGTATTCCCTGACTCTTTTTTATTTTCTTCCGTGCCTTCGCTTGCATATTTTATTTCCCCGGCCCCTTGCATGCTATTTTTCGAAAAAAAGCCTTATTGTCGATCTGGTATTACTGTACACAAATTAGTTACTGCCGTTCGGACGAAAACGACACCTGTTGCAGGTTCTTGCCCGTCTTATGGTATTCCTTCACGTGGCGCAGGTACTTGAGCAGGCGGTGTTCGTCTGGATTGGCTGCTTTGAACTTCTTCAACGAAACACACTCCAAACAGTACGGACACTCAACAACCTCCACGGGCTCCAGACTGTCTTTCGGGAAGAACCATCCCCTCTTCACCGGGTCCTTCACCAGCTTGCCGTTCGAAAACACCCCATGGAACTGAATCATGTGATGCAAGTAGTTGCTGTCGTTGCGCTTGAAAAAAAGCTTCTGGAACTCGTTCTTTGTGTTTTCTTCGTTCATGGGGCAAAACGGGCACAGCGCAAAGTTGCCCATGTTGACGCTCTTCTTGCGCGACGTCTGTGCTGTCTCGCCCGCTGCCTCCTCCGTCCGCAGCTTCCTGTTCACCGCAGGCTCGTACAAACTTGTCCCGTACTTGCGGTTCTCGTGGTAGACGTACTGGGACCCGTGCTGCGCAACACCTTCAAAGGCCCGGATCGTGACATTGTTGCGCACCCGGTAGTAGTCCAGCCCGCGACACGGAGTGCGCAATTGGCCCTCGTACAGGTCTGACTCGTGCTTCGCAACGGGGGTCTCCGCGCCGCGGGGCTCCTGCTTCCAGTTGTAGTTGGACTCCGGTGCCTCGTCCGCCGACGGGTGTTCTGTCACGTGACCGTCAATTAGGGACCCAAGGGTGTCGATTGCGGGTGCGTCTGGATGATGGTGCTCGTCGAGACAGTACCGAGGAACGTGGTAGTCAAAATGGGTATCGTCGAACAGCTGGCTGAGGTTCGAGTCGAGCGGCGGAGTCGGATACAGACTTTCTTCTGCAACCGCGTACGAGTCGAAGCTGAGGTCGTCCACCAGTTGCTGCATGAAAGCGTCGCTTTCTTTCATGGTTGTTTGGTGTTCTACTCTGGTTTATGGCAAGATATATACGTTTGCATGGCAAAACAGATAATCCAGCAACAGATCACAGACACTGTGAAATTGGTTGTTCTGTTTGAAACTGGTCCACCTCGCACCGGATCATCAAAAACACCCTGCCACCGGGCCATTTTTCATATTTTTCTGAAAACGCGTGCACCACATCACACAGCATGAGCACAGAGAATCTCCCGTGGGTTGAGAAGTACAGACCGTCGACTCTGGACGAGGTGAACGGACAGCAGCACGTAGTTCAGACGGTGCGCAAGTTTGCCAAAGACGGGCGGATCCCGCACCTGCTTTTCTATGGGCCTCCGGGCACGGGCAAAACGTCCACCATAATTGCATTGGCGCGCGAGCTTTACGGGAAGAACTACCGTAACATGGTTCTGGAACTGAACGCGTCGGACGACCGTGGAATTGACGTTGTGCGGGACCAGATCAAGAACTTTGCCAGCACCCGGCAGATTTTCAACTCTGGGTTCAAGCTGATCATCTTGGACGAGGCTGATGCCATGTCGAACGCTGCGCAGAACGCACTTCGGCGGGTGATCGAGAAGTACACCAAGAACACGCGGTTTTGCATTCTGGCCAACTACTCGCACAAACTGAACCCGGCACTGTTGTCGAGATGCACGCGGTTTCGGTTCTCTCCGTTGCCGGACTCGGCGCTGCAGGAGCGTGTGGACGCGGTGATCAAGGCGGAGAGGCTGCGGATTGCGCCGGACGCGCGCGAGGCGCTTCTGGAGCTGAGCGAAGGCGATATGAGACGGGCCCTGAACGTTTTGCAGGCGTGCTCCACGGCCGTGGACGACGGCGAGGAGATCTCCCAGGACATGGTGTACGAGTGTGTGGGGGCCCCGCGTCCGCAGTCGGTCAACACCGTGCTGGACGCGATCATGAAGAACGACTGGACCGACGCGTACGCTACAATGACCAAGGTCAGAAAGACCGAGGGACTGGCGCTCGTGGATCTGATGGCCGGGTTTGTGCGCATCCTGGACGGGTTCGAGCTCCGGCCGCGCACCAGAACGGCCATTTTGCACGGTCTCGGCGATATTGAGTACGGAATCAGCAAAGGTGGCAGCGATAAGATTCAGAGCACAGCCGTGATTGGCGTGATAAAAAATGCGCTCGAAAATGAAGCAGCCTGAAAAAAAACGGCATGGATAAGCGAATTGTTGTTGTTGGGGCCGGCGTGATCGGCCTGACCACCGCGTTGCAGCTCTCACGGCGCGGGTACCAGGTTTCGATCGTGGCCAAGGAGTTGCCGGGCGACATGGCCGATTTCTACACGAGTCCGTACGCCGGGGCGTTTTTCTACCATCTGGACTCGCTTGCAAGCGACGAATGGGCCTCGCAATTGCAAGATCTGGCCTCGTACTACGAGCTGTTGAAAGTGGCAGAGACCAGTGCGTCTGCGGGCGTCGCGGAACGCATCGCCGAGGTGTACGTCCCGCGTATTTCCATGACAGAGCAGAATTACGACGGTCCGTGGTTTAAGGACGTGGTGAAAAACTACCAGGTGATTCCGCCAGAGGAGTATCCGGCCGGAGCTGTGCAGGACGATATCGTGTTTGCCTTCAGATACACCTCGTTTGTGATCAACCCAGTGCAGTATCTGCACTACTTGCTGTTCCAGTGCGCGGACAACGGCGTCGAGTACATCCGGCGCAGTGTGTCGTCGCTGGATGAGGCACGGACGCTGTTTCTGCGCGACGGCGAGTTTTGCGACGCCGATCTCGTGGTCAATTGCACGGGAATCGGCGCGTTCGACCTGAACGTGGCAGACAGGAAAAACAGACTCCCGATTAAAGGCCAGACTCTTCTTGTGGAGAACGTGGCGGAGAAACTAATCATTGTCGAGGCAATGGATTCACAGCACCCGACCGAGTCGCTGTATGTGATTCCGCGTGCTGGCTACGGAACGTTGTTAACAGGAACGTATTTGTACGGCGACGATTCCACCAACTTCGATCCGGCCTTGACCGAGAGAATCAAGGCTAGGGCTCTCAGGTACGCTCCCGAGCTTGTGAGCACGAGCTACATGAAAAACAGACCTGAATTGGTCGAGGTGCGCCAGTTTGTTGGTATTCGACCAGGCAGAGAGGGCGGAGTCAACGTTTCCAGAGACGGCTGGACGATCCACAACTACGGGTCAGCCCACTCGGGGTACCAGAACTCGTACGGACTGGCCAACGCGGTGATCCGCCTTGTTGAGACCGTGCGTAGCAAGCTCTAGTCAAATTACAATTTTTCAATAAAATATTTTACCACTAAAAACATGTCGACTCTGTACGAGCAGCAAATCGCCATGAAAAATCGCCGGCGTGTGCTGGACCTGGAGATAGACGCCTATTTGAAGCTGAAGAGTAAACTGGTGGGGGTTCTGGCGCTAGCAAGAGAAAATAAACTCGACACTGTGTCGGAAGAAGAATTGTCTAAATTGCAAGCTGAGCTGGATCTCGTGCGATTCAAGACAAACCTGAACCTGTTGGTGGACAGTCTGAAGTACAAAAACATGTCACAGGACATGGACTCGCTCGAAACAAGCATCAACGCCAAACTGCTCTCGTACATAGACTCAGAGGTCGAAGAGAGCAAACAGCTCACTTTGAAGATCGATAACGCCAAAGAGCTGCTCAAAAACCGCCGCAAAATCAACTCCGTCGTCCAGCAGTACCTGCAACGCTCGCGAACCATCACGCTCACGGCAGACGAGCTCGAGTCGCTGTTTGGAGCAGAAATGGACGCTGCCTCCGTGATGAAGACCGGCCGCGAGATCAAGGACGGCGTTTACGAGTTCAGTCTCAACAGCGCATCGTTCCAACTCAGCTGCCAGCAGCTCACTGCCCAGATCGACGCCAAGATCGCCGAATGCAACAGCTCCAGAACCCAGATCGACCAGAGCCGGCAGAAATGGGAGTCGCTCGCCTCGAAACTGTCGCAGGTGCTTGTCCAGCTCCAACATATAGACACGTAGGCTTTAATCTATATATACAGCTACTTCTCCTCCTCAGAAACCTGCTCCAACGGCTCGTTGTCCTGCTCCATCTTCTCCTGGACAAACCCTTGCACCACCTGGATCTCTTTGGAGGCAGGAATCACAAGCTCGTTTTCGCGGTACTCCTCGATCTTGGCACACGCCTCGGCCACGCCCTCTGCGCTCGCGCTCTCTTCGAACAGAGTAAACAGTTCTGCAACGTCTCTGATTGGAGCCAAGTCCTGGCGACCAACCTGTTCGGCAAACTTGTCGAACTTGAGCTGTCCCATGTATTTAACTCCCTGGACAAACCGGTAGTCCACCTCGAAGTCGGACTCGAGAATGTCGGGAATCCCAAAAATGGCCTGTTGCAATCTCTCCAGACGGTCGTACCACTCGTCTGTCTCGACGCTCTCCTCCTGGAGATACCGTTCTCTGAATTCTTGCAGATACTGGTCTCCGGACTTTTTGAACTCTTCTTTGGCGTTTTCCAGCGCTCTTTCTCTCTCGGTGATAACCTGCTTGATTCTCCACATCGTGGTGTGCATGCTGTCATTCAGGTTCAAAAACTCTTGGGATGCTGGGTTGTCTGACTGTTGACGGAAGATGTAGATTTCTCTCTCGAGTTTGTTTCTTTCCTTCAAGCACACGTACCAGAGATTGTGCAGGTCTTCCCAGGACTTCCGTCTAAGCTCCTGGACGGACCACGGTCTTCCCGTGGCCGTCACCTCGGCCGGTTCTCTGATGAACTTTTTGTCGTGAAAAAACTGCCATAGCGGATGGTTTTCCTTGACGCTGATGTTGTTGATGGTGGGCAGAATCGGAGGTTTCAGCTTGATGTCGCGAGGGATCCGTCTTCTTGCGGCGGCAAGCGCCGACGTGTGGAAATGGCGGGACATTGTGAACAAGACAGCCGATGGAGGTTTTTTTTTCAAGACATTTTTTCAAATACTCGGTGTGGCACAGCACTTCTCAAAGAGTGTTTCTACATGTGGCTGGTGGAAATATTTCTCCATGCTAAAGTCGATTGGGAGTCTGTGGCAGGCCACCAGACAGCTATCTGTGAAGATCCCGCGAGCCAACAAGATGCCGCCACGGCCCAAGGTGGTTGAGACGGATATTCAGGAGAAGTTCATCAAGGGCGGGTCCGGAAAGGGCGGCCAGAAAATCAATAAGACAAATTCCAAGGTTCAGCTCACGCATATCCCGACCGGGCTTGTGGTGACGTCGCAGGCTACACGGTCGCGCGAGCAGAACAGGAAGATTGCGCGGGAGATCATGGCCGCGAAGATCGACGAGATGGAAAACGGAGAACACAGCAGAGCTGCCATAGTCAATCTTCGCAGAAAAATGGTCAAGGAACGGGCATCGCGCAAGTCCCGCGCAAAGTACAAGGCCCTCGAGGAAGAGAAGAAGGCCAAGGGGGAGGAATGGGACGTGGTGATCGATCTGGACGAAGAACAAAAACATTGACTAATTATACACACTAAAATCATTCTCGCTTATTTTTCAGCAGGTAGCTCTTTTGCGACTTGAGATCTTCCACCTTGTGGTAGGCTTCCAGCAGCTCAAGAGAGTGCTCGTCTCCCTTCTCGAGCCACTCCAGCGCCTTGTCGGACCAGATTCCTGGCTTCTGGGCGAGCAGCACGTCGCCATTGGTTTCAACATAGTTCTTGATACAATCCAGCACCAGACTCCGGTTCGAATTGCATCTGTGGAACAGGAAAACAAGGTAGTACTCCTTGATTCCGAGATTGGTCAGTCTGTAGAACAGCGTCTTGGTAGGAACAGTCAGATTCGAGTCGAGGACGTCGTCCAACTTGCTGAAGAAAGACTCTTTCTGAGCAGCAACGTTGGCCAGGTCAATGGCCGGTCCTTCTTTCTTAAACGCCTGCAAAAACCGCGGGTCAGAGAACCGCACAGTTGGCTCGTCAATGAACTCCAAAGGCGACTGCATGCCCTCGATCGCAGGATCGATGTTCGCAGAGTTGCTCTGCTCGATCTTGGCACGCTTGGCAGGAGGACCAGACGGCTGACTGTCTCTGAAACTCTTGAACGCAGCGGCCAGGTCGTTGTCGGCCTGGTTTTGCGCAGCCATTGCAATGGACTGCTCGATCTGTTCTTGCGGAGTAGGACGCAGGAACTGGTTCTCTGGCCGAGGAGCAGGAACGATCTCCGGCTCGCCAAACTCGGGAGTCTCGAAAATGTCCAGGTTCTCGTCCACAAAGTCGTTTCCTTCTGGGATGTTGGGGAAGTACAGTTTTGGACCAGCTGCTTTTTTCAGGTGTTTTCTAGCACTCAGCCAGTCTTTGTTGGCGACATTCGCAGCAAGAGCCTCTTTCTCCTGTCTCACTTGCATGATACAGTATTTCAAGTAGTTTGTCACGCCAAACAAGCTCAAAAAGTTCTTGTATCTCTGTCTCCAAGACTCCGAGGTGTGGTTAGGATGGGTATTTGCGTAATTGTCGAAGAATCCGGTGGGAAAATTGATGATCTCAAACCCTTTCTCGTCCACGCTCGGTCTCAGCTTGGTGTAGATCGTCTTGCACATCTCAAAGTCTTCCCAGGCGGTGAAACTGGTGGTCTTCTTCTTGATATTGTAATCCTTGATGTAATTTCCGTTGGAGTCCTTGAGCAAAGTTCTGTTTGGTCCTGCTTTATAAACGTACTCGATATCGTACTTCAATGTCCGGATTCTCTCTCTAAGAGAGGCTGCACTCCGCTGTCTCTGTTTGAAATAGTCTTCTTCACTGATATCCTTGTAAATCTGGTGGCCCTTGTAGCCCATCCAAGGTCTTTTCCGGATCTCCTCGAACAAATAAGCGTCCTCATCTGGAGTGAAGTACCGCATTGTGGCCGGTCCGTTCAAACTGTTGAGATCATTTGAAGCTATCACCGTGGAAGGGGAATGAAGGATATACGAAATCAGAGGCTGGATGCCCTTGCTGATAGAGTCCTGGACAAACTTGTAAGAATACACATGGAACCGTTTCAAGTCCTCGCTCATCAGGAAGTCTGGAGAAGACAAAATCACTGTGTCCTTGGTGACTCCTCCAACCACAAGCCCACTATGGGATTCAATTAGATGTATCAACTGTTGGTTCTGGTCAAGAGGGGGGTATAAGTAAAACTTGATAGGCTTGTTGGACGCATCCAAAAACAAGTCTGTTTGAGGAGACGGGGTCCCCTGGAGTTGGGATATATCTGTTTGAAGGATGCTATCCATTGGTGTTTGGTGTTTGTTTACCCTTAAGCTAGTGTAAGGAGGGTGTTGGTGTTAAGTGTAATTTGTAAACAAAAAAAAAATTAATTTATTCATGGGCCAATTTTCTGATGGCTGGTTAGGAGCTCTGGCTCTTTGAAGGATAATACCTGCTTGAGATAGCAGACAATACGGGAGCAGTTGGTTTGGTCAAGCTGGGAATGGCCAATGGTGGCTGGATGTAGTATTTATGTTGTAATCTGATTGACTGTGGTGGTCATTTACAGTGGTAATTCCTCATCGAAATAACTTTTCTCCTCCCTCTAAATTTCTTCCCCTTTAATGGATCCTGACGTTCCTGTGGCATTGGCGGGCGACTCGCCGTACTATCGACTCCAATCGTCGATCTGTGTGGACGAGGAGCTGGATTTGTTGATGCTGTTCGGCGGGTTTGACCAGGACGATATCATTGACGACCATGTGTATCTATTGGACTTGAAGGCGAACAAATGGCTGGACAGTCGCAAATGCGGCATCTTTAGAGAAGGCCACTCGATGACCAGCTTGTCGAGCGGGTCTGTTCTTGTATACGGCGGGTTGGCGGTCGACGACCAGTACCATCAGCATTTGGCCGGGCAAAATGCGGTCTTGAACGGACTACCCATGTTGATCTATAATATGGTTGACGACGTGTGGACCAGTCCGGAGTCGAGATCGCCCGACAATGGCTCGCGGTTGGAACCGATTTCCATCTCCAGACACTCGACGTGCTTATCAAGGGACAGATCCAAGGTTTACATCAGTGGAGGCTACAACGTGGTGATCAAGGAGGAACCCGTGAATGATCTGTATTGCTACGAGTTTGCCACCAACAAATGGGACCGACGCACGTTCGTGAGCAGATTCGACCATTTCGTGTACGAATCCGGGAACAAGATCTGGTCGTTTGGTGGTTTGTCTAAACAGATGAACCATGTCAAGAAAATATCCATGTTTGATCTCGATAACAACGCTGTTGGCGAGCTCAAGCTCAGCAACATGCCCAAAATGCTCACGGGAAACCACACGTATCTCAAGATCTCGGACCATAAAGTACTGGACATTTTCACCTCGCAATGGTCGTTGGACCAAGAAACCATTAAACCCTCGATTGGTCTGTTTGACCTCCAAAAGACAAAATATATCCCGCTCATCACCGGAAGTCTAAATCTTCTAACGAAATTCCGCTGGAGACACTTCTTCATTCATAACGACAGTCTTTGCATGCTGGGATACCCGCTGACCCCAGAAACTAACGATACCTCTTACGACTATAGAATGACACATTTGATGAAAATACCCTTGGCCAATCTCGGGGCCTCCACGAAAACCGACACCGGGAGCACAGACGTTACATTACTGAGCAGTTTTCACCGGCTATATAACCACAACAGCTTCACCGACTTCAGGATCGTGGCTATCAATTCGTTCACCAGACCAGAAGACGATAACGACATGTACGAACGCAGCGACCCGATCAACGTCCACAAGCTGGTTTTGATCACCCGCTGGCCGTACTTCAAGAAACTGTATGAGTCAGGAATGGCGGAGTCGCAGTTAAACGAGATGTTCATCCCAGAGCCTGTTGGGTGGGTCAGCAGACTGGTTGAGTATTTCTACACCAACAGCATTGACAATTGCACAATTGACGAAATGAGTGGACTACTACTGCTCTCAGAGATGTATGAGCTTTCAGAACTTAAATCGATGCTTCTGAGTCAAATATATGCCGACGGATTCAAGTTGAACACCATCTTGGAAATATGGAAAATAGCAGTCTATCTGGACGATCCAATCCTGAGATCCAACTGCGAGTCGTTCATTTTCCAGAATTGGGGCAAGCTGGTGAAAACCAGTTCGTTCAAGAAACTCGACAAGCAGTACATCCTGAGACTGTTTGAAGGTCTGGACAACGAGAGCAAAATCGTGTCTGACGAGGCAATGCAACGGAAGGTCAAGTTTGATGACGAGCCTTTGTCGACCGTTTCCAGTACGTACCGACGTGTTTCCAGCCGATCGCCGCAGTCCATCATTGTGGAAGAGGACGATCCGCAGCTGTTTAGTCATTCGAATCAAACGGTTGATGAAGAGATGGACGAAGATGACGACGAATGGTGAGTCTCACACTCCGCCTGCTTCTCTAAACCATCTGATTGCACGGTCGAACCCAACAATCACCAGCCCGTCATTGTCTCCTTCTCCAGGGATGAGCTTTTTCGGTATAAACGACAATGCGCAGCAGGTGGCATGATCCAGCTGGTTTGTGTTCTGCAAAGCTTCGTCGTCCACGTCGGACCTGCTCACCACCAGACTGGCTTCCTTTGTTCGCGTGCTTGTGCTCCAGATTCTGATGGTGTCGTCGAGACCGCCGCTCGCCAGCAAAGTACCGTCTTCGTTAAAAGACACAGACATGCACCAACTATTATGAGCGAATCCTCCAATACCGACATTCGAGGAGTGCGAGGCATTTGTCAATGTTCCGATGACCTCTCCGTACTTGACGTCGTACAGGAAAATGGTTCCGTATGCACCAGAGTCGCGGGCCACGGCCAAAAGCGTGCCACCAGGAGAGAATCTCACGCACCGCACCGTGGATAACGAGCTGGCAGAAGTGGCTTTTTTCAGTCCGTACGACTGGAACTCGTACAGCGGCTTCAAATACTCCAAATCATAGATGTACACGTTACCGTTCTGGTGTCCCACGGCCATTCTCTTGAACATGGGGTCGAGATCGACGCTGGTTGCAAACGACTTATCTGAAGAGACGGTTTTGCCCGAATATATTAAATTTCCGCCATCCACCGAGTAGATCTGGGTTTCTCCCGTTGCCATGGTAAGCGCCAAGAGGTCCGACTCGTTTTCTGGGTCCTTCATGAACTTGACGGCCCAAAACGAGCTTTTTTCGTTCTTCAACTCTGCCGGCAACTCGTCCACTGCCTCGAGATCTTGGCCCAATCTGTACAGGTAAAACTTCCCTGCAAAAGAGACCGTGCCGATCAGCAGCTCAGACTCCGTCTCAAACAGGGAAACGTGGTGCAGGCCGAGTTTATCGACCAAAACCTGTTTTTCCAACGGTTTCTCAGAGTCCGAGTTGAGCCAGAGCTTGAGCGAGCCGTCTGCCGAACACGTGACAGTGTACTTCTTGCTGACACAGACGTCGAGGATGTCGGACCTGTGTGCGTCGCCGACGATCGCCGTGGAGATGTATTGTTTTCCCATTGCGAAATGTATGGGAGATTTTTTGGCCGGCGAGAAGAAAGACAGGTTGTTACGTAAGCGCGGAGGAGGAGCAGAAAGGGACGGAATCGGACAGAATGGGGACCGGTCGCGGTGGTTTTGACGTTGTGGAGCGGTACTATAGCCATTGTGTCTCCACTCGTGTCTTCCTGTCCACTCCTCCCTTCCTCTCCCCCACTTGCTTCTGCCCTCCGTGCTGGCTAGATAAGTGAGAGCACAGCCCAGAAATATTTGTAAATATTACGCTCATGGTGGAGGTGAGAATACCCAGCACAATGGTGCTAAACGACTACCATCTGTACAACATCGAGATTGTCGTGAGTCCGGAGCGCCAGGTACACAAGCTGAGCAAGCGGTTCAGCGATTTTGTCGAGTTCAAAAAAGAGTTGGAGGCTTCTTTGCACCGCACTATACCCTACAGTTTGCCTTCCAAATATTCGTCCTTGTACAAATCGAAGGAGTCCACGATCGAGCAGCGGCGGGTTGGGCTGTGTGAGTTTCTTCAAGGGCTTTTGAACGACGAATCTCTGCGAAATGACACCCATGTTCTTGAGTTTCTGTATCTGGGGGAAAACACCTTCACTGCTAGCGAGGCGGCTGACGGATTGCAAACCGGTTGGGCAGACGAGTCCAAGAGTATCAAGACCTTGTTACAGACGGTGCGATCAAAGTTGTTTGCGAGAGACACGAATCTGGTCGATTGTAAGCGAATAATGGATACCTGTGGAGCGAAGCTGGACAAGTTGGAGAGGTTTCAGGACGAGGACGGGCTCGGAGCCGGAGAAAAAAGACGGCGTCAGAACGTGGTAGGCCAGCAGCGCAAGGAGTACGAGGAATTGTGTGTTTTGGTGCGCAGTATGATCAACGCCAATGGACTATCGAGTCCAGCTAAGCCTGCGTTCAAAAGAAGTCTGGGCAAGGCCAAAGAGACACAGGAAACCAAGCCGTTGGATAATCAGCAGTTGTACCAGCACCAGCAGGTTCTGATGACCCAGCAGGACGAAAGTCTGGACCAGCTACGGGGAATTCTCCAGAGACAAAAACAGATAGGACTTACTATAAACGAGGAGCTGAGCGTGCAGAACGAGCTGCTGCGTGGTCTGGACGACCAGATAGACATCTCGCAGCGCAAGATGAACTCGGCCAAGACGCGGATCGGGAAAATCCTCTAGCATGCTCCTCTGAAGGAGTGGTGTTTCTGCTGCGGCTCGGCGTCCTTGAGCTTGATCAGCTTCTCGTTGCCATCGTTGGCGATCGACAACAGCATATTGTACACCATGGCGTCGCCGGTTTCCTCGTCCTCGGCCTCTTTTGCGCTGTGCTTGAGTTTCTCAACATTGGCACGCACAAGGTCGACCGACTTCATCAGGATCTCCATCACCTCGACAATGTCATGCATCAGCTTGTCGAGCAGCTGCGACGTGAGGTTGTACTTGACCACGACTCTGAGGATCTCGTTGTTGAGCTTGCTGTCCTCCTTGGTGGCCTTTGGCAGGCCGTAGTTGGGGATGATCCACTTGCGGTTTCTTAACAGCTTCGACACCAGCGACTGCGGGATCTCGGGGTACTTCTTGGAGAACTCGGGAGAGAACTGAAACGACACAACAGGCAGCGCTGGGTTATAGTACTTGTGCTCCGACAAAAATAGGTGGTGGTTCACGGGACTTGGGGCCTCTCGAGGAGCACCTCTGGCGGTGTGGCCAGCCGGCAAGTGCAGGTTCGAAACACACACAAACAGCTTAGTCTCCTCCAAGAACTTGGACAAAATCCGTGCATTGGTGATACAGTTGTCAAAGATCTCAAAATAGCCCTGTTTGCCCAGATGCAAGAAGTTGAAATACTGGTGGATCACCTGGTAGCCCGGTCTTGAGAAATTGAGCGTGAACGACTCCTCCAATCCGCCGAGATACTGCAGCTGGAACTTGAGCTCCTGCGGTAGCCAAGACTGGTTTCTGAACACGACCCAACCCAAGCCTGCGGTAGCAAGCCCAAATTTGTGGCCCGAGCAGTTGATCGACACCACGCGCGGGTTCCTAAAGTCCCACGCCAGCTCCGGGTACACCACCGAGGCCACAATGCCGCCCGAGGCTCCGTCCACGTGGATCGGCACAAAGTTGCCGGTCTCGTCCTCGTACTCCTGCAGAATGTCCGACACTTTCTGGACGTCCTCAAATCCACCGGTGTAGGTGGATCCCATGATGACAAAGACACCTATGGTGTTTTCGTCAACATTGCGTCTGACCAGGTCATAGTCCAACAGAAAGTCTGTCTCAGAAACAGTAATAATACGGGCCTCCACGTCGAAATAGCGGGCAAACTTCTCCAAAGCCACCTGGCAGCACGAGGCCATCAGGATGTTGGGATGGTACGGATCCTTGCCCTGGGCTTTGCGCCGGGCCTGCCAGTTCTTCTTCATAGCCAATCCTCCGAGCATGATAGCCTCGGACGACCCCGTGCACGCTGTGCCCAGAGCAGCGTTCTGGACGTCCACGGGAGCGTGCCACAGGTCGGCCAGAATCGAAATACACCGCTGCTGGATATCAATCAACATCGGGTACTCGTCGTTATCGGCCAGATTCTTGGTGAGGTTCTCCATGATGAGCTTCTCGGCGTCCTCCTCAAGATGGGTGTTGACGAAGGAGGCCAAGTTCAGCTCCGTGTTGCCGTCAAGACTCAATCCGTCGTGCAGAATGTCGTACACCTGGCGCGAAGGCATCCCACCTTCGGGCAACTTGTACTTGTCGTCCACGCCACGGAACTTGGACACAATGCTGCTGTCGGGCTGCTTCTCTGCCCGGGCCTTGTGATAGGACTTCTTGGCAGAAACGTACTTTTTCACCAATTGCTTGGCCGGAGAGTCGGACTTGAGAATCTCGCCCTCCAGACTGTCAGAGTCGATGTGAATAGAAAGCGTCATGGTAACGTACCTGTGGAATCTGAAATAATTTTATATTAGTTGCTTGCTCGGGCAGTGCAATGCGGCAATTTAAAAAGACTTGGCATAAATACTCGGGCTTTCTTTCACTCTCTATATACTCAAGTAGTTCTGGATGGCCTCCTCAGTCTTAGCAACAAGCTGGCGGTACTTCTGCTGTGTCTGGATCTGGTCGAGGAAGATCTTGTACTTGGTGCCCAGCAGCTTTCTATCTGGGTCGTTAGGGCTGGACGGATTGATTATTCTGCCCGTGCCCGATAAGTCGTTCATCACCTTCCACAGCTTGTCGCCCGCAGAGGTGGTGCTGTTGCTCGTGTAGCTCGAGAACGTAGAGCCGCGGCCCCGCTGCGACAGGAAGTTCTTCGACGCAGTGGCCTGCGCCTTATTCTTCGTGCCAAACGACAACGTCTGCTCCTCCTCGTCCTCGGAGTTGTCCAGGCTGTTGCCCAGCTGCTTGGTCTCGTCCTCGATCGGAGTCATGGTTGGGAACGGATACGTGGTCTGTGTGTTGCCCGCACCCAGGGCGCTGATCGAGGTCATCGAGGCAGTGGCAGATGGCGCGGTGTATGGAGATGGAGGCTGGTCAGGAACCGGGTCTGTTCCGCCAGAAACAGCAGAGTTTCTTCTGCTCTTGACCGTGGCACCTTTACGGTTCTTCAAAGCGTCCTCTGCAGCAACAGCTCCCAGCATGGCAGCACCAAACACAACAGAAGCGTCGATGTATCTTGGAATCACGATTGGAAGACCCGTGCAGTCGGCAAGCAGTCTCATCAAGAGTCCGTTACGGCACTGGCCTCCACTCATGAAAATGGCATTAATCTTGTAGCCGGCAGCCTCCATCTTCTCGATGATGTGTCTTGTTTGTTGACCAATGAACTCGCACGCAGCAAGATACTCCACAGCAAGGGCGTCCAAGGAAACGTCCATGCTCTGGCCAATAATAGAGGCCCTCATTGTAGGGTCGGCAATTGGCGATCTATTGCCGTGGAAATCGCCGTAAAAGAACAGGTTCTTGGCCAACGCAACAACAGACCGCTCCTTGGTGGACTTCTTGAGCATCTCCAGTCTCGTGTTGAGGTAATCAAATCTGGAAGCTCCCGAAGCCTCAGATGCAACACCCAGTTCAGTATAGGCAGGATGGGTGGACAGAACGTGTGCCAAAAGCGCACCTGTGCAGGACTGGCCTCCTTCGGCCAGCCAGAAACCCTTGGCCATCACGTCTCTATATGGACCCCAAACTCCTTCCACAAAGATCGCCTTGTCGTCCAAACAGATATGGCAGGTGGACGTACCAGCCACGGCAGCCAGTCTTCCGGTGGCCTTGGCCATACCCCTAAGGTTCTTGTCCTGCTCAACAAGATCTGGAATTGGGGTCTCGGTCTGGGCAGCAACCGTACCAATCCAGCCGGCGTAGGCGTCAATGACACCCGATCCGACGTAGCAGTCGGTTGTCAGTCCCAATGCCTCTGCTGCGGCCTCGGTCAGACTTCCAACGGTTTCTCCTGCAGACAAGTACTTGCCGTTGATGCCTGGAGCACCGCCCAGTCTTCTGAAATTGTCCTCCACCAGTTCTGGCAGATCAACCTTGTTCAGGAAATCGGACGACCAACCGTTTCTATTGGTGATTCCCTCCGGGATGAAACCTTGTTTACAAACAGTGCTGCAGAACGATCTGGTTTCGGAGCCGGTTGCTTTGTGAGTGAGGAAATCGGCCAGATCGTAGAACTTGCACTGGTTGAACAAAGACTCTCCGTCGGAGTCCTTTGGCAGATGGTTCTTGAGCCACTTCATCTTTGGCAGCTCCATCTCAATGGACATTTTGCCACCAACGTACTTCAAGCACTCGTCGTGGGTGGCGTTGATCTCGTTCACCTCGGTCTCTGCTCTGTGGTCCATCCACAAGATGATGTCCTCGAGGTTGTCGTCGAAATCAGGACCCACAGCCATTGGCTCGTCGGTTTTTTCGTTCACCACCACAAGCGAACAGGTTGCGTCGAAACCCATACCCAACACTTTGGAAGGGTCGACATGGGACTGTGAAACAGCAGTCTTGACACAGTAACAAATGGCGTCCCAGATCTCTGTGGAGGACTGGGTGATGTGATTAGCCTTCAATTCGTGTCTGGTGATGGGCCGCTCGGCAAGCCCTAGAATTGCCCCCGTTTGATCAACAACAGCGGCTCTTGCCGAACCGGTTCCCACATCCACTCCGATGTAGTAGATTGGCTCTGCCTGCTTGTCGACAACCTGGAGATTCTTCAACGAGAGATGAAACGGGTTGGTAAAAGACTTCGTTGCGTGAATATGGGACATTGTAAAGGACAACAAGCAGTTTTGATAATTACACAAACGATAACCCTTGGTATTTATACTTTTCGTTGCGAGTCGTGGCTAGTGAACCTCCCCACCTCCTGGCAGATGACGAAATTTTACGCTATGGAGTTCCGGAGCGCACGAAAATTATTTATTGTACAATATATATGTTACAGATTAGTCCTGATTAGCAGATGCAGATGATGCAGTTGAGGAAACGTTGGAATTCTTGTGCAGATACTTGTCGCACACGCCCACCACAAAGTCGAATTGTTCGTTTTCTTGGATCGTTTTGCTGAGAATTTGGATGGTAATCTTTTTGCTTTGCTCTGTGGTTGCAGTTTCCACAGACTTTTCCACAAGCGAACATAGAAACAGCTCCAATGCCCGGCCAACCGCCACCGGAGTTGCCTGGGCCACCTTTCCGATGTCCTCGTCCGTCTGCATGAGCTTCTTAATTCGCGCAGCAGGGAAGTGCGTCTTGATGTTCTCGTAAGTGTCTGGGACCCCGGTTTCTGACATTCTTGGTTACGTAAGCCTGGAAACCCGAAAAGAAAAAAAAAATTAGAACGCGCGTGTACGGTTTGTTCGGTCAATTTAAGCGCTATCCAGGGGAAAATCGGTTGCCTTTATATAATTTTCAAAACAGTTACACAGCCTTGAATATGGAGGAATATTTTTTGCTCCATTAGAGAAAACGGTCTGGGAAGAAAACTGGGGCCAACAGCGTCCAGATGTACAGTCCGTAGCACATCCAGGAGCTGGTGACCTTCATTCCGAAGTTGAAGTACGTTCTTCCGACCGGCACAAACGTTCCTGGGCCCTGATCCACGTTAACGTTGACTGTGAGCAACGAAGCTATGTACTGCGTAGCCAGGAAGAAGATCCAGTGGAACAGCACGTAGTTGTATTTGATGCTGGTTTGTTCTTCGCCGAGATCGTCTTCGGAGTCCTCGAAGTACGAAGGGTCGTTGAGCGCGGACTCCGGCAACGATCCTTCGTTGACGGCCTGGCGAAGAGCCTCGATCCGCATGTCTTTGCGGCTTGGTTGCTCAGAAACGATGTTGGACACCGGGTCGAGTCCCGAGGCGTAGTTTGCGTTGGACTTGTGGTGGAACGCAGAGTTTCCAGCGGCTCTTGTGGTTGTGTACGCCACGGCAGTGAAGGTAAAGAACGCTCCAACTATCACAGAAAACGTTCTTGTGCTTGCGTATCTGACAAGCGGGTTGCACTGTTTGTCGTCCGGCTCGCTCAGACACGCGCTAAACACGAGATACGTGCAGTAGATGCAGCACATGGACGACTGTGCCAGACCTGCGTTCGGGTTGTACTCCTGGACAACGGGAGCCACAGACAGAGCCGTGGCCGCGAGCGTGAGCAGCAGGTTCAGCGTGATGGCGAACGTGTTGAGGCCGCATCCGGAGCGCGAGAAGTAGATGTACATCAGCACCGTCAAAACAACAACCCCGGCGTACATCCCAAGCGTGCCCCCAACCAGCAGAGATCGCCAAAAAGCGGGGCCCTCCATGCACCCGGAATCCGACTCCGAGTCGTCGAGGTAGATCTCGCCCTCCTCGATGCGTTCCATGCACGTTTCTGCCCACTCGTGTGCAAAGTCCACCAGCAGGATCAAACCAATTAAAATAAACCAGATACTGAACAAAATCGAGAAGCTGTTACCCCAGGAAAGAAAGAACTTATCGGGCACCAGGTAAGTCAATCCCGTGAGCACGACGAACGACGCCAATTTCAGCATCCAGTACCCGTTTTGGATGGCTGCGCGCGGGTTGGCGGTCGACCTCACTCCAATCAGCAATCCAGCAAGAACAAGATGCATCACTCCAAGCGAGAGGGTGATCCGTTGCACGTTCGTGAACCCAACACAGCCGTGTTCTTTGCAATACTGGTTGCCGTACTTGAACAGCCCCCACGTCCACTTCTCCACGAGGGCCGTCAGCGAGTGGCTCTGGCCGACCCAGGCCAGAATAGACACCAATAGGAAGATGATGGCGTAGGTGACTCTTGTGGCCACCGACGACTTGAAAGTGCCCATGAGCGGGTTCATCTGGGAATTCAAGCAGCACGAACACATCGACGCTCCGAAACAGGACGCCAGCCAGTTGCCGGCCATCGCCACGGGCGCCAGAGGAAGAGAAAGAACCGCACCCATTGATACAACAAAAAAACTTGTGACAAATTAATTCACCCTGGGGTGCACCGCCTTGGCCCGACAGCGATGGGGCACCGGCACCTGGAATTGGGCGTGTGCAGAGAACAGCAACGCGACTGAGGGGATAAGCTGTGTGGTTCAATTAGACGCCCAGAACGCGGTGTTGTCCATCGCAACGTGTGCAATAGAATGGGTCCTCTGTTGGAATCGGCTCTCCGATGGAAATTAATATACGCAAAATTTAAACTTACAAACAATCACACTTCTCTATGGCTCCGTCCGCCGTGGTGATCGAAGTCGGCGCGCGACACGTCTCGTTCGGAATCGCAGACGACCCACGGCCGCTCTGTGTGCTTGACACGGCCAGTTTTAGCCGGGACCAGCAGTTCTCTGTTCCTCCTAACAACTACTCAGACCACGAGAACACGGCTCTGTGCACGTTCTCGTACTTGTTCCACCCGAACCTGCTCGACTACGAGCCGGGAACAGGATCTGGCTCGTTTGAGCACGCGTTGAACGTGCAATTGTTCGATATATTCCACCATCTCTTCACCACATACAAAATTGACTCGGTCAACGCAAACATCGTGCTAGTTGCAAACAGCATGCTCAACAACACGTACAAGACGGCGGTCACGTTCCAGCTGCTCGAAAAGCTGCACGCGAAAAGCACTCTGTTTCTCGACGACGCCCTCATGACATTGGTAGCAGCAGGTTTGCGCACCGGTCTCGTGGTAGACCTGGGCTGGCATTTCGTCACGATCAGCCCCGTGTTCGACCTCAGACTGCTACAGAACCATGCCAAGTGGTCAAAGAGAGCAGCAAAATACTTGTATTTCAAAACAGATCCGCTCTCGCTCGAATCAATCGACATAGACCAACTTTTCACCGTAGACGAAAACTGCTACGATACAGACGAGAAAACACCGTCCCAGCTGCTGATCGAGCTTCATCGGGAGCTTCCAATAGACCTCCGCAAACCACTTTTTGAAAATATCGTCTTCACGGGCGGACTCGCCGAAAATCAAACGGTTGTCGATAAGATCGTCGCCGACCTGAAGTCCGCCAAAATCCACACAGAAACAGCATTCTCGCTCGGTAGCTGGCAGGGAGCAAGCCTCTACACTGCAACTGTCCTTGCAAAGGACGGTAACTGGAACACTCTGGACAGAATCAAACGCGAAAACTATATTACACCTTGACAAAACTAATCACTCCTTGGAACTGCTCGCGATGAACGTGTGCGGCTTCTTGTTTCTGATAGAGTCCGATTTGGCAGTATACGGATTGATTTTGGCACTGAGAGGGATCATGTCGAAGTTAAACTCTTCTCTATCGTCCACCTCGTCCTGCTCGTTCTCCTGATACTGCTCAGAAAGATCATAGTATCTCTCCCACGGATACCTCTCCAGGTACTCATTCGAAGTCATCCCCCCTGCATGTAATAAACGATAAAACAACCGGCCAACGCGTTTCTTCACCGGAACAGAAACAGGCTTAATATCCAAATTATCCATCTCGTAATTCAGAATCGTAAGCAGCAAAGATTCGTTGGTAGGACAGTTGGGGTTATATTCCAAGGTATCGTAGAAAGGACAGGCGTAGGAGACTGGCGAAGGAGCAATGTTTTGCAGCATCAAAGGACTGTTTTTGGGAGCAAGCGGCTCGCCGTGAGGCGCAATGTGCACTTTGGTGTATGTGATTGGCGACGTGCTCGAAGCCACCGAGGCCTGCGAAACTTCTCTAAGACTGTTGTCCTCGAGCTCCTCTTTCTCGTCGTCGCTGTTGATCAGGTCCGGGATGATGGGGGAAATAAGGTTCAGCTCCCATTTGGCAACGCCCGTCGTGGCCTCCGTGCTTGGCTGCGCACCCGACGGCATAATGCTTGGCGAGTACTCCTCGACGCTGGACTCGTACACTTCGTCGTCCTCTTCATCTTCGTCGTCGTCCTCTTCGTCGCCGTCGTCATCGTCATCGTCATCGTCCTCTCCGTCGTCTTCTTCGCTGTAATCGTCGTCACTGGACTCCTCGTCCTCGTCTTCCTCGTCCTGACCCGTCCCAGCATCCTGCTCGTCCACCGCGCTGTACTGCAACGGCGACTCGAACTCGACAACAGGCTGGCCTGTTTTGGCGGGCATCTCCGGCGACTCGACCTTCACCTCGTCGTCCGTATCGCTGAAATCGCCGTTGCTATCGCCTAGAACATACGACGAGGACTCAACAGAGTCGTCGTACGTCTCAATGATCCGGTTCGGGTCTCTCTGTGACATGATCAACTGCGCAGCACTGGGGTTGGCCCCCTCGCGCCTATTGGACTTGAGCGTCTTGAACGTCTCAAACTTCTGCTGGTACACAGACAACATCGAATTGGCAGCCAATTGCGGCGTCCGGCCTGTCACGTCTGTGTTTTCGTTCTCCATCGATGGTCTTTGGAACAAAAAAGTGGAATCTTTATTTTCCCCCCATGCAACTATTAACCGCCCAAACTATAATTCACCGCGACTCTTTGGTGCTTTTTGCGACGACCGTCCCCACATAATTTTGCAAGTAATTGTTCTCATTTTCCAGTTCTTTACACTGTCGCTGTTTCTTGCGGATCAACTGCACAAGAACGTCGATTTCGTCACGCACCTTCAACGTTTCTTGTACACTCATAAAGAAAATAATAATTAAACTTTTTTTTGTTAGGTAATGATTTCAGCTGATGAGAAGAGACGATTAAGGGCCCTGAAAAAGGAACAGAAACGGCTCGAGGAACTCGAGAAGGGCAACTCCGAGGACGAACGACGCGCTAAGCTGTTTATTCGCCGCCCGTTGCTCGAACTGCCCAATAAGGAACAGTTTGGAAAAACCTTCACCATCATGTCGTACAACTTGCTGGCCCAGGCCCTCATCCGCAGAAGTTTGTTCCCTAACAACGGCGACATCCTCAAATGGAATAAACGCTCAGAAGCCTTGTTGGCCGAACTGACCCATTACGCCGCAGATATCATGTGTCTTCAGGAAATGGACTATATCCAGTATAACACTTTCTGGAACCCAGAGCTTGAAAAATTGGGTTATAGCAACAGATTCTACAGATCGGGCACCAAAAACCACGGAGTGGCCATTTTCTTCCGCACGTCCAAGTTCCAGCTGGTTGATTCCACCGTTATCGACTACGATCAGGTCCCCACTGCAAATATCGTTCCAAGAACAAATACTTTAAACGTGGGTCTCCTGGTGGCATTAAGACCAGCCGACGATCCGTCCAAATTGCTGATTGTGGGAACAACGCATCTGTTCTGGCACCCGTTTGGAACTTACGAACGAACAAGACAGACATACATCGTTCTCCAGGAAACGTCCAAGTTTGAGAAAAGTGTTCAGGCCTCGCATCCAGATTTTGAAAAATCGTACAAGTTCTTCGCCGGAGACTTCAACTCCCAGCCATACGACTCACCGTACTTGTCGATTGTGCAGAAACCGATCAAGTACAACGCAAGATGTCTGAAGGTGATCTCGTGCTCTGCCGCGTACGATTACGCCGATCAGGAAGCAAATACTCTGGAAACACCGGTTCCTGAAGAGTTCCAGCCCAACGAGCAACAAGAGAAGCTAGTCCATGATATGGAGAACTTGCACAACTCGCTGGGTACCAGGGCAATCTCGCTGTACTCGCTTGGCTACCATTTGATAGACCCGGAAAACGCAGGACTCGATAACGAGAGAAACGAGCCGTTTTTCTCGAACTGGGCACACACATGGAGAGGTCTGTTGGACTATATTTTCTTTGTGACGGATTGGGACTTTTCGGACTGCACACAGTTGGAACAATTGGAAGACTTCCAGTCGAAATATGGGGTGCTTATAAAAAAACTGCTGAAACTTCCGCACCCTAAAGAAATGAACGAAGGACAGCCCCGCGAGGGAGAATACCCAAGTGATCATTTGTGTTTGATGGCAGAGATAGAATTGAAATAAACATAGACTCATAGACTCATAATCGTTGGCAGACTATTGGTTGAACAGGTTGAACTCTGCCACAGTGCCTCCAAATTCTTCATCGTCTTCAGTTAACGATCCGTAGATCTCAAGCAGGACGTATTGGGACTCGAACGTTTGCGAGAACTCGAACAACGTGCTGTTCAGCTCTGTGATGCGAACTTCTGAGTCTGAAGCGTTGTACGGACTGCTGATCTTCACCTCTTGGCTCTTAACAACAGCATTTATTTGAGGCTCTTCAATGGTGATATTTGCAGAAAGCGTATCAACGTCGCCAGAAACAATGCTCACACTGAAATTGAATGGCAGCCGGTCTCCCCAGATGACAGCTCCGGAGTTGAACTTCTCCTTCTGGCCCAGATCAACAAGCAACCGAGCATTGGACTGCTTGTCTTGGGCTTGCCACGTAGTGGAGTTGTCTCCGTCGATAATCGACAGAACAACGTCTCCGTCACGGCCTGTAGTCAGTTCGTACGGGAATGCTTGACACTCGCTTAGCGATCCAGCCATGTTCTCTCCGGTGACAACAACTGGGACCGTCAACGAATGGCCCGGTTGCAAATGGTACACTCCTGAGGCCTCGTTTCTGTCGTCAACGTGTATCACGATGGTTTCCGAGTCTCCACAATGGTAGATCGTTGCTGTTTCGTTTCCAACAGTGATGTCCAGTGACTCGTTCAGATACTTAAACCCTGTGATCTTCAAATCGCCAGCCAATAGAGGCAGCTCAACAGGATCGAAATGCAAAACTCTGCTAATGCTACCATCCGATGTGACGTTATAGCCAAACCGGATTCCCGTCAGACCAAAGTAGTACGTCTGAACCAGACCGCCATGTCCAGTGTTGAAGGGGAACGCTGGGTGTGTTCCGCCGTTGACGTCGTAGTTGTCGTTATTCTGCTCACTGAGCTGTGCAAACGGGAACCTCAAAAACGGAACAATCGACTTCTCCAAGTACGTCTGGCTACCGCATCCGACCGTGTTCAGCTTCTGACTCACCCCGGTGAACACAGGGAACGTCATTGCCGGACCTTGAGATGACTGGTGCTGGGAGTAGTAAACCAGGTCTCTGGTAGCACGCTCGTCGTCGTAATCGAAATAGTCCAGTAAAGCAGTGTCCTCGTCATCGACATAGGTGATCAGCACCACGTCGGCCTGCTTGATCGAAATAGACGAGTTCATCGTGTCGTATTCCAAAGTGATATTGTCGGCCGATTGGGGCAGATACATGTTCTCCATCACGTGTGTCTGTTTCGGGTCGACATCTTTACCCAGATGCTGTCCCACCAAGGAGGTCCATTTCATCACCTGACTGATGAGAACTGCCGTGTATGCGGCGTTGTTCTTGAAGTTGGCGTACTCGTCCGGGTCGGTGAGATTATGCGTGGTGTATTTCTGTAAAGTGTCGTTGAATTGGACGTAGTCGGCGAAAAAAGCAGCAGTGTCTTTCAAAATCGGCCAGCCGTACTTCTCCAGATGGTCGTCGTCAATGGCTCCACTCAGATACGATTTCCAGATCGAGTAGCAGATGGCCCCGTTCAGATGGTATTCGTAATTGACGCAGGGTCCTGTTCCTGTACAGTTACCAAATCTGCCAGAGGTCCAAGAGTAAACGGACCCTGGATAGCCGTACTGTTCGGCGTTTTTCTTGGCTTGCTCGTGCAGATAGTATCTGTAGGATGAGTGAGCGGCATTTGTGTCCGGTGCGACGGGGAGCAAGGCAGGCAGCATCCACAGATCAGCGTCCCAGAAAACGAGCCCAGCATAGGAGTCCGAGCTGAGTCCGCCCACGCTGATGGCTGCAGTTAGGTCTTTGGAAGACGATCTGGTGCTGGCCAGCAGGTGGTAGACGCTGGCCTCTGCTGCGAGGGTGAGATACGGGTCATTTTCCACCTCGACGGCCGACTGGCCCCAGATTTCCCGCCACGACTCGCGTTGCAACTCGTAAAGAGCGTCCCACGATAGGTGGGATGCATTCAACGCTGTCTCTTTGGCTCTGTCAAACGTCAGACTCGTGGAGTTGCTGCTGAACAAGTCGTCCGAGACCACGCCGACGTACTTGGTCACGGTAACGGGCTTGTCCAGGCTCACCAGGACCGTGTTTCTGACGCTCGAAGGGGTCTGAACAAGAGCTTCCTCCTCGCACTGGTTTTCTGTCACTAGTGTCGAATACAACGTAGCATGTTTGTACTCGACTCCCTGTGGCTGGACGGTGATGTAGATGCCGGATTCGTCGAACGCAACGGTCTCGAGGTTGCACCGTTGTGCGGACTCGAAATCAAGTATGCTCGACACACTCACGTTAACTGGCGACGCAGAGCCAGCACTGGACAGTTCCAGCCGAACCAGTCCCAGAGTCTCTATTTGTCTATGTGCAATCACCGACACGTTGACATCAATACGGTCGAGCCAGGTGTAGCTGGTCGACACTGTGCCGGTCCACATGTCCAGGTTCTGCTGATAGTTGGTAATGTTATGGGTGGTGCTATTTGTAGTTTTTGGACTTAACAAATAGTTGCTACCATCCAGAGAAACAACAAGTTCAAGGTCTGTCCATTGAGGAACAGCGCTAATCACACTCTCGTAGCCGTTTTCCAAAAGTTCCGGGAAGTTTGTTCCGGTGGTATTCTTTTGGGCGTCGTAGAAACCAGCAATAAAGGCTCCCGAGTAGCGTGGGTTGAACAAGGGCCATCCATTGCTAAGATCGGAGCTTGTGAGGTTTTCGTTTTGGTCATAAGTGAAACCAAAGCCAACGTTAGGAATACGTGCTCCAATGTACCCGTTGGAGACGTACGGCTGGTTGACGTACTTGTTGTAAGGAACGAACTTGGAGGTGCCCAGGACCCTCTGTTCCTTGTAATAGTGGGATTGAGTGGTGTCGTCGTAATAGTCGGCATTGGCAGCAGCCAATTGAGCTATCAGCAGGAAAAATACAAACAACATGAATTGGACCAGAGCGAGCGGATAGGAACAAAGAGCTGGTACAAGGAGGGGAGATGGGATTTATATAGAGCGAGGAAGCGAGAATCCCGCTAGCGGAAAAAAGAAATGGGCGGGGGGAAGATCCCCAGGTTGTGGAAAAAATAGGTTATTGTTCCCCGGTATGCACGAGGAAGCTCCACCGTGGGACCAAAATTCGGGCAAAGTCCCAGTTTCCAAAACTCTGGTTTCTCCCCAATGGGAAAATTTCCACATGGGGCAAAAAAATAACACCGGGGCACGTAACCGCGAGCGACGCCAAAATTTGTAAACAAAGCGAAAGGAAAGATTTACAAACAAAACAAACTACCTGGTTTCTTTATTGCACTTGAAGTAGAGACAGATAGCTTTTAAACGGTACACACGCAACTTAGAAGCATCGTTTTCACACTCAAGCAAATCAATAGCCCAATATGAGAGAAGTTATCAGTGTTAATGGTAAGTATAACATGGTGCCCTTTGTAACGCGACCCACTAACAATTTTTAGTTGGACAGGCTGGTTGCCAAATCGGTAACGCATGCTGGGAACTGTACTCGATGGAACATGGAATCACTCCAGACGGATTCCTTCAAGAAGGTCTGACCAGACCAAAAGGTGGCGAAGAGGGATTTTCCACATTCTTTGCAGAGACCGGTGCTGGTAAATACGTTCCAAGAGCTTTGTATGTTGATTTGGAACCTAATGTTGTTGACGAAGTGAGGACCGGAAAATACAAGAACCTGTTCCACCCTGAACAACTCATCACAGGTAAAGAAGACGCTGCCAACAACTATGCCAGAGGTCACTACACCGTGGGAAGAGAATTATTGGACGACATTAGCGACAGATTGAGAAAGATGACCGACCAATGTGACGGTTTGCAAGGTTTCTTGTTCACACACTCGCTTGGAGGTGGTACCGGTTCCGGATTGGGATCGCTGCTTTTGGAACAATTCTCCAACGATTACGGTAAGAAGTCCAAGCTCGAGTTTGCAGTTTACCCTGCTCCTCAAGTGTCTACTTCTGTTGTTGAGCCTTACAACACTGTTTTGACCACCCACACCACTTTGGAGAACGCTGACTGTACCTTCATGGTCGATAACGAGGCCATTTACGAAATGTGCCGTAAGAACCTCAACATTGCCAGACCAAGCTTCAACAACCTCAACAACTTGATTGCCCAGGTTGTTTCTTCCGTGACGGCATCCTTGAGATTCGACGGTTCTTTGAACGTTGACCTGAACGAGTTCCAGACCAACCTGGTGCCATACCCAAGAATCCACTTCCCATTGGTCTCGTACGCCCCAGTGATGTCCAAGTCCAGAATGACCCACGAGGCCAACTCCGTTTCCGAAATCACTGCTGCTTGTTTCGAGCCAGGCAACCAGATGGTCAAGTGCGACCCAAGACTTGGTAAGTACATGGCTACATGTCTGCTTTACAGAGGTGACGTTGTCAACAGAGACGTTCAGAACGCCGTTTCGGTGATCAAGTCGAAGAAGACTGTGCAACTGGTTGACTGGTGTCCAACGGGATTCAAGATTGGTATTTGCTACCAAAAGCCAACCCAGACCCCAGAGTCTGAGCTTGCTGACGTGAGCAGAGCTGTCTGTATGCTGTCCAACACCACTGCCATTGCCGATGCTTGGCAGAAGATTGACAGAAAGTTCGACTTGATGTACAAGAAGAGAGCTTTTGTCCACTGGTATGTCAGTGAGGGAATGGAGGAAGGAGAGTTTGCCGAGGCCAGAGAGGATCTTGCAGCTTTGGAGAGAGACTATGTTGAGCTTGGAGCAGACACTTTCCCGGACGAGGACGAGGAGTACTAAGTCCAGTCGCCTAATATTGCTGCCTCATCAAGATCCATTGATGTTATTTTGTAGTTTTTTTGAATATTATATACCCCTTGCCAGCGACGGTGTGCGTCTACAAAAAGATTATTCTGCGACGAAGGCAATTATTAAGCTTGATCAAAATAATTTTCTAGGGTAATAATTATTCTTGTTAACTCCGTACGGGTCTTCTTTTCTACGTTGAAGTTATTTTAAGCGCCAGGATGTCTTTTAATAACGATTCAAAGATCAAAAAGAGTCGTAATAGGGTTCCAATATCCTGTGAACCATGTCGGAAGAAGAAACTGAAATGTGACCGTAGTAAACCATGTTCGAGTTGTTTAAAGAACGGGACTCAAGAGTCTTGTAAATATGCCAATCAGAATTTGGACAATTTGAACAAGATACAACTCACCAGTGAGATTATAAATTTGAAGATGAAAGTGAACAAGTTGGAGCAGATTTTGAAGGCCAACAATATCAATGTGAGTGATTATAACGAATTATTTTTTGTTCTGAGTGAACCTACCGAAAGCATTTCCGATAAAGATGATCCTGTTATGGGATTAACGGACAAATTTGACAAGATGGTGTTCAAGGAGAATCGGATTTTACATTCCGGAGCCACCTCGTACGTCACATTTATCAGTGCTGATAAGCAGTTGAATCTGCTATTTGAGTCGATGGGTCGCAAACATGAACAGAACTACAGGGAATATGTTGCTTCACAAAAAGCAAAAGTCCAAGAGGATTCCAAAATGTTTGATAACAGCACTTTGGCAAGGAAGTCCGCTTATCAGGACATGGATTTGTGTATGGATTCTACACTTAGTGGAATGACCACCACAACTCTTACGAATCCGCTTCCGTCGAGAAATATCGACTTATTATTTGTGGCCAGTTCCAAACTTCCGCCTATGTTCGCTATCAACGCCTTGATTGACCGATTTTTCAGTCATGCCTACCATCTTGTTCCGTTTGTTGACGAGGTAACCTTCCGTGAAGAGCTTACCTACGTCTTGCTAACAGATGCCAAAGGAAAACCGTATTTCAAGGTCACTCACGAACAGAACACATCGATCGTGTCTTTGTTGCTGATTATCCTGAGATACGCCTATTTGACTGTCAATGTGAAAGAGTTCTTTGAAAACCCACGTTCGATCGAGGACGAAAACTTGGCAACCGCAATCAGAATGGATATCAAAATTGACCCGCAGTTTGTGGAGCTTTCCAAGAATCTTTTGTTGAGCATTCCTGCCGAAGAAAGTATCTTTAGAAAAGTCACGTTGAGGAACGTCCAGGTTTTGATGTTTTTGAGATGGTACCAGAGTTATTCTCCAGAGTTGAGTGAGGATTATTATGAGGCCTCGTTATCCTTAAGTTTGATCATCCAGATGTGCCGTGTTTTGGGAGCCCATAGAGACCCAGACCATTTCCCGGATGTGTTTAAAGACGAAAAGGTGAAGAACACATGGAGACGGATTTTCTACAAGTTGTTTTATCTGGACACGATCAGTGCGTTCGATCTTGGAACGCCCCTGGTGATTAGCGAAGATGAGTTTGACATTGTTTTACCAAGATTAAGTCCTGCCGAGAACGACACTTTGAACAACTTCAAGCGTGGAATGTCCATCAATATCAGTGGTAAAGCACTCAAGTCGATCATCAACGAAAACGCCATCAATAGAGACACGGAGCTGGAATTTGAGACTGCTAAATTAATCCGCAGAGCTATTCAGCTGTGTCGTAACTACAAGTCTGGAACTAAAAAGTCCGAGTTCATGGCTCATATTAGAAAGATCCACACCTTTTTGAACAACAGATTGAGCTCCGTTTATGAGATGATCGACAGCGGCGAACTGAGCGATAGTTTCAAGATCGACGACCCTATTGAGCGGATCTTCAACATTTCCAAGGTGAAGAAGCTCGAGGTGAAGCTGACTCTGCTTTCTCTACTGAACGCTCTCCATTACTTGCTGTTCCTGTATGCCGACGACGATGACGAGGAAGAGAAGTTGGAACAGGCCATTAAGGCGACCGAGCCGGCTCTGATTCTGTTCAAGTTCACGTTTGATTTCGTCAAGTATTTGACTGAGTCCGAAACGATCCACGGCGAGACCAAGTTCCACCAAAACTTCAGACGGTTCTTCAACGGATCTGAAAACTGCTTTGCCAGCAAGATCCAGGCCTGTTTCCAGAGGGGTGTGCTGTGGACGATGTCTATTTTCCTGCAGAACTTCACCACGGACCATCTCAAATTTGAGGTGTTGCTGAAACGGTTTGGCAATTCTGTGGACTCGGTGATGGTGCTGAACTGGCTCAACATCGACCTGAACCGGAACACTAACGACCAGTTCTTGATCATCATGTTCCACTACTTGAAGGAATACTATTTGAACAGCGTGCGGTTGAAGGCCGATTTCTTCTGCTGTTGGAGAGTGTCTTTGATCATCAAGATTTTCTTCAATTTCTTCAAGAACACCAAGCAGGAACAATTTGAGAACTTTTTGAGCAACTACGAGATTACCAGCGAGGACCAGTCGTTGAACGGCGACTTTTCGTATCCACAGGCCAAGATGTTGAATACTCTTCCGGGCCGTGAGGAGCTGGCCGGTGCCACCACCACGGACAGCACTTCTTCTGTCAAGACTCCAGCCGCGAGAGAGACCGTCGAAACGCCGCTCATCACGACCAAAGGGTTTGAGGAGATTCTGTACGAGGACGGTACCGAATTCCTGGACAAACTGATGAAAGAGGACGAGATCTACAAGGCCGACACGAACCAGTACTCGTTTTTCAACATGACAGAGGTTCCCGTGTTTGAGCAGCAGAACGGCCAGCAGTACCCGTCGCCAGAACAATCGTTCAAGGACCGGCCCGAGAGTGACACGTTTTCGCACTCCAACACCACGACAGACCATCCGTCCACCACGTCGAGCGGGTCCAACGGCCACAGCACCTACGACGACATGTCCAAGGCGACTGGCGTGCCGTTTGTGCAGCCCGACAGCACGAGTCCGTTCGAAAGCGTGGCTTCTCAGATCCAGAGCCTCGAAAGAGCGCCTCATGAAAAGAGCGTCAACTTACAGGACTTTATTTCTCAGTTTTCCAAAGATCCGTTTTTCCAAGTTTGAGTGTTCGCTGTACATACTTGCCAAAATTCAAATTTCAATGTTTATCAGCAGCGGGCCGGACGAGTCGATGAAGAACCCGGTGTCTCCGACCTGGGCATTGCTGGAGCTGATGCTGCCGGCCATGGAAGACTCCCAGTCGGTGACGTCCCATTTGAGTCCCTTGGTGGACAATCTGACCGGGCCGTACAGCGGCAAAAGCCCCACGATCTGCAGCCGACCGGAGGGAGTTTTCTCGCGCTGCGGCAATGCAACAAACGTCTGTCCCGCTGGCACAAACAAAATGTATTCGTCATATTCGTTATTCCGCATAATAAAGCGGAAATTGGGTATAGTTGTGTGATATTTCAGCAATTGCGCTGTTGTCTGCAATGTCTGGTCAAAACGACCTCCAATCGACCCCAACAAGTACACCAACACGTTCTGTTCGAGGTCGTTCTTGATGGTTGTCTTTTGGGTACTCAAACCGTCGTGATCGTCGTAATCGTCCAGATTGAAGTCCGGACAGAAAAGAGCGAAATAGCACAGGGTGACAGACTTGTCCAGGTCCCAGAAATACTGAGACGCCTGTTTCTTCATCCTTGTGCCGTTCGAAACGTAGTATGCCGCAACGTCCGGGTCGATCGAGTCCAGATCTCCGATTATATAGTCCGGAACCAGTTCCTTCGGGTCCAGACCGTGTTTCTGAGCATACTTGAACAACCGATTGGCTCCTCCGTCCGCACACACCACCAATCTGGAACTGCGCCACAGCTTGTTGAACTCTTCTACCGGAAGTCTGATCTCCTGGTTTAGAATTATGAGCACACATTCTTCAGACCCGTCTCCAAACGCCAGCGGACGGATCGTAGCCGAGCCTGTCGCAGCCCCCATGCGGATGGTATCCGGGTTCTCCACAACGTGGTTCAAGGCGGGCGCTTTGGGACCCATTACGACAGAAAACACAATCTTTATTAGGCTAATATTCTGTAATCTGGGCGGTGCACGGGTGTGCGAGACGGACGGGGCAGAACGCCTTCTGTTGGGGTATTTTGACCAACCGAGCAGCAACAGAAGGTCGTCGGATCTGGCTGTTCGTGCCGTCGTCTCCATTTTAGAAGACTCGGGTCCGTCGTTCAATGGTGGTTCCCATTACATAAGCAAGTTTGTATGGCTAAATTTTCACGCGTTTTTATTTACCTCCAAATGTCACGGATCTTCGTGAACAACAACTTCAAGCTGTTCCAGCTGCGCAGTCTGGCACACGAGTCGCTGGTCGACCGGCTGTGCTACAACGAGCTGGACTCGAACCCGGAGATCGACGCGTTCAAGAAAAAGATCGTGGCCGCGATCCTGGCCAACGACCTGTACAAGAGCAGCAATCCGGGCCAGCTGATTCCGGCCAGCTCGCGGTTCTATGCAAACGGCCGGTCCACGAGCGACAAGCCCGACTTCGCTGACGTGCTGCGACACCTTGAGGTGCGCGCGCGCATCAAAGAGTTCGAGTACGAGTCCCACAGTCTGCGGCTCGGCCTGCTCAGATACAGGCTGCCCAACGTGCTGCCGTTCCAGGTGTCTGTGTTCATCGAGGTCCAGCCGGGCGTGATGCTGTTTATGACCAAGTCGCTGCCGAAACTGCACCATGTGACAACGGATTTCCTGGTGAACGATCTGGGGTGTCTGATCAGCCCCGTGAGGTTGGACGATGCGTTTTTGAAAGAGATTCTGGACTCAACGATCGAGGAGCTGGACTCCGCCGCGGTCGGCGAGCTCGAGCTCGCGTTCGCCAACATAAAAACCACAAATAATGCGCTTTCGCAGCTGGTGATCAACGTCCCGCGCGCAGACGTGGCCAAGTTCCCGAAAACAAACTTCTCCGCAGCCCTGTTCGAGCACCTGCGCAAAAACACCGCCATCGACTTCCAGAAACTCCAGCTCACAAAGATCAGATGCGACCTGTATCTGTTCCTGGCCGAAGGTCGGCTCCGATTCAACAGCGAGCTCGGGTTCCAGCCGTACGTGGACGAAGAGGACCCACGACCATCGTTGTGGCCGTTTCTGATGAGAATATGCGACTTATGCACTTGAATAATAACAAGGTTCATGTACTCTGGTTGAGCTTGTCAAAGTCAAAGTCGAAGCTCGAGCCGCAACCACAGCTGCTTTTGGTGAACGGGCTGTCGACGACCTTGAATTGCGAGCCAATCAGCTCGTGCACGTAGTCGATCTTGGAATCCCGCAAAATCTCCAGACTCGTCTTGTCCACAATCACTCGGGCTCCGTCTCGCACAAACACAGAGTCCTCCTCGGGCTGGAACGTATCCATGCTCGTGAGCTTGAGATGGTACTGGAACCCGTGACATCCACCGCTCTCCACCTGCACACGGAGCGCCAGGTTGGAGTCGTGGTCCTCCAGGGAAATGCTGTTGAGTTTTTCGGCCGCAGCCGGGGTGATGGCAATAAATAGTGGCAGACTGTTATGGTCCGAATACTGCTGGTTCTGGACCTTTGTCTTTGTGAAGTCTGCGAGGGGTGGCGCGTAGTGTCGCACGGGCACCAACGGCCGAGCAACCAGCGGTAACTGCCGCAAACTGGCTCCGATCAAGCGTCTGCTAAACATTACTAAGAAAATTGGAAACAAGACGATTATTTTTTTTGGCCCTTTTTTAAACCGACGCGTCGATCGGGGTCTGGGGAAAAACATCAGGCTACCCCCACATGTATTATTCTCTCCCGATATCTCATTCTTGATGCAAACCGGACAGCCCAGTTTTGGAATCTACGAGTCGCTCGTCGGCACGCGGTCGTTGGAGCCGCTCAGAAACAATCCAGACTCTCTATTGGCCACCATCAAGATGTTTGGTCTCGATTCCAGCAATGATCCCGTGTACCTGAACCAATTGCAGGACCTGGTGGCCGACTTTGATCAATTGGCCCCCACCAGTGTTCTGTTCATAGGCGCCGAGACCGATTTCGCATACTCGGTGCTGTATTTGGCCAACGAGTTCTTAAAGACCGGCAAACAGTTTGTTCTCCATGCCGTTTTCAACACCGCCTCGTTGTCGGAGGACATGCGCAAAGTTCTTTTGTATTTGGTGGACTCTTCTGGGATTGTCCAGATCCGCCCCCACCTGTGTTCGAACCTGGAACTGTTTCTGAGCGACCAGTCGTCCGAATACGACTGGATTTTGATCAACCACCGGTCCTCGGAAACGGACCTGAAAACGCTGCGTTTGCTCGAGTCGGTCAGCATCGTCCAGCCCGGCGTCGCCGTCGCCAGAATCAACTACCCGGTTCAAACAGACACAGAGTTCAACAGGTACCTTTTGGGGTCCCCCGTTTACAAACGCAATGCAAACGATCTATGTGGGGGTAGAAGACCTGGCAGATGGAACCTGCTGTACGAAAAGGTGGGGGTCACACCAACCCACAGCGACCTTGTTCTGGCCCAATGCATCGACTTTTTAAATGCATAACACACTTTATATAGTTGTCTTGTTGCAAAATATTTTTTCCTCCCCCATCTTTAATGACAACCAACCCTTCCAACTTACAAGACCAGGACATCGTCGTGTTCCGGCCACCGGTGGGGCCGCCGTTCAAGCTGTCGAACCTCAAGTACATAACGTTTCTGGTGTGCGGAATAGCCAACTTGTGGCCCTGGAACTGTTTCCTATCAGCATCCGAGTACTTCCAGGACACCTTTAGCAGCCGGCCGGTGTTGGCAGACACATATTCGTCGTCCATGATGACGATTTCCACGCTTACATCTGCGATGTTCAACTTTTACCTCTCACAACGCCAAAAAGGTGCCGACTACAGATTTAGACTCAACATGGGAGGCCTGTTGCAGTCAGGGGTGTTTTTACTGCTCACGTTGTCCACAATGATCCCCAACAAGCCTGTTGTTCCGTACTTTCTGTACGTGATGACAAGCGTGTTTGTGAGCTCGTGTGCCACGTCGTTGGCCCAGGTCGGCGTGCTGGCCCTAGTCAACACCGAAGGCCCTATCTACGCGAACGCAAGCGTGGTTGGTAATGCCATCGCTGGCGTCTTGCCCTCCATCTCGTTGATCGTGTCCATTCTCGCCACAAACTCACAGACAAATAGAGACCAGCAGGTGCGCAACTATTTCTTCACCAGTTTCAGTATTGGCCTTGCCAGCTTGCTCCTGCTCTGGATCACATACAAGTACAAAGAAAAAGCCGGCCAGTTCCAGAAACTCAGCGACGACGCTAACAGTCTTGACTCCGAGGTCGAGGACCAGGATACACACGTGTCATTCCGTGAACTATGGGACATTCTCAAGTACGTGCAGATCGCCATTTTCCTTACACTGTCGCTGACACTGATTTTCCCCGTGTTTGCGTCCAACATCTTCTCGAAAAGCGTCGACAAGAAGTACTTTGTGCCGATCGCGTTTCTGCTGTGGAACCTGGGCGACCTGGCGGGCCGTGTGATCACCGCGTTCCCGCTGTTTGTGCTGCAGAACCAGACCCGGCTGATCGGCTACGCGGTGGCACGGGTGGTGTTTGTGCCGCTGTTTTTGATGTGCAACGTGCGGGGCCACAGCCGTGTGTTTGGCGACTTTGTGTACCTGGTGCTGCAGTTTCTGTTTGGACTATCGAACGGACAGCTATTTTCGTCGTGTTTCATGGCTATCGGCACGCTGCTGACGACAGACCGCGAGAAAAAGGCTGCTGGCGGGTTCACCGCGTTTCTGATCAACGTGGGGCTGCTTGTGGGCAGCGTGATCAGCTATTTATTTGTGTATCTAGTGAGTGGTTAGAATAATTAGGATATTTACACCAGCTGTCTTCTGGAGCCCTGGAAGAAGAACTTGACCACGAGCACCTGGAAAGCCGCCATGCTGCACATGAGAACCACGTCGAACACCGAAAACCAGAAGATCCGGCTCTCGGTGGACTTGACGGTGGACTGGTTTCTGTTGTTTCTTGTTTTGTAGTATTGGAGGGTGTTGGAGAGCTGGCCCAATTTCTCCTCGATCCGCAAAGCAGAAGCCTGCATTCCCTCGACGGCTGTGTTTTCTGCCGGGGCGTTAGGCAACGACGCCTTGAACTCGTCGTTGTCCTTGATCTCAAAGTCCACGACTTTCTCGGCAAAGGTGGACATTTCGTTCGAGAAACAGAACTCGTACTCTCCAATAAGGTCTGCGGTGAAGATGTAGTCGCCCTGTCTCTGTTTCTGCTCGTTGGCGAGGATTCTGCCTCCTGGGGCTTTGATGGTGTAGTCCACGTCGAACGATCCACCGGCCTGGACAGCAAAGTAGTAGCCGATGTTGGCGCGCTGGTTCTGGTTGAAGATGTAGAAGCACGACTTTTCATTGGGCTGAAGCGTGAACGTGAGGGCGGTAGCCGCCACGTAGGTCAGCAGACACGAGAGGGAGAGCAGTCTGGCGAGCATTGGGAAAACAACAAGAAAAAAGGAATATTTTTAGCATCGCGACGCGTCCGGGCTCGTAATATCTGGCGAGTGGGGGGTCCAGCAGAAGGGTGGTGGGAGCAGCTGTGGAGGGAACACTGGAGTGACTAGATGGAGACACCAGGCGACTACAGTTCTGGTAATACCGTTTATTGCGCATTTTTCTCGACCCGTCTGCTGTGGTGGTGTCCGTCGCTGCACGCAAAGGTCGCTGAAAAAAACCCACCAAAATCTTGTTTATTTTTACGTTTTGCCATGAGACACTTCCTGATATCCCTGCTGCTGATCGTGCCTGCGCTCGCGCATGTGGCCCTGCTACCTGCCAGAGGCAAGCAGTGCTTCTTCGAGGTGCTCAAGGCCCAGGACGAGCTCGCAGTGACGTTCCAAATCACCGACCGCGACAGAGACTCCACGGAACAACTCACAGCCGATTTCTGGATCAAGGCGCCGTCCGGCAGAATCATGGAGAAGATGAGCGACGTTTCGCACGGCGAGGTGCAGATCAAGGCCCAGGAGGCGGGCAAGTTCGAGTACTGTTTCTCGAACGAAGGGTCGTCGATCAAGACTAAAGACGTGTCGTTCAACGTGCACGGCGTGGTGTACGTGGACGTGAACGACAACTCGAACGACAACCTGGACTTTTCTGTCAGAAAACTGATGGAGCTCGTTTACGACGTGAAGAACGAGCAAAACTACATTGTGGTCAGAGAAAGAACCCATAGAAACACCGCAGAAAGCACAAACAGCAGAGTCAAATACTGGTCTGTGTTCCAATTAATCGTCGTGGTGCTCAACTCGCTGTTCCAGGTGTTCTACCTCAAACGGTTCTTCGAGGTCAAGACTGCTGTCTAGTTTGCGTATATAGGAGAATTACAGTTTAAACCCTTGCACCAACTCTGTTTTTTTATTCATTTAATGTCTTCAAGAACGTTCTACCCGCAGACCCCCGTCGAGTTCAGCTCCAGTCTCATCTCGTCTCTGGACAGTTCTGTCGAGACAAACTTCTCTAGACAGCAAGTTTCGGCCCAGGTTGTTGAAAAAGAGGTCAACAAGAAGCTCAAGTCGCTGGAAAACAACAAGCTCGCCAAACTCGACGCAAAGCTCTCGTCGCTTCTTTTGCCAGCCAAGGACGACGGTGCTAGCGTCGCGTCCGTGAACGAGCAGCTGACAAAGGCGGCCGACGGCCTGAAAAAGCTCAACGACGCCAAACCGGTCAAATCCGCGTCACTCGTCCAGGCAGAAACGGCCGTCGCTAATTGCATCAAAGCCAACAAGGACAAACCTCTCAATTGCTGGGACGAGGTCGAGAAGTTCAAAAAACTCGCCAAACACTAACGGCACAGCCTTCATCCGCTATCTAGAGTGTATTAAAATATACCTATTTTATATTCCAACAGCCTTGTACATTAGGATCAGAGCAGAGTCTCCTTCGCCGCCCCCGGCAAGCGCTTCGATCTTGTCTCTTCCAATAACACTCACCTTGTCGTCATTGAACTTGAACCACTTGTCGCCAGTCAGGTCTTGTGGGTCCTTGACGAAACACTGGTAATGGCCCGAGTCTGCAGACGAGCCCTGGTGAGCAATAACACTCACCAGCTCGTACAACGAGGACGGGTTTTCTCCCGATGACGCGTCGTACGACTCAGGCAACGCACCTTTGAAATTGGTGGCCCATTTCTCCTTCAACTTGTCCAGCTCCTGCTGCTGCTGGTTGTACTGTTCTCTGGTGCTCAGATCCGCAGAAAGCTTGCTCTTCTTGAAAGCCCGGCTCTCCTCCTCGTTCTGTTTTTCCACCTTGTAAATGGCGTCTCTGACCTTGGCCTTGTCCTCCTTCGAGCCCTCGTCAACAAGGTCGATCAGGTCAAGCTGGAACGGGAACTGCACTTTACGCAGAATCTTGGACTTCTTGCCCGTGTCTCTTTTCCAGAAAAACCGAACGAAATGCACAGTCAGGTACTTTGGCAGCCGCGTGATCTTACGACTGATCTCGTACTCGCTGTTGCGGCCCAACGACTCGTTGTTCTTCTCTATGGTTTCCTTCAGGTTGCTAAGCAGCCCGTCTTTCAGAAAGTTGGTGTTGATGCTGATGTGACAATCCAGCTTCAGAGCCTCCTCGTACCCGTAAACAGGGTCCTCCGAGGTCTCCAAGCACCGGGTTGTTGTTTTGAACTCGATTTTGAAAAACTGCTCCAATCCACTCAATTGCCGTTGCACAGCACTCAGGATCTGCGAGTATGCCTCTTCGGCGTCCTGCTGCTTGTAGAACCCGTGGTCGTCCCGCTCGCTGAACTGAGGGAAGTTCAGCCGCATCGTAGTGAGGAAATTGAGCGGCGTGATTCTCTGTTTGCGCTGCTGCATTTTTTCAAACAGCTCCTTAAGATTGAACACCAGGTTCTGTTCGGGACCCGTGCCGTTTTTCGAGTATTTCGCGAGTCTGTCGCGGATCTCATCCACAGCATACAACGATTGCAACGAAGAGTTCAAGTAACACGTGTTTCCGAGGTTGACCAGTCCTGATGGCTCGTTATTTGGATTGAAGTTGAGATCCTTAGGGTCCAGGTCCTCGACAAACTTGATCTCCTGTTTTGGAGTCTCCACAGGAGCGTCTGCCGTTCCAAGCACCATGATGGTCTGGCCCTCTTTCAAATTGAACCCGCTAAGATCGCTATCGTCCTTTAATTGGCCACCCTTGAGCAAAACCTTTTGTCTTTCCGGGGGAACGTTGGTCAATGAGTAGATCTGGAGCTTGAAAGTGAGCCCCGGCTCGCTCAGATCGACCTCGACCGGATACGACTTGCCCGAATGTTTCACAATGACTGGCGTTAGATTATTTGGCGGCAACTTACCCCTAAGCGACATGATATCAGAAGGCAAAAATAAATACAAATAAATAGCTAATCTGAATTTCGATCGTGGGGGCCAGTGGGGAGTGGCAGAGGAGAAAAGACGAAGCACAGTAAAAAGAATATGAAAAATTAAACATATACTTATCTCAAATAGGAACCTGTACCACCGCCAATACTGTCAAACAACCCCTTCAGCCACTGCTCAATCAACTCGTCCACTTGTCCACCACGAACCGCGCTCTGCTTTCTACTCACCGCTTACATAATCGTCTTCCATTTTTTTCACGTTAATTTCTGAAAATTTTTAGTTCATCGACCCATTGCCCACCATGAGCACATCTAACTGCAGATTCTACGAAAACAAGTACCCCGAGGTGGACGAGGTGGTGATGGTCAACGTCCAGCAGATCGCTGAGATGGGGGCCTACGTCAAGCTGCTCGAATACGACAATATTGAAGGTATGGTTCTGTTGTCGGAACTGTCCAGAAGACGTATTAGATCCATCCAAAAACTTATAAGAGTGGGAAGAAACGAAGTCGCGGTCGTGCTGAGAGTCGACAAGGACAAGGGATACATCGACCTGTCCAAGAGAAGAGTGTCTTCTGAGGAAATCGTCAAGTGTGAAGAGAGATTCAACAAGTCCAAGGCTGTGCACTCGATTTTGAGAAGATGTGCCGAGAAATACAACATTCCTTTGGAGAAGCTGTACGAGACGATTGCTTGGCCTTTGAGCCGAGAATACGGCCACTCGTTCGACGCGTTCCGGATCTCCATCACCGACCCAACCATCTTCAACAAAATAACTCCGCCTTCTGAGGAGGTGTTGGAAGACCTGAAGGAGCACATTTCCAGAAGACTGACTCCGCAGGCCATCAAGTGCAGAGCAGACATCGAAGTGTCGTGTTTCTCGTACGAGGGAATCAGCGCTATCAAAGAGGCTCTCACTGCCGCCGAGGCTCTGAGTACAGAACAGAACCAGATCAAGGTGAAATTGGTGGCTGCACCAAGATACGTTATCACCACCCAATCTCTAGACAAACAAACAGGAATTAACATTTTGAACGAGGCCATAGAAAAAGTGAACCAGATCATCACCAAATATGGCGGAGTGTGCGACGTGGCCATGGCTCCAAAGGCCGTCACTGCTACTGAAGATGCCGAATTACAGGCTCTTTTGGAAAGAAAAGAGTTGGAGAACGCAATGGAATCCGAGGATTCTGACGAGGAGTTTGACGAGTAGTTGTCATATATCTGATAATAAATGTATTGAGGAACTTATTCGTTTCCAAATAGAAGAGCAAGCAAGTCTTGGGAGCTTTTAATTTTTTTCGCTGGTGTAGAGACAAGTTCTTCACAAAGATGGTAGCAAGCCGCGCTGAAGAACCATTTTTTGCTGTTTCTTTCCAGAAATCGCAGACAGTCGTTGAACATTTCCTTTTTGTAGCCCAGCAGAGCGAGCGGGTCCTGCGATCCGTTTGGAACTTGCACCTGTTGTCGGGCTTCGATTTCCAAATGTAGCAGCACAATTACGTGCAACACCGCGTGGATCGAGATGATGTGTTGCACTTGTGGTCCTTTGCTTTGTTCCACAATCGTGCGGGAAACACACGACAAATGGTACATCTTGTTGTCTGTGAGCGGCGAGTCGGAAACCACCGGTTCCTGCCCCTTGATCTCGTCCTCGAGCAAACAGATAAAGTCCACCTTGGATCGCAGAAACATGATTGCGCAGTATGCACTGAACGTTTTCAGGAAACACACATAAGCCTTGCCAATGACGTCGCCCACCTCCGACTCGGTGTCCTGGTGACACAACGTGACAATGTCTCGTTCAAGATTGTGATCCAAGGATCTGTTTCCTGGAGGACGGTAGCGGGATACCAACACCCGTTCCAGAAGATCGCAAATCTTATACCAACGCATGAAGATCTCGTAGTCGGCCAGGTTGCCGTCAAAGTCGTCTAATCTGAAGATATCCACGGCCAAGTCCAATTTGCTGTATATCATGGTAGCAGAGCTGGTGGAACACAGAACCCTGTCCAAACAGAACGATGTCCAGAACAGGCGCGTCAGAAGCGACACTTTGTACGACAGACGGAAGTATATCGACCCTGTGCTATGGTCTGGCGAGTTGCTGGCAAATTTCGAAAGCTGGTTCTTGGCAGCGTTGTTATGGAGACCTAGGTCGATGATCAGAATACATGCACGACTGACGTACTCTCTAGCGACCTGGGGTCCCGTGGGGGCCTCTTCCTGGTTGCTCATGAGCAAGAACCCCTGGATCAGCGTGATTTTATTTAGCTCGCACAGTTTCAGAAGCTCGCACTTGCGACGAAGCTGTTCTGCGGTCGACCTGATTTCGTCTGGGTCCAGGTCCGTATCGTAGCGCACTCCGCACATCATCATTGCGTTAAGAAGCAGAGGTGGCGTCTCGTCCAGATGGTTGATGATATCGCGGTCCACAACGGGATACAACGGGTACAGGTTGTCCAGATACAGTTGGACCAATTTGCGTTGTGTTTGGTAAGGAGCCTTCTTGAATGCTCCTTTCATCTCGACGTACTCCAGCAGTTCCTGATCCACATTGAGCGGACGCGCGTATTGTTCTCTCTGCGGCAAAAACAGGTCTCTCCATGGGAAAAAGAGGTTAAACAGTTCTCCGTCAGACAATGCCAGAAAAGAGTCATTACTGAATAATGGGGCCAATGGATGGGAAGTGGTGATGAATTGGTATTTATTTTTTGAGTTCTTCATTGCGTTAGCGTAGATTCTGTCGTAATCGAGAATTGACGGTGTTGGAGATGAGGACATCGAGCTGGGCTTTGACCGTTTGGCTTGAGGGTATCTGAGCTCACAGTCGAAATTGGTTTTGGAACACAGCTCGCATGCCTCCATATCCTCACGAAAAATACACTTCTTATGAAGCTTTCGACAACGGCTACACGCCTTGGCCGATCTTGCGTTTCCGTTTATCGAAAAGGTGGAAACGGTAAAAGCATCATTCATACAAAAAAAAAGCTATATTTTTTTTAAATTAATTCATGTCTATCAAGAGATCTTTGGGTGGCGGGCCAGACCCGAAGAAAATCAAGATCGACGATTGGCCAAGCTCGTTCAAGGAGCTGGAGAATATCCATTTCCGGCTCAACTCGTACTTTACGTTTCTCTCGTCACGGAAACATGTTATCACAACCATTGATCTGCTTAAACCTTCTGTGGAGAAGGCGATAGGAAGACCGTTGGAATTGGTTGATGTTGCGCGGGTTCAGGCGCTTGTTCCGCGAGATATTTTGTTCAAGTACGTGGACGAGAGCCAGTTTGTGCTGGAAGAGAAACATTTTAGCTGGAAAGATGGGTACGAGCAGAAAGAGTCTGATATCTACGACATCAAGGAGGACGAGCAGGACAAGTTGTCGAAACAGCTGTTGGTTTTCGAGTTTATTGATGGCGACCTACGCAAGAGCAAGACGCGTTCGTCGTACGTGACAGAGATCAGACTGCCTGTGTACACGCAGGACTCGATCAAAAAGATGATTGTTAAGCGGAACAAAAAGTTCCATGTTGCGGTGGAGGAGTTTCTGACGGCGTGCGCTGCAAAGGGAGAAGATCCATGGGACCAGCTTACGAAGAAGGCGGAGAAAATGGTCCCCAAGCCAAAGGAGTACGTGGACCCGATCGAGGAGATGGTGAAGAACACGTCGGAGCCAAACGCAAACGAGACAAGAATAACTATCCCGGAACTGATCCAGAAACTGAAGGAGACTGATTTCTACGAAAACCAGATTGTCGAGAACGGCCAGCTGGAGATCGAGCCGCGGGCGTCGCGCACGGGTGAGCTCGACTTCGAGCTGTCCCCCGTTGTTCTGGAAGCTCTGCGTGCTACCAAAAACATCGAGTCCTTCTACTCTCACCAGGCAGAAGCGCTCAACCACATCCACCAGGACCACCACGTGATCATCTCGACGTCCACATCATCGGGTAAGTCGCTGATCTACCAGTTGCCTGTGATCACGGCGCTGGAGCTCGACCCGAGTGTCACGTCCATGTACATTTTTCCAACCAAGGCTCTTGCGCAGGACCAGAGACGGTCACTGAAAGATCTGTTGAACGTGATTCCTGCTCTTCGCAGCGCGGTCGTCGAGACGTACGACGGCGACACAGAGAAACGCAACAGAGACCACGTGAGGTCGTCTGCATCGGTCATCTTCACCAACCCAGACATGTTGCACCAGAGCATTCTTCCGAGCCACCAATACTGGCGACGGTTTCTTTGCAACCTCAAGTACGTTGTGGTGGACGAGCTGCACATGTACAAAGGCTTGTTTGGGTCGCACGTTGCGTTGGTGATGCGGAGACTGCGCCGCGTGTGTTCGATGCTGGGCAACAACGGGTTGGTGTTCATTTCGTGCTCGGCCACACTGAAACAGCCCGTGCGACACATGCAGGACATTTTCGGGCTGCCGACGAACGACATCGTCAGCATCGACGAGGACGGCTCGCCGCACGGCGGGAAACACATTGTTGCGTGGAATCCGCCGCTCATTGACGTTGGCGACCCGTTGGCCGGCCGCAAGCCTTTCATCACGGAAACCGCAAAGGTTTTGATTGAGATGGTGCGCAACGGCGTGCGGACGATTGTTTTCTGTGTTGTGCGCAAAGTCGTGGAGCTGCTGATGAAGGAGATCCGGTACTTATTAACGGCAGACGGCCACACTGAGCTGATTGGCCGTATTATGAGCTACCGTGGCGGATACTCGCCAAGCGACCGACGCAAGATCGAGGAGCAGATGTTCCGTGGCAATTTGAAGGCCATCATCTCAACAAACGCTCTGGAACTGGGTATCGACATCGGGTCGCTGGACGCGGTGGTGATGTGCGGATTCCCGATCTCGATTGCCAATTTCCACCAGCAGAGCGGGCGTGCGGGCCGAAGAAACAACGACTCGCTCACGTTGCTGGTTGGCGGCGGCGACCCGGTCAGCCAGTACTACATGAAACACCCCGAGGAGTTTGTCGGGTCGAACTACCCGGACCTGGTGCTGGACTTTGAGAACGTGGTGGTTCTGGAAGGCCATCTGCAGTGCGCAGCGTTCGAGCGGCCGCTGGACATCGACACCATCAACCGGCGGTACTTTGGCAGCCCCGAGCTGGTGAAACAGGTGTGCGAGTCGCGGTTGCAAAAAGACGCAGATTCTGGTAGCTACCATTGCAACTCGCGGTTTCTACCGTGGCCCTCCGCGCACGTGTCTATACGTGCGATCGAGGAGCAAATGTACGCGGTGGTGGACATCACGAACGGCCGCAACGTTGTGATCGAGGAGGTGGAAGCCTCGCGGACCAGTTTCACTCTTTACGACGGAGGAATATTTATTCACCAAGGTCTGTCGTATTTGGTGAAAGAGTTCAACGCTGACGAAAAATACGCCAAAGTGGAGCGTGCCAACGTGGACTGGTCGACGTCGCAGCGCGATTACACGAATGTGGACCCATACGAGATCGAACGGATCCGGTCCACCAACTACAGCGACGTGCCCATCTACTACGGCAAGATCCTGTCCACGACGGTAGTGTTTGGATTTTTCAAGATGGACAGGGACAAAAAGATCCTGGACGCAGTGGAAGTGAACAACCCGCCTGTTCTGGTGCGTTCGAAGGGCATTTGGATCGATATCCCGCGCAAGGCGTTGGAGCTGATTAAAAGCAAGGACCTGAACGCTGCAGGCGGGATCCACGCCGCACAACACGCTCTGATGGGCGTGCTCCCGCTGTACATTCTGTCTGGGCTGGACGAGATACAGACGGAGTGCAAGGCGCCCGAGAAGGAGTTCGCCAAGCGACAGACCCAGCGCAAACGGCCGGCACGGCTCATCTTCTACGACAACAAGGGCGGCCAGTACGGGTCCGGTTTGAGTACAAAAGCGTTCGATAACATCGACTCTGTTCTTGAGAAATCGCTACAGAAGCTGGTGGAGTGCGACTGCGACTGGGGGTGTCCGAACTGCTGCGCAGCCAGTTTTTGCAAGGAGAACTCGCTGGTGTTGTCCAAGTATGCGGCGATCATCATTCTGGCGGTGATCATAGGCCAGGAGCTCGACATGGACATGATCCCCATGGGGCCCGAGCCCAACATGCCGCAGATCGACATCGAGACCATTATTCCGGCCGACCTGGGTTCGGTCAAGCTGTCGCCAGATCTGGAGATCATCGACGTGCGCACGGCAACCGCGCCGTTGCAGCCGGTGGTCAAGGAGGAGGAGGATGAGGAGGGCTTGCAGGTCAAGCTGGAAGACAACCCGGCCGTTGTGGTGTCTGAGGATGAGTTCAGCGACGACGATATAGTCAAGGAATTGTAATGGAACGTCATTTATAAACAGACGTAGACGAGGTTGCTCTGGAAGGGGCCTCGGAGAACGGCTGCGATGAGGCGCGCGACTCGGTGCGCGCGAGCGCAGGCGATACAGGCAGCCGTTTAGGTTTGGCCAGGCGGAACACCTGCTGTGTCGGCCGCAGATAAATAGAGGCCAGCGATCCAATGTTGAGCTCCAGCTCCTCCAGCACCTCGGCCGGCAACTTGTCGCTGGAAGTTTCTATGATTGGCAGCGCAGGCTTGACAATGTCCTTGATGTTCTGGTGCGACGAGAGCAGTCTCCAGTAGAAGAACCCACGCTCGCGCAGATCGGGCTCGTCCACGTCCTGTGTGGTCTTGCGCAGCACGTCCAACACCAAGGTCTCGGTCTTTTTCGACGGTGAGCCCAGATACGTCTTTATAATTGCTGTGAGAGCGGTAAGTTGGACCTGTGTCGACTCCGAATCGAACGACTGGTACAGCGACGTAAGGATATCTGCCGAGTTGGCGATCGAGGTGCTATATTCTCCCAGGATCCAGAAAATAGACCCGCGGGAGTCGGAGTCAGTTAACAAATCCACGTTTGCAACCAATGCCTCGATCAAATGGTAATATCTCCCCGGATATTTACGCAGAATGTCTTTGAGAATGACGGCAGTTTCCTGGACGATGTGCGGAAGCGAAGAAGCAAGCAGGTCCGCAAGCATGTCGACCGACCGGTCGGCCACAGCAGGGATCTTGATGGCAAGGTTTCCGATTGCACGGATGCTCTTGCGCACCATCTGGTCGTCGATCTCCAAGGCGTACTCCTCAAGCTCGTGCAGCACCACGTCAATATTTCTCTCGTTGGCCAGCAAAAAGATCAGTTCCAGTTTCGTGTCCTTGATGTACACCGGGTCGTCAAACTGGCAAAAAAACATCGAAACAGAAAGATTGAGCATCTCTGCCTTGTCGAGCAGCAACAGAATCACGTTCCGCATGGTGAGGAACTGGATCTCTGCGGGCTTGGACATGAGGTTCGAAATGCACCCGGAAACCCGTTTGGGGATCACCGGCAGAACGTCCACGAAATTGCGGATGTAGTTGCTCAAATACACAATCACCTTGAGAGCGTTGAGAACGACGCTGGAGTTGCCGTGCTGCAGTAGCGGGATGCATTTCTCCACAAGCAAGACAGCATCATCCTCAGTTTGCGGAACAAACGCCATGATGGAGTTGAGCAAACTTATCTGGCTCCATTCGTCGCAGTTCGGCAGTTGGTCCACTATGCGGAAACAGTTGTTGCGGTCGATCGACAGCTGGAGCCCCTCCTGGTTATCCACGAGATCATACAGACAGTCGACGGCGGCGGCGATGACGAAGATCGACGGATCGTGCAGCAGTCGGTTGAGGTCCTGCAAGAGCTGTTTCTTAGTCGGCTCTGAAGCGTGCGGATAGATCCGTGAAACGGCGTAGGCTCCTGTCTTGCGCACAGACGCGTCCTTGTCGAACATGGACTCGCCGACCCAGGTGCTTGCGCGGGCCACGTACTCGGGCAGGGGAATTGAGGCGATCGTCCGGATGCTCAGGGAGCGGAGAATAGAAGACGGGCTCCGCGAGTCCTTGTCCAGGAACGGGAGCAACTTCAGACACTCGTTTGGCCGCTGTTGGTAGTATGTGGCAAAATACAAGTAAACGAGCCGCTTGACCTCCAAGTCCTGGCCCAAATCGGTCAACAGGGCCAATACCTCGCCAGCTAACACCACCATCTCGTTATTGCCCATAGTCATGTTGGCGACGATCTTCTTAAGCGCCGTTTTGCGCAGAACGCTGGATCGCGACTTCCTCTCGCTTTCCCGGAGCTCGTTTTGGATCTCGGCGGCTCTTAAGCGCGCGTAAAGCTTCGAAGACCCCATCTGCTGGAAACAAGAAATTACTAAATATTTAAACAACGGGCCAAAATTTCAGGCTGTGTGCATTGCATGTTATGGATTACCTAACAGGAACTAGACAGGGACTCTTGCCAGCGGAACTCTGTCCAAGTCTTCCAAGACGGGACTTCCTGGCCGGCTGTAGTAATCTCCCAGCGGAGAGTTGATTGGCGGAGCCGCAGACAGCTGTGGAGACACAATATCCAAAGAGTCGTGTTTGGAGTCGGCCAAGTCGACGAAGTCCTCGATCGGGTCGTCAAAGTTGTCGTCAAAGTTCTCATACTCCTCGAGTTTGCCCTTGTTGTACACCATGCCGTCCTTAAACGTCTCGATGAGCGATCCAGAACCTTGCCAGCCCGTAGAGAGCTTGTAGAACACCATCTCCTTGAACACCTGCATCCAGTCCCAGCTGGACCAGTTTTCAGCAAGCGAGTTGTCGACATTTAAAGAAACAAGCTGGAACGCAAGCGCGTCGTCCAGATATTGCGTGTGGGGTAGCTGTGGAAGACCAAATAAAAGAGACTCTCTGTCGTCTCTGCTGGAAATGAACTTGTTTGGACGTCCGTACAGTCTGAACGAGTTCATGATTGGAATCAGCAGTCTGATCATGATCTCTGTTGGCTTCACGCCAGAGTGAGACTCGGGCAAAAGATACAGAAAGTCCGTTTCCTTAAGCTCGATCTTGCGTTTTCCAGAGTCCATCGAAAGAGTCGAGTTGACTCTTTTATGGAGCCCGGACTTGCCCAAGGAAGCAGACCTCGAATGTGGAGGCGACTTGTTGGCGTCTTTGTTTTTGGCCGAGATCAGCGACGAGTTCGAGATCTTGCGAACAACACCGATCGAGGAAGACCGGCTTCGTGTTCCGTTGTGCGCAGAGGTGTCCACCTCTCCAGAAATGACTTTCTCCAGCAATCCCTCGTTGATGTAGATCTGACCGTTCAGACGAATAAGGGAGTTGTTATCGATGAACTCTGGATTCTCGGGATAAACAGCCACACACGAACGCGCAGACTTGACCGAGGCCAACAGATGTTTCTTGGATTTCGTTGTGGAGGTGTATATCTTGACACTGCCCGGTTTCTTTGACCCAACGTTCGGAGTCACCACCACAAAGCAACGGATCCACTTGTCGTTCAAGAATGGGAACCGTAAAACACACCATTCTTCCTTGGCGTTGTTGTTAGTTGGAGCCAGCAGGGTACGAATATCGGAGAAGTAGATGGCTTTGCTCGAAAACAGAGCTCCCGTAAAGCTTTCCTGCAACTGTCTGTTTTCAAACTGGGCCAGAAGTAAGGCAGCGTAGAAACGGTCAATGTCCTGTTTGGAGTCGAACTTGAGCAAGTACAGTCTGGACTCCGTCAAGGTGATCTTGAGCTCGTGTTTGTCTGGAGAACTGGAGTACGAATAATGTGCGTCCAGGATGTTGATGTATATTGGCTTGAACCCGCCGTTGTCGTCGTTTCTCAATTCCTGTGAAGTCTGGGAGTCCATTTCCCATATGGCGAGTTCTGTTCCACTCAACTTGGCACTCACGTACACCCACGAGAGCGAGTCGGCCTCTTGTAAGGGCACCTGGACGCTCATTTCGCAGTAGGAGCGGGCGTTCTGCGCATGTAGCAGAGTCACCACGGGAACCAGCTCCTCGGGCAATTTATTAATGTTATCCTTCGGCTCAGCGAGCGCATTCCCAAGCGAAAGGGTACGCGGAGCAGGAGAGTTGCCCTGTCTAAGGAACGTTGTTGGCAAAGACGAGAGTCTCTTGGAGTCTGTACGAGACGCTCTGCGAGGAGCCCTGGAGTTCTTGATGGAGTCCGAGTACGTTCTTGAGCCAGTCAAAGGAACGCTTGTGGGACCCGCAGAATCCGCGTTTGAGGGTTCGCTCTTTTTCGTGGAGCGTGTTTCCGGGAGACTTTGGGAGCTCGAAGACTTGTTTCTTCTGAAAAGCTTCTTGAGAGATGACATTCAACACAAGGTATAAGTACAAAGTCTGATGGTATTTGCTCCTTTTGCTTGGATAGTGCTTAAAAGGTTGAAAAAAAAACTAATTCTCAAACGCATTTGGGAAGTTTGAGTAAGAGGAGGCGGAGTGCCAAGTTATTTTTTACTTGCCTTGATGATACACTCTGTTTTAATATGTAAGTTTGCTTTTCAACATTGGCTAACTCCATACAGTCAACACAAAGGGCATTCCGCGGCTCATTAAGTTCTATACGCCGGTGGACGTGGCCACACAGCAATTGTTGCTTCAACAGGTTTACGAGCTGGTTGTGGCTCGTAGCGACACCCAGTGCTCGTTTCTGACCCCTCCGCCGTTGCTGGAAGACCATTCCGACATCAGAGTCATCTATAGACACTATGCGACACTATATTTTGTGTTTGTGGTGGACCAACAGGAGAGCGAGCTGGGAATTCTTGACCTGATCCAGGTGTTTGTGCAGGTGCTCAACACGTGTTTCCGCAACGTGAGCGAGCTGGATCTCGTTTTCGGGTGGCAGGTTCTGGAGGCCGCTTTGGAAGAAATCGTCCAAGGAGGAATGGTTATCGATACAAGCATCAAGAAGATCGTTGCTGCCATTGACGACGCTAATAAACAACAAACTACAATCACCCAGAAAACGTGGTGGAGATGACTTCGCATCGGATTCTCTTAGCATTTATACAGGCATCAGCATAATAAATAGTTCGCAGGTTAAACTTTATTAATCTTTGGACCAGAACTTCCATTTCGAGCTCTTTGGCGCAACAACAGTCTCGGTCAGCTTGGCTTCCTGCTTCAGCCGTTCAAGCTCCTGTCTCTGGCGTGCTTCGGCCTGTTCTCTTTCGAATCGCTCTCGCTTCACCAGGAAACTTTCGCTCGACGGCTGGAACTCCTTGTCCCACGGCGAAACAAGCGACCCAGTCTTCCAAATCGGCTCGTTCGACGCAGCCGTTTGTTTCACAATCTCCATCAACATCTGCTGCTCTCTCTGACGTAGCTCTTTATTGCGCTCGTAATCTGCACGCAACTCTGGCGAAAGTTTCGCAACAAGCTGCTCCTCGGTCGGCGTCGTAAAAATATACAGAAGCACACCCGTGCCTATGATCCCACCTCCGGTCAACAACGACCGCTTCCAAAGCAAATACGCTTGAGACATGTCTTTAATCGTGAAGAAAAAATCTCTCTTTAAAAAAGTATGATTATATAATCGTCATCTAGTTGTGTCCAAACTCTTCCTCGTCGCTCTGGACAATGAATTGGTCCTCGGACTGCGGACCTCCCGTCATCTCAATGTCCGTCTGGTTCAAGACCTTGTCGTACTGGGTGCCGTATCCGAGCTTCGAAAACACCGCCTCCAGCATGCTCTTGGGCTTATCGTCAGGTTCTTGCTGCGTTTCTGGCTCCAAATCCCGCTCGTCAAACCAGTGAACTTGCTTCTTCTTCTTTTTCGAGCCAAACCGCAGGAACGACGATTTCTGGTTCTTGTTGAACGACTTGTAGAAACAGCAAAGCAGATACGCGAGTACTGCTAGAATCACCATCTCTGCAATGTAGAACGATATGCTATGGTGCTGGTTCACCTCCTGGTCGTTGGAGGATCCGTCCTTGGCCCTGTCGCCCAAGCCCACAAACTCATAGTTCCCGTCCGAGTCATACACGGGCGTCAGCAGCGCGCCGTCCCGTTTCTCAACAACCCCGGTCATAATGTCAAACAGACCTCTGCTCACCGCCGGTAAGTCGTATGGAACCATGTGCGACGAGTTGTACACCTTCACGTACGTGAGGTTGTGATCGGAATGCACCTTTCCCACGCTGGACGAGTCGTACACCCAGTCCACAGGAGAACTGTCACCGAACCCGGTCTGGCCTTTGGTGATCTCCAGTTTGTCGATCAGCATCTCGATCGACTTGTAGTTGCAGATGATGTCCTTGTCGCCCGCAAACAGCATCACGGTCATCTGTTCAAGCAGTTTTGGCAGCAGATCGAACGAGATCCGCGATTTTTTAGGATGGAACTTGAGTCCAACTTTTCCGTCACATTCACGCCAAGTCTTTCTAATCTTGAGATTCAAGGACTCCTGCACCGAATCGGTGTTCAAGAACTCCGTCACCACAGGCAGCTTCTCGGGCCAGCTGTTTCCACACGAAGGATATGAATCGTGTTTCCGGTAATCGTAAATATTGTAGCACTGTTGATCAGCAGGCTTGGACTTATCTCTGGTATCTTTAAGTAAGGCCATAATGACATCGGAACATGCCTCGGCCTCGAAGTCGTTATTGTTCGGGTCGTTGATCGCCTTTTGACATTTCTCGTGTTTCTTCAACAAATGGTTCATATACTCTGCCTTGCTATCAATAAGTCCGTTATCTAATGCAAATGGAACATATGCTAAGGACTGCAGGTTTGGCTCAATCCATCCGTTTCCAATGAGCAGTCCTTTCAGTTTCAGGTCTAACAGACGGTGTTCAACAATGTACGTGGCAAAATGCGGAATGTATTGACCAGCATACGACTCTCCGGCCAACCATATATTTTTGGTACTGTCTTCCGGAAACAGTTCGAAATACCGTTTCAGAAATTCACCAAAGTCCCGTGCAGCGTCGTCAAGCTCGGTGTCAAATTTATCCGTGTATGAGAACCCTGTTCCTGCCGGCTGGTCCACAAACACAACGTCTGCGACCTCAGTCCACGAGCCCGGGTTGGCCTCGACCTGTGCATCTTTGGTGATTCTAAGAGGACCGATTTCCATCAAAGCGCCGTCCATCGAGGAACAACCAGGGCCACCATTCAACCAGATCACCAGGTCATCTCCGTGCAGTTTCTTATGCGTTTTGTTGCGAACAGGATCCGAGAATCGCCAGAAAAAGATGTCTGTGTTGTTTTCTGGAAATATCTCCAAATGACCGGCATGCATTATAGGTTGTTTTCCAACAGGGATCTTGTCCAGTCCAGGAAGATTCTTGACTATATAATCATTCTGGGATCCCCGAACAAGATGAACAACCAATGCAAAGACTAGAAATCCCAAATAATTCATTTATAAGAGAATGGCTTTGTCTAAGCCTTGAATAAATAAAATAAATCAAGCTAAAGAAAAAAGTGTGTGCCCAAATAATTCATCCTTGTTAACTTGATGTTCAAAGTGTTTGTGTCGAAACGGCCAATTTTAGACGCCGACTTGGCGTCTATTGATCAATTGGACCGTCTGAAAGCGCTGGATATGGCGTATTTCGACGAAAACATCCAGATCGTCGCAGTGACTCCGGCCTCTGTCAAACAAGTCGAATTGGATCTTATTTACAATGTTCAAAATACTATCTCGCACAGCCTCAAAGACAGCACTCGAGTGGGAGATCATCTTGTTTGGGTGTTTGGGACGACCGTGATTGCCGACAAGTTGTCAAACGAACTGAAAATCAAAGCATCGTATCAACAAGAAGTGGTAAACAACACGGTTTCCAGCGAATTTGAAAACTCCCTCCAAATAGGATCGACGTTGTTATCTCAACATGTGGACAACTTCAAGTCGTTCTCCTCAACTTCCACCATCAGGATCAGACCCATCTTCCAGATGCGGTTCAAAACCATCAAAACAGAGAAAACTATGGCTTCGTTGGAACTTGCACTGTCGGGTCAGTTCAGAGAGTCTGGAGCGTCCACGCAGATCGAGTCGGTCGGTTTGTTGATCCAGAATTGCGACGTGGTGAGCTACTCGAACCTGAAGTATCCGTTAACGTTGCCCAAGAACTCCAACCTTAGTCTCACATACAAACTCGTCAACAACGATACAAAGTGGATGAAGCCGGTTTTGGTCACTATCGCGTGCACAGTCAACGCAAAAAGACACATCATAACCAAATGGAACACCAACGTGGACTTCCAGGCGGCGCCGGCGGTGGCTCCGATCCCGTCTCCAAGCCTGGGAGTGCTAAAGAGCCGATCAACCAACTCCGCATTGAGTCTGGTGAAGAAAAGTAGGCCAAAGTCCAACTCGTCATTGAACCTCAGTCACACAAGAAAAAACCTTAATATCTCTGTTTCTGGCCAGACCAAGGTCAAGCTCGGAGAAGTGTTCAAGTGGAAGCTACAGTTCATCAACAAGTCCAACGACTCGCTTTCTCTCATCTTGTACATTCAGTCCAGTATAAACAAAGAATACGAAAAGTCTGTTCCGCCGATTCCTCTGCAGAACTCAGGCTTCAACAAGGCAGATCCTGTTCCGCTGTACGCACTCGGTCAGCTGGTGAGAGCGTTCAAGCACGAGTTCAACAAGGCGGGTCTCATTTCGCTCACAAACAACCTCAAGTTCACTCTGGACCCGGGCAACTTGTTTGAGACGGAGCTGGAACTTATTGGAATCGAGAAGGGACTGGTCAATCTCCATGACGTGCGCGTGCTGGAGATCAAGAGCGGCGAGATATTCGAGTGCGGTCGGTTGCTTGATGTTCTGGTGGTGTAATCACTCCAGGAACTTGGCCAAGTCGTGTTCGTCGGCAAAGAAGAACCCAAAGTACTTGAACCCAGACGTTTCATCCAGCTGCAAAAACTTGATCAGCTCGATCATCTTGCGGAACACCACTCGCGACCGTTTGTCGGCCTCGAATTCAGGAACACTCTTTAAAAACAAATAGACAACGTTCATCAGTCCAACACTGCCCTCGTTCTCGACCATCCCGATGGAGTTGAGTTTCGTCAACAAGCCAAAGTCCACCCTCTTAAGCGTCATCTCCTTCAACAGCGATACCTCGAACTCGTTCAACGACGTCACGTCGACCAATTTCTGGATTCCTGCTACCAAATTCTCTGACGACCCGCTCATTATAAATTGCATCGACTGCACAATGTTGCGGTACTGCGTCTCGTCGAGTCTGCTGATTAGCTGGAACATGATCGATTTCGTGTTGATGGTGAACGCCAGGAACTTGACAAACTCAAAGTTGTCAAACGTCATGGTGAACGTTTTCTCTATGCGGCCGACACTCGGCGTGTCGATCTCGAACCGCAAAATCTTGGCCTGTTTCGGTGGCAGCTGGCCATCGTCGTTGAGCAGTTTGATCACGTTCTTGCGCAGAAACTTCTTTCCAACATCCAAACGGTACCGCAGCTGTTCTGCAGTCAGATTGGTCACCGTCACCTCGACTGTCTCTTTGAACCCAAGCACAAGGTCGAGATCGATCAACGACGGTTCCACGTCAATCGTTGGTGTTTGGTTGATGATCTTGTCGAACTGGAGACCGATCTCGGAACGCAGCTTGCGAACGGCCTCATAGTCTACCACGTCCACGTCCAGAACAAACTCAGAAACCACAGGCAGATGGTCTGAGCCGTTCAGCTCGTACGACGTGTAGCTCAGCTGCTCCAGCCCGTCGTCCGTGCTGTACAATACACGGTCCGTGTACGACGGCGAGCGGTTCCCCTCGTACGCCAATGCGTCGTTCACCTTGTACGTTGGACGGAACTTCACGGGTCCCTCGGTGAACCCAAAGAAAATGGCTCCCTTGGATTTCTGCACAGACAGCTGATCCGACTCCAGCAGCTTGTTGTACTGTTCGCTGGAAACCAGCTCCGCAGACGACTCGCTGTCGACGCGGTAATTCAAATCGCCGCTGACGAGCACCACGTTTCGCCGCCGCTTGGCAAACACACGGTCCAGGTCTGTTTGTGCAATCTTGTCTGTCTCGTCGTTGCTCAGCTCGTACTTGAAGAACGCATCCTGAGCAGAGCAGTCCGACTCAGCAGCAAACGAGGCCCGCCCAACACACCCGAACGAGTCCTGCACTTTCTTCAAACACTGGTTGCGCATGTCCACGGCAGCTTCGTCCTCGCCGTGGGTCAGGTGCATGTTTAGTGCCTGCACCCTGACACCACCTAGTTTCTCGTCTATTGCTCCAAGCGAAAATTGCATCTCAATACACCCTTTGTTGTACCAATTGAGATACCCGAGACCGACCTTGCGAACGCGAACGTCCGAGACCTGTGCGGCGTACTCGCCGGAAACCACCAGGATGCTGGTGAGCCCCAACATGCCGGTTTTTTGCACAACCTGGAAATTTTCCGGTAGCACAGCAAGTATGGCGTCGCACCATTGGTCAATCTGCTTGTCCGAGGCGCCAAACGAGGTCAATGGGACGGTCTCCTGGAACCCTATAATGTAAATATCGGCAAAGTGTTTCTCCTGAAACTGTAGTAACCGTTTTATATGCTCTTTAGGACAAGTATCCATAGCGGCGAGGTTCCATGTTAACAGCTTGAGTTTGAGCTTTTTCGGACAACTCACGTCGCCAATGCGATCGGAAACGTAGTCGGACTGCAAAATCGACTGGTACGCGAACTTGCTCGAGGGATTTAGCGCCCTGAACAGTTTAACCTGAGTGCATTCCTCCATAGTGAAATATCACTGCCCGGAAATATTTTATCGGGAGCTACACCGCCCGAGTTTATTAGTCTGCTACGGAGTGCGCTTCTGAGGCGTCGTTGAACACCTCCTCGTCGGATGTGTTGGCGTAGGTGTCTAGGATATCGTCTGCGGTGGAGCCTGGAGTGCCTGTGGAGCCGGGGACGGCCGGGGTGGCCGCCGGGATGTCCGACTCGCGTTTGGAGACAGGAGGCGGCACGTCAGGGGCAGGAACAGGGGAAGGAGCTGTCTGTGCTGTCTCTTCTGTCGCCGGCTCTGCCGGCTCGCCCGCCTTGTCCGGCCGCGGCAGACCGAGCCAGCTGTTCTTCCAGCCGTACACGAGTCCGCCCTCGTCCGCGTCGTCCCAGATGCCCAGCTTTGCGTAGAACAGGCGTCCGCGCAGCTCGGCGATTTCGCACCACGCGCGGATCACCTCGCCCTCGTCGGTGGTCTGTTTCAGGGCCTTCAGCCGCGCGAGCAGGTCAACCGTCCGCCGCAGCTTGCTGGCACACGAGATGCACAGCAGGTACTCCACCTCCTTTACGCGCAGCACGTACAGCCGCGCAAAGTTCATCGCCATACGCGCCTCGCCGCAGATCGAGCACTTGGACTCCACCGCAACAGGCAGGTTTGTGTCGTACTTGAACATCTTCAAACTGGCCCGTTTCGTCGTTGGGTCGGGCGACGACGGCGCAGATTGTGTCTGTGCGGCCTTCCAGGCCTCGGTCGACGCGCTCAGCGGCTCTATCACGACCTTGGACTCGAAAAGGCTCGTCACAAACGACTTCTTTTGGAAAAACTTGACCGACGGAGACAGATCCAGCCGTAGCACGGGCTCGATCTCCTCGGTGACCAGATGCTTGTAGAACGAGGTCTCGCGGATCGTCTGCAGGGTCGCGAGAGTCTCTTCGAACTGGTTGAACAGCGTCAGGTCGAACCGCAGCTGGTTGAACATCGGAGAGTAGATATGCTTACCGTTGAACTTGAGCAGCTTGTCGAGCGTGAACTGCGACTCCGGCGCCGTCTGGGGCTCGACCGTCGCAGCACGGCTCTGGGCCTTCTCCTCTGTCTCGAAATCCGAGATGATCGTCTTGAGGTTCTTGAGTTCGTTGTTCAACAGCTCGATCGTCATGTCTCTGTCCTTGAGCGTGTCTACAAGCTTCTCGTTCTTCACCTGCACGTCGTTGATTTGTATGTTTGCGGTCTTGACCTTCTCGTTCGCCTGGTCGAACAGCGTCGCGCTCAGGTCCTCCATCTCGTAGCTGAGTCGCTCCACCTCCTTGTCGCTCTCTTCCTTCTGTTTTCGACTCTCCACCAGCAGCCGTTTGAGCTCCTGGATCTTCTGGCGGCTCTCCAGAAGATTCACCTCGAGCGCACTCGTTTTCTGCGCCTGCTCCAGCACCTGCACCGACAGCTGCTCGATGATCTTGTCGTTGTCGGACATTGCCAAATGTTTTGAAATAATTAGAGGCTGCTTAGCTAATGAGAGCATGGGAGCGGCGACCATAGCAGGCGACGACAACAGGCAAACGCCGCGAAAGTGGTCCAGTGGGGGACGCTATTGGTGGAGTACAACCCGCCAACCGCCAAATTGGATCCTCCCCGGTTCAATTATCTCCTCCCCCGTTGACCTATTTGGTGCCACCTTTTTTTCTTAATTTTCTCCATGTCTGTGAGAACACTGTACGTTCGCAACTTGAACGAAAAACTGGCCCCCGCCAAGCTCCGTGCCGCCCTGGAGCGTCTGTTCACTGAAACTGGCGTGCCTGTCGCGGATATCCGGCTGTTCAAGAACCTCCGGCTGCGGGGCCAGGCCTTTATCACTCTGTCCTCGCACAACGATTGTCTCCGTGCAATCGACTCTCTCAACACCAAACTGCTCTACAACAAGCCCCTCGACATGTACCTCGCAAAAACCAACAGCGACCTCGCAATGGAGAACGAACCAGACTTCGACGCGTACCTGGCCGACCAACGCAGAATCCGGCTCGAAAACCGTACAAAGAAACGGAAACTCGCACCGCAAACTCACACAACCGCCAAGAAACGCAGACTTCCCGGTGCCCGCACGTCAGAGCCAAACAAAATCCTGCTGCTCACAAATCTACCGCCAACAACCACCAAAGACCAGGTCGTGGGCCTGTTTGAAAGCTACACAGGCTTCCTCAACGTTAACCTCGTGCAAATCCGTAACTTGGCCCTGGTGGAGTTCCGCTCAGAAACAGAATCAGCAAGATGTCTCGACAGTCTGGGAAACTCGGTGAAAATCAACGGATCCGACTGCTACCTACAATTTGCAAAGAAATAAGTATCGCATAATATATATTCACAGGTCATTAGTACTTTCCGGTAATCACCGTACGGAACGCCTCGAAAATGCTTTCTCTCTTCTGGCCACCGTTGTTGATGTCTTTCATAAGACGCGAATAGTAGTTCGGGTTGCCCTTGGGCTCCAACAGCTTCTTATCCACCTTGTAGACGTCGGCCCATTTGTTGTCGGCGATGCTCTTGAGCGACTTGAACTGCTGTGTGAGAATATCTGTGTCGAAAAGCTCTTTCTTGAAGTCTGGGGTGGCGTCTTCTTGCGCAAAAATCATCCGCTTCAGCTTCTTCACGTCGATCTTGACCATTTTCTGCTGCTTCTTCTGCTCGATGGCTTGCTCTTCTAAAACCTTCTTGGGGATCGGCAACGACCCGATGTTGCAGAACCGCTCGATCTGAGAAAACTTGAACGAAGCATAGTGCTTCACCTTGTCGGCCGGGTACTTTTCCAGTAACGAAACTATCTTTTTGGCGGAACTACTCAAACTGCTCGTCATGATTATTCATTAAATATTTATTTTTCTAATTGGCCTGAAAAATTGGTATACCCCCCACCTCGCACCGCTCTCACTTGATGTACTCGCGGATGGGCTGGTTCAGCAGCCGTTGCTCGAACTCGTCAAAGCTCTGGTGGTGCTCGTCCAGTAGACGGTCAAAATACCGCATCCGCGTGCGAATGTGCGCGTCGCAAGCCTCCCGCACGAACAGCGGCTGGGCCTCCAAAAGACACTTGATCTTGCGGATGTACAACTTCTCCAGATCAGGAGCCTCCAGATACAGAATGTCTGCATCTCTGGCCACCTCGCGCAACCTGTCTGTGTTCTCGATCTCGAGAGCGTCCATGTCCGGGTTATACTTGAACCCGAGGTCGTTGTAGCTCACCTTCTTCAAAATTGGTTTCTGGACTATAGGGTATTGTCCGGGGCTTAGAATGCCCTTGCTCCGCATATATTTGTCCACCCGCACGTCCACGTACGAGCTTCCGCACAGTTTCTGTGCGAGCCGCAAAAACGGGCTTTTCAGGATCATTTGCTCCTTGACACTGTTTCTCACAATCTCCTGGTAATGTTTCTGGCGCAACCCAGTAAGGTCGCACGTTTTGAGCAGTTCTTCCAGAAACTTGTCGTCTTGCTGGCTGTGGCCCACGTCGGCCATGATATAGCACGGTTTGTCGGCAGTCTCGAAAATCAACGGGTGCGATCTGTCGGTGGAAGCCACCGAGCTCCAAGTTTTCAATTCGTAAAACATTGACAATCTGGGGTGAATCCAGTATAACCGTGGGTTATATTAATACCCCGTCGCTTACAGCACAGAACATTTGCAAACAATGGCAGCCGCACCAGCGTGGATCTGTCTGTCTTATAGATTCTGTGTCTGGTGCTCGATCAGAGATAACAGTCTGCGGCTCAGCTCTAGGGCCAATGAGTACTGTTTGGATTCCAATGCGGCCTTTACCTGTTGGCGAAGCGCAAATGCGTCCAGAATCGCAGAAGCCAGATCCGTTTCCAATCTGTGGCTTTCGATATGCGTAACCACTTTGGCAAGACTGTAGGCAAACAGAACAAGGTTTTTCATGGCTGTTGTCCTCTGGAACATCTGGTTTCGCAGAAGTGGGGTCATGTTGTCGTTCGGGAACTCAAAGGTGTCGAGAACTGTCTCTGAAAAACACCACATACAGTCCTGCAACTCTGGTGCAGGGACAGTGGTGTTGAACAGCGAAGTGTGTGCGAAGTAGATCGACCCCCACGTTTTGATGCTCAGAAACGTGTTTTCGTGAGTCGAATACACGCCGTGGCCGTCCACCGTCATCTTTTGAATTTTCTGTTCTGCTAGCTCAAACGGATAGTACACCAGGTATACTGTTGAGCTGGTGTTTGTATGTGACTCGTAGAAGTCTGCCAGGTTCGGCAAACTGGAAAGCTCTTCGGGGAACCGCTCGTCCACAAAATGGTGGTCTTGAACAGACGATTCGTTGACCGTGACAAACTCCAAGGTGTAGTTGGAGATATTGTCCAGGAACGGCCGCATGTATTCGTTGGCGGCCTGTTCTGCCTCCCACCGGAGATCCGGGCTCATCATCACCAGCACAAACGTGACATGGTCCGAACGTTTGGGCTCGTACTGCGACGAGTGCAAAAACGTGTGTTTTCCTGTCCTGTTGTCAATCAACTGGACAAAACTGTCGATGGCGTAGTCGCGCAGCTCGTCGTTGTAGCAGTGGTCCACAATCAGCTGTGTGGCAAAGTATGGCACGTCGTTCGCGTCCACGGTTTCCAGATTGTAGAACAGAACCGCATATCCTTCGATCGGGTCCACGTAGATGCCGTTCCCGTCGCCAAGCACGAGCTTGACCACCAGCCCGTCGGTTTCGTTGTTCCATTCTCGCACCTCGAACTGCACGTCCGGAACAACGGCCTCGTGCTCGCGAAGCCGGCCGGCAATCTGGATCGACACCGCCTCCGCCACGTCCAACAGCTTGAGGTCGTTCGACTCGTAGTAGATGGGGATTTTGATCACCACGTCGTCCAGCGGGTGCTCGACGTAGTGCCGCAGCGTGCTCAATGGCACACGCCAGGCGTTCAGGTACCCCACCGCGTGCTGGTACACCAGTGGGAGCAGCAGCACCAGCGCTAAAAATACCAGGGGTCTTGTCATGAAAATTTAAGTATTTTCTGGGTGGGAAAATCCTTAAGCACAGGCCAAGCCACATGAGTGGGGGGTCGGCGTGGTCAGCTCGGTGGAGTAAGAGTGGATGTGGTACTGCATCTGGCAGACTGTCTCTGCTCATTGAGCTGGTCACATGGCTCACAAGCACGTTCTCGGTACCTGACACAGCCTTGATTGGATGATTAAGTACAAATAGCCTGTGGATCAAAAAATGTCTGCCAGGAGTTGTTTCTCCTCGAGGGAAACACCAAGAAAAGGGAGGAGCCAATGATTCAGGACAGGCGAGGTTGCCCATCTCCCTGCTCCCTGGGCAGGAGCGCTCGGAACCCGCAGCAACAGTATGTTCAACATGCTCCATTTGCTCCATGTATTGCAACTACAACTCCTGCCACCAGAACGGGAACACCTTCATTACTTTCCATCTCGATTGCAAACGTCTGCCCCACCACCCTGGCCTGCTCGTTTCCCGCTTACCTAATCGGCAGTTTCTTTTGCTCGAAAATTTATCAGGCCGCACCGATTTTCCTCAACGGGAAGGTTCAAACGTCTATCAGTGTTTATAAAGAACAGCCCTCGCCATGAGTTCTGATATGGCAAGAGACCCGGAAGACAGCCCTCTGGCGGTGATCGAACGATGCCGGCAAGAAAAGCGGCCCGTTTTCGTCGCAGGCCCCATGGTGCGCTACTCCAAGCTCCCGTTCAGAGAACTCGTTAGAGATTACAAAGTTGACATCGTTTACTCTCCCATGATCCTTGCGCGGGAGTTTGTGCGCAACAGCAACGCCCGTGCAAGCGATTTTAGCACAAACTTCCGCGATAGACCGCTGATCGTTCAGATAGGTGCCAACAACGTGACCGACTTGCTGCGTATGATAGAGATGATACACCCATACGTTGACGGTGTTGGGCTGAACTGCGGGTGTCCGATCAAGGAGCAGGTTAGAGAAGGTATTGGTGCTGCTTTGATGTCGAAGAAAGAGCTGGTTGCAGAGATGGTGGCTGCTGTGAAACAGAAGTACGGCTCGAGCCTGGTGATCGAGACCAAGATCAGAGTGCACACGGACGTGAACGAGACGATCGAGTTTGTCCAGGCGGTGGAGAAAGCCGGCGTGGACTTCATCACTGTGCATGGACGCACAAAGAACACGCGGTCGTCGCAGCCGTGCGACTTTGTCAAGATCAAAGCCGTCAAGGAGAGCGTTCAGGTGCCTGTGATTGCGAACGGGGACTGCATGACATTGGAGGACGCGTACCGCATTGCGAGCGAGACCGGCTGCGACGGGGTTATGGCGGTCCGGGGAATTTTGAACAACCCGGCCATGTTTGCAGGCTACGACAAAACTCCGTGGGGAGCGATCGAGAAGTTCTGGAACCTCAGCACCGCGTACGGCCTGCCGTTCAGAATCATCCAGCACCACTTGGGGTGCATGCTGACGGGACAGCTGAGTAAGAAGCTACAGATCGAGCTCAACAGCACAACGAGTCTGTTGGAGCTGCTGGAGTGGTTCGACAGCAACTTTGTGCTCAAGAGACCGTCCGACCCGGGCTACGGCACGTCTGTCGCGGTGCAGTACTGGCAAAACAGACAGAGCCAGGCTCGTATTTAATTGTAAGTTGCACCAGGGTTATTTATTTAGGCGAATTTGGGAAAAAACACCGGCACTAAAAATTTTGTACACCTTGAGTTTTGGTAAGTACCACTGATGGATGATGATAACCTTTTATTACCAAGTTGAACAAGTCTACTAGACCTAGTCGTTGGGACAAGATGGGGGTCCGTTTTGGGCTCTATTGGACTCTCGCGGCGCTCTGTAATGATTGGTATTATAGTCATAGTTACACTGACATCGTGTGCTAACATTAGAAGAGAACAGAAGAAGAGCTCACGCTGGTCGTGATACGCCGCTAGTGGCTCGCCGTACCAGGCACCACACCGTATACTAATACTTATCACACTGTATAATCTAATACCCTAGTCACACTGAGTCAACCCCAGTAGTCCACCTACACCTACTAAACACGTAGCTTACACTAAGTATTATTCAACTATTGATTCCGCTTATTCATATCTATTCCTCGTCTTCAACAACAACAGTGTTCAAGCCCTTGACAGATGGAACGTTGACAGACTCGACGTAAGAGAACACAGGGTTCTTGGCGTCCTCCTCCTCGTTTCTCTTTCTAGAGATTCTGATTCTAAATCTGTATGGAACACCCTTGATACCTCTCTTCCACAGGTCGACGTTCAACTTAGGATCGAGTCTCACATCCTCGGTACCCATGTGTAGTTTAGCGAACTTCTTGATCTCCTTCACGGCCTTTGGAGCTCTTCTCTTGAACTGAGTGCCGTGCAGTCTCTTGTGGAGGTTGATGGTGTACTCTCTGGTCACGAGTTCCTTAAGTTCGGATTTAGCCATCTTTAATATGCAATCAAAGGTTCTTCAAGAAACAACCAAATTATAATTTGAATTTTTGAAGCACAATTTTTCACTCGACTTTGTGGGTGTGTTACGTAAGCGTGTGGGTGGCGGGAAGTTATTTGGCGCCAGATGGGCACACCGGTGGGGGAAACACATCTACGGGAGCAGCAGTGGGACCTACAAAAGCATTGTAGTTTCTAACCAGCCGGTTGGTGTCTCTGCTTGCCCATTTCATGCCCATTTACAACAGCTACCAATATTAGTGGTGCTAGGTGGTGATTGTAGGGTTAAACCTACCCCTATTTGAGATCACGTGCAATGGTGGCCCCAGACGGTTCATTCAAGTGCGTACAAACTATATACATTGGAGGGCCATTGTTGGTGAGCGAGGTCGAGACAGTGTCCGTACGGCGTGTTTTCGGTCGGGGGCAGTTGTTCGAGCTCGAGCTCTGCGATGAGCGTGCATAGCATACGCGGTGTGATTTTGTTGGCTACCACGAGCCCGACCAGGCCGTCCAACGAGGCTGTTGGGTGCTCATTTTCGGGTGAAGCTGTCAACTTGTCTATCCGGTCGAACAGCTGGCGGTCGGCCTTTTGGTAGGCGGTGGCTATTTCTTCAAAATAGAGCGAGTCTGGCGAAACAGAGCCTGTTTCTTTGAATGCGAGCACGCAGCCCACAATTGCGGTGAGCGACGCCGAGTGCGGGGTGTGCAGATCCTGTGCGAGTGTCTGGGTCAGCAGGTTGAATGTTGTGAGCAGCTCGTTTCTGGTGATCATGATGGCACATATGTTGTAGAACATGATTCTGGCTTTATTTTCGATGTGAGTGTCTTTTGGTGTTTCCGAGCGCAGCTGGAACAGGTCGTTGTACAATTGGTTCACCAGAACCAGACTCGGGCCGTACTTGATTCTATGGATCAACAGTTTGAAGTGCCAGCTCAGTTCCTTTGGAAGACCTTCTGCGGCCTTTTTGTCGTCCAGACGAACCAATTCTTTCAAAAAGAGGTTAGTTTCGTTTCTAAGGAACTGTGCGTTTGGAATCGGCGGGATCAATGAACTGGAATGCGGCAATCGCTGGTTCGAAGCCATTAACAACAGGTTGATGCGCAGTTCCCAGATTTGAAACACGTCCTGCAACGACAGCTCAAAGCTCGACAGTTGCGGCGACAGAACAATTAGTTTGCAGTACGACGCGATCGTCAGGTACTTTTGTAGCGGGCTCGAGTACGATGAGCTATCAAACAACGGCGACGGCACTTTGTCCGATTGGTCTCCCAGCAGATTCCCAACAAGCAGCGTGAGGTTCTGTGGGGTGATCGGAACCGCTCGTTCCAGTTCCACAAACTTGGACTCGTACGCGGCCAGCGTGATGAAATTGTTGGCGTTTAACAGAGACGGGTACTTGACCTGGAGCATAATAAATGGATAAATAAATAAATAAGAGGTGTGGGAAATTAACGGTGGGGGAATTTGCATGAAATCGGCCCACTCGTTGTCCAATTTCCACTCATTCTATCTGCTCATCACTTTGCAAACCACTCTGTCCACTTGCCTGCCCCCATTGCTGCTAGATGCCATGCAAACTGCTTGCCCCCTCCAACTACTAACTTGGTGCAAAGGTGTAGAAAAAAGTAATTGTTTCTTGTTTTAATGTCCTTCAACGAAACGTCATACAACTCGCAAAACAACAGGGCCCAGGTCAAACTGCCACCGATCTCGTTCCTGTCGGGGAATTATGAGAACAAGGACAAGGAGACCGAGAAACGGACGGCCCCGGCCGCCAATCAATTACCCTCGTTGTCTTCGATCAACTCGTCAGAGTTCCAACTCCCGTCCATCTCCTCCCTCACTCCGGCCAGCGACTCTATAAAGCTGCCGTCCATCAAGCTGAGCAACGCGTCGGAATCCCCGGGCGACCAGAAACCGCCATCCTGGAACTCGGCCTCGCCGCCTGCCAGGAACAGCAACTCTCCGTCCTCCCAACAGGAGACAGGTCCCGTGGCCAGCCAGCCTAAGGACGCAGACGCGGACAAGCAGGGCCATCATCACCACCATATCCACGAAGACTTGTCGGTGCAGCTCAAGGAGGCCCAACAGCACCTGAAATCGGGTGGTCATATCCACGTTGTGCACCAGCCGCACGGGAACCACCACCACCACAAGATCCTGATCCATAACCCGAACGAGACCCCAGCCGACGTTGTGCAGCCCCAGGGAAACGATACCACGATCATCCAGAATGACTCGACCATCATCGACCCCAACGCGACAGTGCCACAAGAAACGTCATTGGTGCAGGCACCGTCTCCAAAACCCGCCCCAGTGGAAACCCGCAGAGAGTTCAAGCCACGCGAAATCACTATCGATTCCAAGGAAACGCTTCTTCTTGCCGCCTCGTTCCCTAGAAAACACCTGGGGTCCATAATATACCAGGAGTACCCTACCAAGGAAACGAGGTGCATGTACCTGGAAAACATCGACCCGGTGCACCAGCAGGAGGATTTCCACATCCCAAACCAGCTGGTGTCGAAACGCATCGAGCTGTTGCCGGCCTATTTTGCCAACTACATCAACTGCACAGTGGATATTCGCATTCCGTACAAGTCGATACCCGACAACATCAACGTGTTCGACCGCCGAATCTGGGGAACAGACATCTACACGGACGACTCCGACATCGTGGCGATCCTGTACCATTGCGGCGTGCTGCAGTCTGCAGACCCAACGGGGGCTGACGACAATGACAGCACCCGTGCACCGGAAAAGAGCGAAAAATCCGGGGAATCTGAGCAAGATAAGGAAAGTGGGGCGGTGCCGTTTTCAAGCCATACTGGAGCCATAACTCCAGGAAACTTGGACAACATACACAACGTGAGCAAGCCGGACGTGAATCCTGACGAGGCGAACGATCTGGTGGTGACTTTGATCATTTTGCCGCGGCTCGGGGTGTATCAAGGCAGCTACAGAAACCACTACAATTCGCGGACTTGGGGGCAGAACGGGGCTTATCACAACGGAGTTTCTATTGCGCTTTACGGAGTTAGATGGTGTCGGCTCGGAGGCTCGTACGACGGGTTGAACACGGGCTCGTTCCGCAAAAGACTCTTGAACGAGCGGATGGAGGTGTCGCAGAAGCTGCTCAAGACATCGCAACCAAACGACAGTGTTTCCGGATGGACTGTGGATCGCAAATTTTATAAAGAGTTTAAGTAGAAGTGCCGAGACTATAGACAGAGTGGGATAATTACAGGCATTCCGCGAAAAAAAAAAGTTCGGTCAATATTGGCGTACGAGCTTCTGTCAAGAGTATCCTTTTTCCCCGAGTTTGGCAACACTTTCACCGGGATAAGGTTAGGGCTTACACAGAGGTGTGAATGAGTAGTTGCGTATTGAAGATGACAGAGGTGTTGGTGGACGACGATAACAAGATGGCCAATATGGGCACTGAACCAACCAGACTTAAAAGGGCGCTGCTCAAGCTTTCATACGGGTGGTCCAATTTCGTGAACAAGCTGCGGGTGCTTTCCGAAGTGTGCTTGGAGTCAGACGAGATCACACAGGAGCTTTTTGACGACACATCCAGCTCGTCCACGGGAGTGGAGGAGTATCAGCCCATACAGCCGTCGGAGCTCAAAAAAGACCAGCTAGAACACAAACTTGCCCTGGACGACAGAGAGACGGCGTCTAGTGGGTCGCCAAACATGGCCACGCGGCTCACCTCGCCGTCCACCAGCGCTTTGAGTGGGGATTCCGAAACCAAATGCCAAGAGGAGGAAGACAGCCTTACACCATTTGCAGGCGGCGAAGCGTTGTGGAACATCCAGCACGAGCGGTGGTTGAAGCCAAAAGAGGAGTACAGCAGCCTGGAGGGCGAGCTGAAGTTGCAAAAACGCATGAAATCCCAAGATTTGAAACACCATGTTCTCCTGAAGGATTACTATATAATATATCGCAATTTGGTGGTTGACGGCAAGAGTTTGAAGAGACCGATGAATCTGAGGGATTTGTTGCGTGTGGTTGAGGCCGGCTGGAACTGGACACGGGTCCATGATAATTCCCAGCGGTCGCGGGCTTAACCGAAGAGTCCCTTTTTAGCGCGGGCGGGTTTGGTATTGGTAGATTCGACTAATTTAATGCAATTTTCGATAATACGGATATTTCTATCCAAAAGCTCGATTTTCTCCTGGGCCGCGTTTGCCCTGGAATCGCGCAGTTTCTGTGTAGTTTTGTCGATCTTTAGGTGTAGTTCTGTTGCACTGGAGCTTAATTGTTGGTAACTTTGGATCATTTCCTGATTTTGTTTGGCTATGCTTTCCTGGTTGGAATATATAGTCTCTACTTTAGACTGTGCTCTGGCTCCTGTTGATTCGGGCGAGTTGAGTTTCGAGAGTGTCTTGGCCAGATACTTTGAGTATTTCTGGGACAATTGGCTGTTTCTGGCGCGTATTTGTTTGGAATGGTCCATTTGTTGGGCCAAGTTCGGATCCACCATGAAGGAAAAATAATATTGCAATAAATAATTTATTTGTTACCCACTTGAGACTTAAATGGTGCTTGTGGTATCGCCGTATTCGTGTTTCCAGTTTTCGAGTCGGCCAATTTCGACGTTCGATGTGTTTGCGGGACTAATCTACGTCACGTTCCTGGACGGGGGGCTTGCCACGTACCAAATTCCCTCGGCCGTGGAAACAGGAATGGATCTGTTTGACGAGACAAAGCTGGTTCTGGAGGACCTGAACGCGGTGGGAAAAACACAATTGTCCGGTAGGGCGCTCCAGTTGCAGTTTCTTCCCAATTTGGGGTATTTGGTGGTGCTGTTGGAAAACCAAACAGTGCAGTTACTCAACCTTACCGATTACGAGCAAATAGACAAGTTCGAGGAGGCGCGCTTTGGTCTCATTAAAACTTGGTACGAGGACTCAAAGGACCTCCATCTTGACCAATTGAACGAGGAGGATAACGATTACATTACTGCAGACGATATGGATACCATTTCTTTAGCAACCACTGCGCTGGAAACCACAAGAAGCAAAAAATTCATAAATACGAAAACAGGCAACAGTTTCCTGTGTCTGGTGTCAAAACGGACACTGGCGATAATCAAGTGGCACAACAACCAGTATGAGCGCAAATACGAGTTCAAACTCAACGATAAGATCCAATTGGTGGAGTTCCTCAACGCAGATAATCTGATAGCTGCCATGAAGAACGGCGACCTGTGTCGCATCGATCTTCCGCACCAGTCTGTCTCGCCAATCCAGATTCAATTTCTGAACCAGCCGTCCGGGTTCAACAAGTCGTTCTTCTTTAGTTCCTCGGACTCGGTTGGAGAATTGTTCAAGGCTAACAACGATCAACAGCTCATCATATTCAAAGACCATAATCTGATCAAACTCAACAGCGACCTCGAACTGGTCGTCTACAGACACCATGCTCACTCGATTGATTTCAAGAACCCCGTGGTAGTTCCAGGCCACAACGAGTCCGGGAAAAAACTGAAGTTCCTCAAGTACTGGTTCCCGTATCTGGTTCTGGTGTACTCGAACTCGATCGAGATATGGAATCTCGAAAATGGATCCCTTGTGCAACAGCTCCCTTGCAAAACCTCGCTCCAAAGCATTGTGGATATCAAGTTTTCGCCGCAATTCCTGTTTCTGGTGGGTGCTACCACCGTCTTCAAATTGGTGAAATCGTCGTACGAGTTCCAGCTGTCTGAGTTTGAAAAGTCCAAGGACTACAACAACGCATTAAATCTCATTGAAAAGCTGAATCCACTTGTGTTCCAAGACGATACTGACTCGCACTCTCCGCGCCAAATCAAGTTCTTGAAACTCCGTCAATTCGAGCTCCTGAAAGGTTTGGAGTACTTGAAGAACCACAAGTACGATACAGCCATCAAACTGTTTATTGATTTCCTTGCATCTCCCGAAACATTATTGGACAATCTTCCTCCCAAAGTGAAAAGTCTGCTGGCCGATGACCCAACTCTCAAACACACATCCAGCAGAGACTCGCTGCGAAGCTCCAAGGACGCTCAGGGACTGCCTCAAAAAGAGTCCAAGATCATCAGCCTGTGCATAACGTATCTAACGGACGCTCGCCGCAAGCTCATCCGACTCCTGGATCCAGACTCGCCGAAGTTCCAATGGCACGGTTTCCTCATCTCCAGCGAACTCTACGGAACACACGATCTTCCGGTCCTTGAGAAAAAGCTCGAGCTGGTTGATAACTGTCTGTTTCAGTGTTATCTGCTCACCAACTCACGGATGGTGGGTCCCCTGCTCCGGATCTCAAACTACTGCTCGTTTGACAAAATTGAAAAGAAGTGTCTCAAATTGCAGATGTACACAGAACTAGTCGATTTCTACTACTGTCGCGCCCGTCACGACAAAGCATTGGAGTTGCTCGAGAAGCTCTGTTTCGAAGAAAAGGTGTTCAAACCCGAGTTCATGGTGAAGTACATACAGAAACTTGGCAGGCCGCAACAAGATCTCGTGTTCAGCTTCTCAAAGAAACTGATCGACCTTAACCCATTGCATGTGGACGAGATCTTCATGGACGACTCGATTGAATGTGAGTCTCTTGACAAAGTGCAAGTGCTCGAGTTCTTGTCCAGATGGCCTGTCTTGCAAGTGCGGTACCTTAGATACCTTATTTTCGACCTTGGCGAGACAAACGTCAGGTATCCGAACAAATTGATCGAACTCTACTTGCAAGACCCGGAGAAGAACCAGGCACATATCCACCAACTCTACTCTCTGGGAAACTACACTCCTAACGGTGTTTTGAAACAGCTCAACTCGTTGCAACCATCGCCTGCGGTTTTGGATCTGATGATTTTACCGTTAGGCAAACTCAACAAGCATAATGATGTTTTGGATATATTGATCAACAAACTCGATAACACTGCCAAAGCATTGCAATATTGTGTTGCTATTCATGATAATTCTCCAGACACAGGCATTGAACTAACAAACACTCTTTTGGACATGCTCCTTTCTCAAAAGAAATTTGCATCGGTTCTCGAAATATTGGACTCGGGAATCACCTTTGTTGATCCGACACAGGTTCTGGCCAAACTACCAGACACTCTGCTACTGAAAGAGCTGTCCAAGTATCTGGAAACCAACATGCGCTCAATCACGTCACTTTTGCGCCAGGACATTATCACCAGCGAACTGCTCAAAGTCCAGTTGGTTAATATCAAATACGAAAAGCTCGAAACAGACAGGGTCCATGTTCGGCTGGACTCTGCGTCGAGATGCGCTGTCTGCGGAAAGAACTTCTCAGCAGCGTCGATTCTGAGCTTCTTCTCCAACGGCACAGTGGTCCACTACGGCTGCGCTAAGCATAAAACTGGATGATTATATTGTCGTTATGAAATTGATGACCGCAGAACAGTATTTGGTCATATCGTCCATCTTATTGTTGGTTGTCGAGGCAAGCTCGTCCCATTCGTTCAAGACATCAGCAACCTCGCCCTCAAGGTTGTACAGCACGTCCGCGTGTATCTTCATGAACACAGAGATAATTGCAACCAATAATTCATAGTTTGTGTTTTGCTTGATACCATGGCTGATAGCTTTGATGAATCTCTTGAGCTCCGTGTATGGTTCGGTGGTTTGGAGCGTTCTCAGTTCCAGGTCCAAGTTGGCAGGACTCATGGCCACCAGATAGTCCACGAACTGGTCATATCCTGCATCTTCTCCTTCTCTCAGAAGCTTTGTGAACTCTGACTCAAACGAGACGGCCGAGTCCAATTTCATCAATCTGGACTCCTCTGTCTTGGACTCCTCTGCAGGTTGTTGCAAGAAGAACGGAGCGGCCTCTGGCTTTTTAGGAGCCTCGGTAGGCTTGTTTCTCATCTTGATGGTGTCCAGATGCATGATGGTATTAAATTTCGAGCGTGGTTGCAACGAGAGCGTCACGAGCTCCTTGTCGATCTGAGCAACAGAAACGTACGTACCGGTGGCAGCCTCCTCTTCCTCGACAAAGGCTCCATCCAGAACACTGGCTCCGTTCTCTCCACTGACATTTGGCAGCATCATGGTTGCAAACTCGGTTTCCTCGATATGTTTGGTGGAGATTGGTCTGAACTGCGACCGGTTGGTCCACAAGGAAATTCCCACACCGTTGACATGGGTCGTTGCAAGGTAATCACCCAATGGAGACATCTTCAAGCTGGTCACCGTGTTAGGGACCATGATTCCGTCAATACAGCCACCGGTAGGCAGATCCCACGTTCTGATGGTGGAGTCGAGCGAAGCAGAGACAATCCACCTGCCGTCTGGCGAGAAGTCCATAGCAGTGATACGGTTCGAGTGTCCAAACAGCTGTCTGACGATTTTCTGGGCGGCAGTGTCCACAACAACGATCGACAGGTCGTCCAATGCAAATGCAACCAAATCGGATCCTCTGTGGTACACCATCTGGGTGATTGGGGCGTCGAGCTGCAATTTTCCAAGGTACCGCGACTGACTGAAATCATAGAATCCGACTAGACCGTCCAGTCCGCACGAAACCATCTTTCTGTTCATTCCGTCCACAGCAACTCCGGTGACGGTTTTTTTGTGCAGCTTGTAATTTTTACGAATCTTTCCACTCTGCAAGTTGTAGACTCCTATTCCTCCCAAACTGGAACCGACCAGCGCGAAATTTCCACATTGAGTGATGCTGACGGCCTTGACGATTCCTCCATCGATGGTGTCGAAGGTGTGCTTGCCGACCTTTTTGTTTCTGGAGTCCCATGTTCGAGCAAACGTCTCGTCCTGGTGAGCAGTGACGATGTTGGCCCATTCGCCTTCTCTGGCATTCTCTTGGGCAATCATGGTGATTGGCGGGAACTTGTCTTTGAACCCGGACGAAATCCCCGCCTGGCGCTTGTTGTCCTTCACGGCCGACTGTCTCTGGGACATTTCCTGGGATTGTGCGTCCTTACGTAAGGAAAACGTCCAGAACGAGCGGTCTTGCGAGGCAGATTGCAGAAAGTGCGACTTGGAGTCTGCGAAGCTGATGCAACTAGGTGGTGCCGAGTGGCCTCCACGAGACCGGAGGTGTCTTGGCGGAGAAACAACGCTGGAGTTGGACGAAAGAGCAGGATCAAAAACGTACTCCTTCAGACTGTTGTCTGCTCCCGTAGTGACCAGGATCGGCTGGCCATTAAGGAACTGCACCTTCGACACTCCACCACAGACCTGTTTGTGTGCGTTTCTGAGAACGTGGACCCTAGCTTTCTTTTCCAGGTCGTAGAAGAACAGGTCTCCGTTGACCATGGAGCTTGCGATATGGGGCGAACCGTCTGTTCTGAAGGACAATGAGGTGATTTTGGAGTTCGATCCCGTGTTCACGGATTTGAGCACTTTCCCCTTCTTGAGATTATAGATCGAAAACGAGCCAACACCGTTACCAACGGCCAAAATGTCCAGTGCGGGAGCACACTCAACGCACGTGATTCCGTCCACGAACTCCTCGGAGCTGTACACCAACTTGGACGATCTGACGTTGAAAATCAGCAAATGCGACGTTGTGGCAACAACAACCTTGTTAACGTACGTTGGAGGATGGACAATATCGACGATCTCTCCGTTTAACGAATTGACCTTGATTTCTCCGTAGTACTCGGTAGCGTACTTTTGATCTTTCTTTTCAAACACAAATAAGGACGAATTTGTCACGGCAACCAAATAGTTACCGAAAATCTCCACCTTGTTGATTGAATCGGCCGTTGGAGCCACTAGTTCCTTCTCGAGCTTGCCTCTTCTAAAAATGCCTATTTTGTTCCCGTAAGAGCAGTAGATGTAGTGGAAATGGGCGGTGATCGACCTAATGGGCGACTCTGTCTGGTTGGAAGACACGAACAGCAGATGAAGCGTGGCCGCGTCGTATATTTGGAACGATCTACCCACAACGGTGGCGATGTAAAACGTCTGACCCAAAGTACCCACTGCAAAGGGCACTCCGTTGGAAACATGGCCGATGATCCGGAACGGGGAGAAAATCTTGGACTTTCTGACTTTTGTCGCAGCCCCACTAGCGCCGACTTTCTGGCGCTTGACAGATTCCTCCACTGTCATGTTGTAATGGGAAAAGCTTGAATAAATTTCCTTTATAAAATTTTTAGAAATATTTCAAGCCGCACATTAATTAACAATTTTCCATTGCCAAATTAATTAATCAGTTAATTATACAATTACTTTCACTTGTTATGATTCCCGCTCCTGAGCCAATAAAAAACCGGGAATTCGATAGCGAGGACGCCGTTGCAGGCACAGAAAGGTGCTATTCGAGCCACTCGAACGCCTCCATCGACTCGCTCGACGCCATCCAAGAGGAAACCGCCCAGAGGAAAGACCCCGTGCCTCTCACCACGCAGTCGCTAGAGCAACATAAGAAGGCAATTGCCACGATCGCCCCGATGTTGGAGGACTTTGTGCCGGTGTTGTCGAAATCTGAGGTGCTCAGTCCCGTCAACAACACCCTGTCGCGCACAGTGTCCAACATCAGCTCGTTGAGCATCGGTAACCAGGTGCCTCCCACCACTCAGAATAGTCCGCAACACGAGCATCCGGTGGCTATTTCTCCAGGAACCCCCGACGCGGGCGGACTGGCCGTGTTCAGCGACTCTCGCACCGCCTCGGCCGCCCCTTCAAATGGTGGCTCTGCGTCGAGTTCTGCTGCACATATGTCGCACAAGATGCGCACGTCCTCGATCTCTGTGTCGGAGGTTTCCGGCCCTAAGCTGCCCAAAATCGGCACAATTGGTGTGTGTGCCATGGACAATAAGGTTCTGAGCAAGCCGTGTCGCCAGATCCTGAACCGTCTGATCGAGAACGGCGAGTTCGACACTGTCATTTTCGGTGATAAGGTGATTTTGGACGAGTCGATTGAGAACTGGCCAACATGCGACTTTCTGATCTCGTTCTTCTCCAGTGGGTTCCCGTTGGACAAGGCGATCGCCTACCAAAAGCTGCGCAAACCGTTTGTCATAAACGATTTGATCATGCAGAAAGTCCTGTGGGACAGAAGACTGTGTTTGCAGATCTTGCAGGCGGCTCAGGTGCCAACGCCGCAAAGGCTGGTGATCTCGAGAGACGGCGGTCCGTTGGTGGACGACGAGTTGCGCACCAAGCTCGAGAAGCTCGGCGTGGACTGTTCAGAGGTGCCAGAACCAGACTGGAAAATGGTTGACGAGGACACTCTTGTGGTGAACGGCCAAACTATAAAGAAACCGTTTGTCGAGAAACCCGTTGATGGAGAAGACCACAACGTGTATATTTATTATGCCAAGGAGAACGGAGGCGGAGGAAGACGTCTTTTCAGGAAGATTGGAAACAAGTCTTCTGAGTTCGATCCTAGTCTGAGCAACATCCGCACAGAAGGATCGTATATCTACGAGAAGTTCATTGATACGGACAATTTCGAGGACGTGAAAGCGTACACTGTTGGGCCGGAGTTCTGCCATGCCGAGACCAGAAAGTCGCCTGTTGTGGACGGAATTGTGAGAAGAAACACTCACGGAAAGGAGGTCAGGTATGTGACCGAACTTTCTGAGGAAGAACGCCAGGTAGCCAAGCGTGTCAGCAGCGCTTTTGAACAGACGATCTGCGGGTTCGATCTTTTGCGAACCAACGGCAAGAGTTATGTGATTGACGTTAACGGATTTTCGTTTGTGAAAGACAACGACGCTTACTACGACCAGTGTGCTTCAATTTTGAGACAGACATTCTCCAAAGCAAAGACAGAACGTAATAAGACCGCTGTTGCTTCGGAGGAGAAGAAACAGAAGTGGGTGTTCAAGGGAATGATTGCAGTGGTGAGACATGCCGACAGAACACCAAAACAGAAATTCAAGTACTCATTCAAGTCTCCGATTTTCATCTCCTTGCTCAAAGGTTATAAAGAAGAGGTGATCATCAGAGAGGTCCGTGACTTGAAGATCGTGTTGCAGACTGTCCGTGTTGCTCAGGAGCAGCATTTGGAGGACCAGGTCAAGTTAAAACAGCTTGCTACCGCTCTTGAGAAAAAGATGGATTTCCCTGGAACTAAGGTGCAGTTGAAGCCTTCGCTGAATGATGAAGGTGAGATTGAAAAAGTCCAGCTGATCATCAAATGGGGTGGAGAACCAACCCATTCGGCCAGATACCAGGCGTCGGACGTTGGTGAACAGTTGAGACAGGACATCCAGCTATTGAATAAAGATGCTTTGAAAGATGTTCGCATTTACACTTCTTCGGAGAGAAGAGTGGTTGCTTCTGCACAGCTGTTTGCGAAGTCTTTCATTGCTGAGAACGATCTTCCTGAAGACTTTTTGCAAGTGCGCAAAGATCTGCTTGACGACTCGAATGCTGCGAAAGATCTCATGGACAAGGTGAAGAAGAAGCTCAAGCCGTTGTTGAGACAGGGAAAAGAAGCTCCTCCACAGTTTGCCTGGCCTCCTCGGATGCCCGAGCCTTTCATTGTGATAAAGCGGGTGGTGGAGCTGATGAACCACCATCACCAGATCATGGAGCGTAATTTCGAAACCAAACAGGTAGAATCGTTCCAGGAGAACTGGTGTTGCGGAGAGGACCCGTACTTGTTCAAGGAGAGGTGGGACAAGCTGTTTGAAGAGTTTGTGAGTGTCGAGAAAGTGCATCCTTCTAAGATCAGCGAGCTGTACGACACGATGAAGTACGATGCTCTGCACAACAGAGACTTTTTGCAAAAGATCTTTGTGAGCGACGATGTGGAGAACTTGTCTCAGCTGAGCTCGTCGCTAGTTCGCCAGTATCCGATCAACGTTCTGGCCATGAACAATTTCAAGGTGAACGATTCGTCGTTGGACAACTCGTCTGCTTCCAACTCGTCCAACCCTGCCGGTTCTATTGGCTGGGTGCTTTCCTCGTCGTACAAGCCGTCCTCCAGAGACGACCGCAACTCTCCATTCGACGATCCAAAGTACGATCTTTTGCGGGAGCTGTACAGATTGGCCAAAGTGCTGTTTGACTTTATCTGTCCTCAAGAATACGGTATTGAGGATAACGAGAAACTGGACATTGGACTATTGACGTCGCTGCCTCTAGCAAAGCAGATCATGAGCGACATTTCCGACATCAAGGAGACCGACAAGGCTGCCACGCGCGTGTATTTCACCAAGGAGTCGCACATCTACACGCTGTTGAACGTGATTTACGAGTCGAAGCTACCAATGAAGATTGCGAGAAACGCACTTCCAGAGCTGGACTATTTGTCGCAGATCGTGTTTGAACTGTACGAGTCCGAGAACAGCGTCGGCGGCAAGACACACTCAATCCGGCTGCTACTTTCGCCGGGCTGTCACACACAGGACCCGCTGGACGTGCAGCTGGACGAAAAACACTACATTTCGTGCATCAGACGGATCAGTCTGACCAGACACCTGGACATGGCGTACATGCAACAGAAGCTGAAGAGCCGGTTCTCGCGGGTGTCGCTGCCTAAACGGTTCACGCCGGTGAACATATCCAGTCCGTTGGCGGAAGGGAAGCCGTAGAGTCGATATCGACGAAATCAAACATTTTATTAAATCAATCTAAGTAATGACGGCCAACGAGTCGAAAAGCACACTGATGCTCTCGCCAAAGTGATCTCTTCTGATACACTCGGCGAAGATCGGCGACACGTCGATGACGGTGAGTTTCTTGCATTTTTGCGCCCGGGAGCTGCTGATCGGATACGTGTTGGTGACAATAATGCCATCGATGTACTCGCACTCGTTGAGTCTCTCAAGGCAGTCGTTGGCGAAGATGCCGTGGGTAGCGACAATGTAGCACTTGTTGGCTCCGCAATTCATTCTGAGGTGCTCTGCCGCAGCGATGAACGAGGTGTGCTTGTCGATCATGTCGTCGACAATGATGGCCGGTTTGTTCTGGACGTTTCCGACCAGCGTGATGAGCTTTTCGCTGGCGTTGAACTCGGGCTCGTCCTCGTCGTCGGAGTTGTCGTTTCCAAGATCCGAGTTGTGCACAACCGCAGGCTCCTCGTGAGGAGCAGCCACAGCAGCGTCCTCTACCACATGGCCCTTGACAATGCGCGCTGTCTGGATGTCGGTGCTGACAATCACGTTTTCCTGCTCGACCTCGCCGTTCTCGGTGGTGTTGATCGTGGACGCTGGCTGGCGGTGGATCACTTTTCTGCCCGTGAACCCGTCCTTTGTGCGTCTTCTGTCGGTGTGGATCATGGCGAAGTTGACCTTGAGCTGGTCGGCCAGCGCAGTGACTCTTTTGGTTCCTCCTGGGTTCTTAGAAACAACCACGGCGTCGCTGTAGTCTGGGATGTGCTGGCGGATCCAATGGGCCAGCGTAGGACCGGCGTACAGGTTGTCCACCGGCTTGGAAAAAAACCCCTGCATCTGCGAGGCATGCAAGTCCATGGAAACAACGTGGTCTGCGCCGGCCATGATAAGCAGATTGGCCAGCATACGCGCGGTGATGGCACCACGATGTTTCTTCATCTTGGACTGCTTAGAATAAGGAAAGTGCGGGATAACAGCAGTGATCTTGGCAGCAGAACCACCTTTACAAGCAGAAATCAGAATCAACAACTCCATGATATGGTCGTTTGTCTCGGTGGATCCCGACTGGATGATGTAAACGTCCTCGTCTCTCACAGAAACGCCGATCTGGACGCTGGTCTCCCCGTTGGCAAACTTCTTAAGGGTGACCGGAGCAGCATCGATCCCCAGCTTTTCGCAAACAAGCTGTCCCAGCTCGGGGTGGGAATTTCCAACAAAAACCTTACACTTTCTCATCTCCTGAAAAAGATGACTGTTTGGCGGGATGTTGTCCTGACTCGAAATAATGGTGAATACTAAGAGCTCTGGCTTACAGCCTGTGGTACATTAAATAAAAAATTTTAGCCCTGCTCAATTAGGCAATCCACTTTTCGCCGGATATCAATTAACTCTATCTTGTTAGGGTGGGATTGATTTGCACAGCCAATATATTAAATTAGTACAACTCCAGCTGTTGCGGAGTCATTTCGTACTTAATCCAGTTCGGAAGACAATTCTGGTCGTACACGTCTGGAGGAGCAAAGTATGCTGGCTCGTGGTCCGTGGCACACTTGTCGCTGTTTGGCGAGTTTTCGTACGGAGAGTGGTGGTAGCCAATGTCTCTGAACCACCAGACTTTGCTCTTATCAGCAAACAGCCCCACCCCGACAGAATGCACAGGAGCGTCTCCCCATCTCTCGTAGTAGAATCCGCCCGCAGCCTCCAGAGCGTCGTACCATTTCGAGTACGCCTCGCCTCTGTAGAAGTCCATGTCGGCGATCTCAAAGTTGGACCAGAAGTGGCACGTTGAGTATCCACCAGCACCGTTTGTGTTATGCGGGTTTTGGAGGTTCTCTGTCAGCCACTTGAACGCTCCGTTCGGATGCACCAGCTCTGGGTTCTCCAGACAGAATTCAACAGTGGTGTTCCACAAAGTTTCGATGGTCAACGGTTCGTCATACAAACTCACAGTGAATCCGTAAGTGAGCTCGTTGTCTCTCATGAACTTGAACACGTCGTAATCCACTTTGCAGAAGAAGTTCACGTTTGGCTCCACTCTCCAGTAGTACTTGAACTTCTTCAATCCTTCCAAACGGTAGAACCATCCCGAGTTGAACCGACACATGTTGTGGTAACTCTCCAAACTGGCGTAGTTGACCTTGTTCTCGGTCAGCTTGGCAATGCCCTGCTTGTACTTGACCGGATCCACGCTCGAAGGCATCTGCCAGATCGACTTAGGAATGATCTCGTAGTAAACACGGCCGGAACAAACAGCCTCGACCTGTCTTTTGAACTCAGGAGTGAACTCCTCGTCATTAATGAAGGTGAACGGATAGTTGTATCTCCAGTTCCAGGTCTCTTCGAGCTGTCTGATGGACGAAACAATACCATCAAGTTCCTCGTTTCTCACCAAAGACAGTAGCGTTGCGTTGGCGAGCTCGTAGTCGTAATCTCCTTCCTTCTTGTGAACCAGCTTCATGCCCTTTGGTTCGTTGATTTTCTTGGATAAAACAGACTGGTGGAACTTCATCTGCTCCTCCACTATAGTGTCCTTAGGAGTTCCCGCTGGGAAAGCTCCGTTCTTGAAAGTCAAAGCCTCCTTAACCTGTTCAGAGGTTAGTGTCTTGTACTTGCGTGCTGTGCTCGTAATGTATCCTTGCAAGTCCGAACGGTATCCATTTAGCAGCTTAGAATATCCCTGGACCGTCTGTGTTTCGCGCGCAGCATGCAGCGTAAATCCCAGGATCACGAACAACGCGATGATTCCGGCAGACAACCGGATAAATCGTTTATTAAGAAGCATCAGGAACGGGGGCCCAAAAAAATGAAACGGAGAAAAAAAAGTTTGTTAACAACCAACTGATAGCGTGTTCTGATCGGGCCCGGTCGACCGTCGACAGACACAAGGCGGCCCGTGATGCATACGCCGCCAAGACACGTGACGAATATGGCGATCCAGTATGGGCAGCATGTTGGTGCCGTATGTAGGGCAACTGGGGGTGCGCGTCCCGCTCATGCCCCATCGTGTGTGCGTAATTTACATGCTTATCGTTAATCGGTGGGCCCTTACATTGTGTCGTTGTAAGCCCCCCACTGTGGCTTCCGGTTTAGTAAAGTCCAAACACAGCCAAAAATAATTTTTTTACTGTACATCCTAATCAACCAAGATGCCACGCCGATTTACCCAGTCATCCAAGCGCCGCACGTCCATACTTTCCGGCTCGCTCAGCAGGGCAGGTCTGTTTGTGCCCCAGGACTTTGTCAAGAACGAAGATTTCACCGCAGTGGTCACAAGCGACGACCTGGGGGAAGACGAACCGCTTTTGACACAAGTCGCACCAGAACCGTCAGTGCCGGACGAAACCGTGTCTGAGGAGGCCAAGCTGCTCCAGGCAAACAAATTCCCCATCAGACGCTACTCTGCGGTCGAATCGGGCCCAATTCCAGACGCTGACGACCGCGAAGCCATTGACGAGTCTTGGGAAGAGGCCCTGAGAGAAGGAAAGATCACCACAACGCGTCTTTTCGAGCTCCAGCGACTGTTTCTGTCGTCCATCCCACTCGTCGTCACATTCCTGCTGGAGAACTCGCTTGGTCTCTGCTCAATCTTTGCCGTTGGCCATATTTCCCCACAGGCCTTGGCAGGAATTACCCTCGGTACGATGAGTTGCAACATTTCTGCATTGGCAATTATTTGCGGCCTGGCCTCGTCTCTTGACACGTTCTTGCCACAAGCTTATGGAGCAGGCAAGTACAAAGTGGTGGGCTTGATTTTCCAGAGGTGTTCCGCTCTGATCTTCACAATCATGGCTGTTGTCTGTGTTTGCTGGTGGATCTGGGCCGAGGTCGTCTTGATCAAGATCCTGCCCGATGAGGAAAGCGCAAAGCTCGCCGCAACATACCTCAGAGTCATCACCTTCGGACTGCCAGGCTACATCTTCTTTGAGACGGGAAAGAGGTTCCTGCAGGCACAGGGAATCTTCCAGGCTTCCACCTACGTTCTCTTCGTCTGTGCTCCATTGAACGCGCTACTCAACTATCTTCTTGTCTGGGTGTTCAAGTTCGGCTACGTCGGAGCCCCAATCGCTGTCAGTATCAACTATACGCTCATGGCTCTTGGTCTACTTACATATACCATCACAACCAACAACGAGGTGCGTCCATTGAGATGCTGGAACGGACTCACTTTGGAGAAAGCTTTTTCCAACTGGAAGGAACTCATCAAGCTCAGCATCCCAAACCTCATTATGATCATGTCTGAGTTCTTGGGCTTCGAGATCCTCACTCTTTTGTCCAGTTATCTCGGAACTGTTCCTTTGGCTGCCCAGTCCGTCATCACCACCATGGCTTCTCTCACCTACCAGGTCCCATACGGAGTGTCTATCGCTGCGTCTACAAGAGTCGCCAACTACCTGGGTGCAGAGCTTCCAAAAGAGGCCAGAATTGCGGCCAAAATGGTGTTTGTTCTCACTGCTTTTATTGCCGTGGTTGACACCTCACTGCTTCTCCTCGGCAGAAGACAGATTGCCAACCTCTTTTCCAACAACAAGGACGTTATCGAGGTTGTGTCCAGTGTGCTTCCGCTTGTGGCCTTTATCCAGGTTTTTGACGCTCTCAATGCCACCAGTGCCGGCTGTCTTCGTGGCCAAGGTTTGCAAAGAATTGGAGGACTGGTCAACTTGGTGTCTTACTATGTCATCGGAATCCCGCTCGGCTTCTTCCTCAGCTTCTACTTCCCTAAGGACCATCCTCTGGGACTGTTCGGCCTCTGGACTGGTTTTGGAGTCGCTTTGCTGATTATTGGTGCCATCCAGAGCTATTATGTGATCTCGGCCGACTACATCCAGCTGGTCAAAGATGCTGTCAAGAGAAGTAACACGCATTAGGTCAGCCCCTTGATCTGTTGTTCGATTTTCGCCAGTTGGACAATTAAGGACAATGCTTTGGAGAAGTTAGACTGTGCTGTGCGCAGAGACAGTGGAACCATTCCACCAGCAAACATTTTTAGAGCTGTTTTACTAGCTGTCTTTTCTTTGATAAGATCAGACGTTTCCCAATCTATATTAACAAACGGATTTGTTTCTCGTAGGTCCAGGAAGTTCTGGTATCTTGTATTTCCTGCGTAGTTGGCCCTTGCCAGATCAACAAACCCAGACTTGAGCAGCTCGTCCAGCTCTTCATGGATCTCGATGTACTTTGTGACAAGATCCAGTGTATCGATTTGTCTCTTCTGAAAATGCGTTGGAATGTCCGAAGTGTGACGCTTCGGTAGCAAATCGTCTGTCATCGTCGAGAATTATCAAATCTTCAAAAAGATATTGATAGTTTGGGTTTCCGACAAATATATAACGTAATCACAATCTCAGTGGGGTCAGCGCACTGTTTTCGCGAAAAATTCGGCTGCCATTAAATGGGAGGTCAATTCGTTGCTGTTCGAACAATCAGTTTGGCTGTAGCTATTGCAGGTTAGTGTCTTGTAGGGCTTACGAGAAGCTATTGAATGGAAACCCCGGTTGGAACACTAGCTATAGCAATGGACTGTATTACTCAGAGAATCCCGCACTTACACACAGTATCGTCTGTGTATCCTTTTATCAGTTTCCGTTCACAAAGTTATGTCGTACACCCCGTAGCACTGCCACACCCACCAGATCTGGCGCTTAGCGCTAAATATATTTGAAGCACCCAAAAAAAAAAATTCCTTCCCCATCAACGGGTTCCTCTTTCACTAGGGGAGACAGCCGTGAGCAATTGCATACAATGGTTCCTATGCTCATTCCCTATCAAGGCAATTCCTATCAACGGTTCAGGT